TCAATAATAAAAAGTTAAATTTTAAAAATATTAATTAATAAACTTTTTAATAATAAAAATTTAATATTAATTTATTAATTAAATTATAAATAATTAATATATTAATTTTTAATTATATTAAATTTTAAAAATGTAGTAATTTATATAATTTATATAAGTAAATAAATAAAATTAAAAGTTATATAAAATGAGATTTTTTTAAAGATTAGTAAGAAAAGTTGATTAAATTATTAAAGTCTATAAGTTTAAGATAGTTAGCATCACTATTATAAAGTAATATCAAAGTATATTTGCTGTAAATAAGAAAGAAAAGTAAAATATAAAAGAACATACAAAGTTCAATTTAAAGGTAGTTTAGCAGAAAAAAGACAACATCTGATTATTCTTATTTTTTCAAATCTATTGAAAAGTCTATCATTTAATTACATAAGCCTTCACTTTTTAAATCTGTTATACACTTATGCAGCAGTTGCAGTTCTTTCAGATATACAAGAATAAGATGTTTCAAATCTAATGTAATTTAATTTAATTTAATTAGTTTTATTTAATGTAGATGATGTTTGTTAAAATCTAGTTAGTTGAATAAATTTAAGTGTTCAATTCAGCTGAGTGCTTGACTCACCTGGGAATTAACTACATTAACTACAGGTTAAGTGACCTGCTAAATTTGCTAACTATCACTGTCAAATAGTTAGTTACTCTCCAATTATGTTCATGTGATTGCTGATTGCTGGTGAGTTTTGAAACTCAATCAAGTGAGGACTGATTTTGGAGTAAGTTAGCAGAATTGGGTGAAAAACAGCTAACCAGAAACAGATTGGAAATCTGGGCTAGGTGACCATAATGTCAAGCTTCTGTCAAAGACCTTGAAGTGACAACTTATCCAGAAATGACAATTCTGTTATCTTGTTCATTTGAGGTAACCAGTTTCAGTTTCACAGCTCCTTTGGCAGCTCCTTTGGCTTTGTAGTTATCTTCATAATTATAACTCCAGCCTCTTTTGCACCACAGTTTCGATCAACTTACTGTGCCACAGAATCTTCCCAACCAATTCAATGCGTATAGCCTGCTATGGCGCCTTCATTTTCATAGCATTATACGTTCTGTGGGTATTTCTGGCATCATCTATCAAGTGTATCCCGGTGAAAGGGTTCCGGGATAATACTTTCAGGGCCAGATGTATGAATTTGGACGCACTGTGGTTAATCATGGCGATGGTGCAAATCGTTACAGACGTGGTTCTGCTTACGGTGCCGATGCCGATTCATTCCACCCTGAGCTATAAAGCAGATAGTAGCTCTCGTACTTCTTTGCGCTGTTGGGCAATTATGGAGTATCCTTCCCTTTAAGTCACCGCAGAGATTCCCCTCACTCTAATAATACAAGTTCTTCGTTCAGTTTTTGTGTCACGAGTGGCTTTTGTCTGAAGAGTGCACACCAGGTTGCGAGGGGAAGAGTCAATCTGGTAAGATAACTACTTTACATTTTACATTTCAGCTGAGTTGAACAGCTCCCAGTGAATATTGCTGTAGCGGCCGCCATCGAATGCAATGTTGCAATAATATGTTGCTCTCTTCCCAACCTTGCGTCCACTGGTAACTCAAATGTTTCCACGCCCCTGTCCAACTAGTGTTGGGAGCTAGAGGGGTGAGTCCAAAAAGATCGCGCCGCGCGAACAACGGCGGTTCGGCCAAACGGAGTCTTTATGAAGGAATCGGGCAGAACCATGTCATGGAACTTGTTCCATCATGCATAGGTCGTCGAAAAAGGTCGAAGTTTAGGCGCATATTTGGGCGGGATCACTATGGTAGAGACGATCACGCAGCGATCAACCTGCTTTAATGAGCTGGAGGAGCCAGCCTGATATCCTGCCAGGAATAATAATCGTTTGTCGGTTCACCTCGGGGCAATCCTGTTCAGGTGCGCAGTTTTGACAGATGTAAAGACTTTAATACTCCACACACTGACAATGTTAGGATCCGCAGAAGATCTCTACATTCGACAATGTTAGAGGCATCAGCGCAATCCTTAATAACCACTGCACTAGGGGAGCAAATCCTTTTTGGAGGGAACCGATAACGACAGAGTCTTGGAACCCGACATCCATGCCATCGTCTTGACAACATACGATTTGAATATGGAACAAGCCGCATATGGTGAATCATTCGTATCTCGGCAAAAATATACTTAGCCTTGAGCTTGTGCAAACTGTGATTTCGTGACCAACATGGCATTGCAGATATGGTTCCCACATGAAACAAGCATGGGCTGGCTTATTCACAGTTCCGTCCCAGAGTTTAATATTCTTTGGCGCAAGTCCATAGTGTCTTGTCCCTCAGAGGACGAAGATCTAACAAAAACTGAGATTTTCCACTGCTTCACTCTCCAGTCAGGCGAAGCGCAGTCCAGATCAGGTTGAATTTTTTCGAGGCCAAGCTGGGACCCATAACTAATTACTGAGGAACTTCCCCAGAATCTACAGCCTCGGCTAACCGTGGTTCCGCCCACATATAGAGGGGTCAGGTAGGCTAAAAGCAATGTCTCTTCGGGTCTATTGCGTAGGCAGCTAGTAGTTACTAAATGGGACTGAAAATCATGAGGAACTGTCTAGGCAGACGGATTCCGCTGAAGTGAAATAGTTAGTTATTCGACTTTCTGTGGCCAAATTTTCGTTTCGAATTTCCCATTTTTGGGCTGAACAACATTGCGGTCCTGTGATTTCCAGGGTCATGATGTAGTGATTATATAACTAACTAGTTAACTGGCAATATTCGAAATAATGTACTATTACCTGGCAAGGCACTAGTTAATTAATACACGATTAGTTAACTACTGCATCTTGATATGGTGCTAAATCAGTCAGCTTTTCTGCCCTCTATCTGTGGTCAAGCAGTGTGTAACTAGTAGTTTTACAACACTCATTCTCATAGATATATGTAGCTAAGGCACAAAAAGACCCAGAGCCTAACCAAGCAACAGCTAGACACCATAGACATGTCATATATATATAGGAACCATATTGTTTGCTGACTGAGAATCAAAAATGTTTCTTCCTTTCTCAGTCCCTATCCAGTTGAGTTATTTCATGCCGTGCCACAGCCTCCGACGTTTCCAAGGTTTCCAAGGTTGCTTCCAATCAGGACTAGCGCCCGCCTCTTTCACCTCAACTCGCATATGCTCAACGACAAGCAAACTGAACGTCTCTTTTCCCCTCATGTCCATCCTCCATCCCTGTTCTAGCTGGACTTGTTCTTCTCATCCTTTGCACGCATTCATGGCATTGGTTGGGGCACTGCTGGATCGGACATTTTCGTAAGCTGTGAAGAGTCACAATAGCCGCCACGGCCCCTGCCGCATTGATGGTGTGGTTGTTCATTTCGCTGCTGTTGAAACTTCAGCGTAACCATATCTACTGACTTCTCGTTCATCGCCATAACCTTTGCCGCTATTGACGACGTTCTTCGAGTTGTTTCTTCTTCATTTCTGTTCTTGCAAAACAGGGTGGCTACGAGTTTATCCCATAGTTATCGCGGAGAGAGAGGCTCGCTCCCGCCCTAGTCAGCATTCATCATCCCCTTCACCTCATCCAACCATCCCCAACCTCTGAGCCTATGATCTTCTTGATATCCCATCCGAATTTACATCTCTAATCCGACCCTCGCTGTCTTATCTACAGTTGACACTTCCAAAAAACCGCCAAAGTGCAATGTGGCCGCCCAGCAATCCCTCATCACCTGTATTTCCTCACCTCGAACCGATCATTGTTGACGGCGACATGGAGAACACCTACGGTGATGGGGATATGAAGTGTTTTGATCCAGCTGTGCTCGAGTCGTCGACGTCAGGTGACACCCAGGACTTTGAAGATCTCTTCTTGCGGCCATCTACTGTCTCTCAAACCCCCAATTCGACCTCATGTTTGTCACCAGCAATGTTGGTGAAAGCCGGTCACCAACATCCCTCAGCAAATTTTGCGGAAACACATTCTCCTTTATCCGACACTCGTTCAGATTCTCCTGGAGATTCGAGTCATAGCTCTTCAGCCGATTCTCCGCCTGGACATCTACGAAAGGGTTCTTTGGCTTCTAATAACTCTGTAGTTTTTAGTCGGAATAGCACGGCAGGAGACAGGTTCTCTACCCCATGGTGGCCGGGTTTGGATGACCTCACGGTGCGAGATTCGCCTTTATTCGGGCAAAGTAATGGTGATTCTTCCTTTAATGGCGACTATAGCCTAGACAGCGACCTGGAGACCAGCAACAAAGCTATGAACTCCGCCTTCGATTTTGATAGTGCCGCAAGCAGTCCCAGCCCTCTCAAGATGGAGGCAACCTCTGAGTCCAACGTCAGGCCCCTACAAACCGGAAAAGGGATTAGGGTCCCATCAAGTACAATACATCAAGTTATGGAATCTAGTTCGCCATCACCTGTAAGTCCAAATCCAATTCCCCTTTCGTTGGCATTTATCGAAGATTTTAATATCTCTTCCAACAGCATTTCCCTGTGTCAACCGGCTGTTTTTACTTCGGTAGATCGTCGGATGCGCCCAAAACTTCGTTATTTCACGCCAAAGATCGACCTGCCTCCAGCCAGTGGAAGCATCGTTCCCCAGCTTCAGAGTTAGAGGAGACGTTTGGAAGCATTAACATGAACGGCACTTCCCCTCTGAGTTCTACCCTCTCACCAAGTTTAAATTTTGAACTACACACAGTCAACTTTGATCCTGTAGCAAAACCTTCTATTCCTCAATTCCCTGCTGGTGGTCCTGCTCACGCCGCTGTTCATATAAACGTTGGAGAGGAAAAGCATTGTCAACCACGGTTAATTGTACACCCGACCTCTTTAAAGTCACGGGTGGAAACTCAGATCCCAATTAAACTTACTCTCTGCCCTTTACCTCATGGCGTCAAAAAACTGCGACTTCCAAGCTACGCCATTTCAAAACCAAAGTTCCTCGCAAAACTGGGTCCTGGTCGCTCAGCGGAAATCCTTGAGCTTCACACAACTGTTGTCTGTACGAGTGCTATGCAGGATAAAAAGAAGTTAGAACGAGCTTATGCAAGAGCACGAGGTGAAGAACGTCAAGCTACCCCCATAAAACCGGAGTCTAAGTGCGAGGGCCAACCAAAGGAGGAATCCCCGCTCGAAGGTGGTGATGTTAAAATATGTGCCGGCTGCATCCAGCGAGAACGAAAGAGGGCATCACGGAAAAAGCAAAGAAAACCGGAGGAAGATGAATTATTTCAAAAGGACGAAGAAAAAAGAGTTATCGTGTTTAATACAACGGAACTGAAAGATTGGGTAGAGCCCACCAGGACTGTTGCAGGGAGTACTGAAACCTTTTCTTCCGCTGCGCCTCCCGGCGCTATGCAGGTCGAACTTCCGATGCGGATCGCCTGTTACTGTAGACATCAAAATGAGAAGCTCGGATTTCAGTACGTACTGTTTTCCTACACCTCACTGACACTTGCTGAACGGTAACTTTAGGGTTATTTTCACCATTAAGGATCATCTCGACAACACCATTTCTCAAGCGATAACGAACTCGATCATGATTACTGATGACCATAAAACTCATTCGTCTGCAAATATTTCTATTCCCGCTAATTCTACCCTGCCTGGGGGTCATCAACTCCCTGGCGCAGGAGTGTTTCCTGCGAGCGCTAACCCTAACATGGCAGCTTCTTTGGTTGCCCAGTCTCCTTTCCGCTTGTCCCACTCTGCAACGGATTTGCAAGCGCTCCGGCATAATCAGTTTGATGGTCCTCGAGACCTCCATAATAAACCTCCAAATTCCCAACCGAATGCTCTTTTAGTATTCCCAACGCGAAATCTGTCGAGACAAGCTTCTCCAACCGACTTCCAAGGACCCTCCAGCAAGCGTCGTAAACAAAGTGGTTCAGGCAAGCTTCCTGCAGGATTAACCATGACAAAAATGGAAAACTCCCGCAATACAACTACCCCGGTAAATCTCACTGGAAACAAACAAAGTACTCAACCATCTAGAGTACAACAAGTGAATGAGCAAAACAAACATCCTTTTGTGATACCTTCTTCGATGACACCACAATTTGCAACTGGCCCACCTACCCCGAATGCCAATGATGTGTCATTTTTCAGTCCCAGCGACCGACCTCAAACCTCTAACATTCCTCAACAGCAAAATTTGATATCTGCACCAAGTTCTGCCCAAACGAGCCGGCCCGGAAGTCCAGGGCCTGCTAATCAGTTCCATAATCCTAGCAATCCACCAGCCGGGCCTGCTGTGTCAAATCAAATGTGGGGCATTCCTCCTCCCGGCCCACCGAATCGACTACCTACTATGATCCACAAACTTGTCCCATCCGAGGGCTCCACCACAGGTGGAAGCGAAGTAACGTTGCTAGGAAGCGGTTTCTACCCCGGAATGGAAGTTGTGTTTGGCGATACATTGGCAACAACGACAACATTTTGGGGAGATAAATGTTTGAATTGCCTTACTCCACCTGCCTTGCAGCCTGGTACGGTCCCCGTTGTGTTCAAGCATGAGCATCCGACATTTGGACAGGTCCAGCCGTCCACCCAACCAATCATGCCGAAACAACAGATATTCTTCCGTTATGTGGACGACCGAGAGCTCCAGATGTATCGAGTTGCCCTGAGCATACTGGGCCAAAAACTGAGGAATCCCGCTGACGCTTTCCAGACCGCCCAGCAAATTATGGGTGGAGGGTCGAGTAATATGTGGAACCTTCAAGGCAGCTTCCAAGGAAACGGACAGCAAGGCCATGGGAATTCCAACTCGCACGCTAATATAAATGATTTGGATGCAAAGATGCTTGTTTATCTTGAGTCCTTGGACTTGGATGACAGTCTTAGGTCTCCACGGTTCAATCGTCGTTCTCCTTCAGGACAGACGCTTCTCCACTATGCGTCTTCTCTCGGCTTAACTAGATTTGTTGCTGGATTGCTTGCTCGGGGTGCGAATCCAAATGTGCAAGATAACAATGGCAACTCACCACTGCATCTAGCGGCTCTGAGTGGGCATACTCACATTGTCCATCGTCTACGTCTGTCCGGCGCAAACATTGGCGCCATGAATTTGCGTGACTTCACACCGGCTGATCTTGCCACCTCGCTAGAAACCCATCAAGCCGTCCTTGTTCCTGCTCGACATTACAGATCGCGCAGTGTCGGTTCAGCACCTTCCTTGCGCCGTCGACTGAGCTCTGCATCACTAGACATGTCTTGGGAAACCTCATCCGGCGATTCTGAAACTCCTCTGGAAGATTCCTCCGACGACTCCGAAGAAGAAAGCGACGAACCCGAGTCCACAGGGGAGGCTCTTGACCCTGCTTTCTACTACCCACAGTCCCGACGAGCGAGTGTAAACCGGGAGCTCAACCAGGGTTTCTACTATCCACTTTCTCATGAACCTGCCGCCGCACCCAGCGGTGTACTACCTCCAAATGACGGGGAGGTTGAAGGTGCAGATGAAAGCAGCGATGCAACTCCTGCGAGACTCATGGCGTGGCGTGACCAACTTGCTGCTCAAATCCACCAGTTCCAACAGAGTGTGAACTGGACATTCCCCAACCTTCCTGCGCTTCCTCCGATGCCGACCCTTCCAGACTATCAAACATATCCTATGATGCGACGAATAACGTCTCTTGTCCCACAGCGGCCAACTACCTCATGGTCGACCACAGTGGTAAGGGATAGTTGGGATCGGTTAACTGGTAACTCATCTCCACCAGCTTACGAAGATTTATACCCGGCGGAGGAGACGAAGGAGGAATACGGCATCAAGAAATCGTCAATGGTTCAGGCTGCAGCGGACGCAGCAGTTGATCAACACTTCGAAGCGTTTTCGGAAGGCGAAGTGTCATCGTCGAGCTCTGTTTCGACCCAGAAGGACATTGGAGATGTCCGGATCGGACGAACAAATCTTCCTCGTGAACAACAAGAACAGCTACGGCAGGCCCATGCTCGTAAGATGAAGAGGCTTCGCAGTGATAGGAACCTCTTTTTCATTTGGGTAAGTAATATACTCTTAATTGATAAATCACACAAGTTCTATCGTCACATAATGACTAACATTTCTTTTAGATTCCTCTTCTCATTGTTATTGCTATTGCAATGCTGCAAAACCTCGTTCCTGACATTTGGAACGGCGTTTCTCGGAGCCATCAGTTTATCAAGGCGAGATATCGGCTGTATGCGGCGGAACCGCTCGCGGTTCCCACCTAGCCTGTCTCTACCTCGCTTTCCTTCCCATACTCCTCATACATACACTTTTTTTCCCTTCCTCTCTTCTTCTTCTTTTAAGGAAATGTACGGTTTTTCTTGTTTTTGTCTTTCTATCTGGATAAGTTCAATTACCTAGAGCATTGAACTCTTTTTGTGTGGTAGAACAAATTCGGCCACTAATTATGTGTGGCGCCATTACTTTTGTCGCTTCTATATCCCTCTCGTTATTCTCTCGCAAACGACCCATTCCTCGTAACTGCAAGTTGAGTTTTCTTCAGGTACTTTTTCGTATACATTTAGGTTAGATAAGGTATAGTGATATTTAATTTCAACTTTCAGAACCAGTATTTCAATTCCAATTGGAAGACCATCGATTTCCTGTAAATATCCTAAAGACTTAATGAAAGCTTCGAAAACGGTCAGCAAAGTCAGCTGAGAAAAGTAATCAAAAAGGAACAGAATTCTGCGTATTGCATTAATACTATCAGATTCAAAGCCGCCTTTGAATGAGTTAAAGCGGCAGCGGAAACCGCCAAGAAAGGTAATTTGTACCTCGCCTTCAAAACGTCGCCTACGCCTTCAAAGTTCACTGTCCTCATAACTAACATGCCAGCAACAAGTTATATAAGCCTTCAGATCTTCTCAGTCAGAATTCCAGGGGGGCTATGGGGACATCGTATTACCATCCTCCCTGCACTTGAGATTCGGACGCCATGGACGCCATCCCTCGTACGAGCTCTAACGTCACCGGTTCGCCGTCCCATTATCTCCCCCAAAATCTAGCTGAACAAACTCACTGAAATCATATCTCTAGTTGAATACACTGATCCTTCCGGACTTTTCCCTTCAATCAAACCCTTTATCCTCGAAACCTTGCCCCTCAGAAACCTGCACTGGAAATCTCCTAATCGGCCTCTTCGCTCTATTGACTCCCTCCATATCGATCTCGTTCCTTCACAAAATACATCGGAGGATCACAAACGACTCAGCGATGCAGTTAGCAGCACAATTCCCCACCGTAGGCATCAGATACCAGGCCTCCGCCAAACGCCATATTTAAAAATCTACATCTTGTCTTGCGACGACAACGAAACGTACAAAACCACTGCCAGGAAAGAGGTACGGGAATGGATCAAAACTCATGGCACGCCTCCCCAAAGTAGCGGCAGCCCGCCCGGTTCTCAAGACAATCACAATGCGTTTGAATGGCTTATCATACACGTGGTATCTGGAGCTGCGGAAACTGTAGAGAAACCCGGGACGGCGTCGAAATGGCCCGGCAGAGGTTCGACCACTGTGCTCGAGAAATTCAAAGCTGACTTCAACGGATCGTCAAAATCAGCCGTTGATCGTGTGGCGCAGCTCCACATCCCGAAGTCGGAATCGGATAAGCGGCCTGCCGAACTCGCTGGTCAACTCGAGGACTTAGATATGAAGTTGAAATCTTCCATCTTAACATCCTTTGATTCTCGTGTCAGTCAATATGAGGAGGATATCCGACTCAAGGACTCCCAAAGAAGCCTGCCGGGCTGGAATTTCTGTACGTTCTTTATATTGAAAGAAGGACTTGCACGTGGATTTGAGCATGTTGGTTTATACGAAGATGCGCTAATTGGATACGATGAGCTTGCTGTTGGGTTGGATGCGGCTCTTCGTGACCAAATAGTTGCTGAGGGAGACCAACATGGTGGGACATTTCTCAGTTACACATCCGATATCAAAGCGAAAGCAGAAAAAGCTTTGGGTTTGATATCTGAGGATGGCGAGGATGATGCTGAAGAAGACGACAGAGATTCATATGAGAAAAAAGTTGACGAAATCCATCAAAGCGATGAAAACGATTACTCTTCTTACATAGCCCTTGATGAACACCACTTTCCTCTTGATCCCAACAAGAAGCTTTACCGTGAAATGATCCTTGCCAATAATATTTCAGTCTTCGACTTTAGAGTCTACATTTTCTCCAGGCAACTGACGCTGCTGCTAAAGGCTGCAAGGGCTCCTTCGATACGGAGAGGTGGGTTATCAGATAGCCAGGTTACGGGGAAACCAGAAAAGGAGCCCGAAGATTTAACCCTTCTTGCGGAAGTATGCGAGCGGGCAAGCGAATTTATTAGTATTGGCTCGCGAACACTACGACACGACTTGCACGCCGTTCTAGAGGATGTGGAACATGATCGCAACGAATCCAGAGTCGCGGATGTCATAAATAACATCGTCTATTCCTGGACGTATTCAGCTGTTTCTCAGGTGCTGATCCAAACCGCAACTGACTCCATTGAGATGCCGAAAACTTCGCTTCGAGACACACGGGACCTTATGAATACGGCAGTGCTTTCGAACTTTGTTGCAGGTACACGACCCGGTGTTCCTAAACGGTCAAGTTCGCTGAGTGCGAATACCCTTATTAATGGTAGCTTCGAAAACCTATCTACCAAATTACATAATGGTGCTCAAAACAGAACACCGTTGGCTTCCCTAAATCCAGGTGGTTCAATACAACAAAAGACCGGACAGTTGGAATTTGCATCCTCACGCGGTAACTTGTTCCTCTATGCGAGGCGTACACTTGAAAACCTTGGACGACGGCACGGTTGGTTTAAAAACTGGCGGGACCTGGGCTTACTATTTGACAGCGAAACTGAATATGCCGTTACTGGTCTGAAGGAAGTATCGTTAGATGAAACTGGAGAAGGTTCCCAAAAATATACAGCAGCGGAATCCAGAGCCAAGCCATTTCTACGTGGGATCGAGAATCCACCTCTAATGGCAGCCGTCAAGTCTGCAAAAAATTTCCATTTCATATACGAGGCACTAACTGATCAGATCTTTTGCTATTACGTCTCAGCAAATAGGACAAGGTCAGCTGAGATGGCAATGGCCGACATTGCTGTTATAAGGTACCGCGCAGGCGACTATGCCACTGCGGCCTCGTATTTTCATCAAATGAGCCCTTTCTATTCTAGTAGCCACTGGGGCGTTTTGGAGGGAGCAATGCTTGAGTTGTATGGAAGATGTCTAAAGCTCCTCGGTCGCAAAGATGATTACGTTCGAATTCTTTTGAAGCTTCTTGGAATTTATGCTGGGGTCGCACAGTCTGGGCAAAAGGCGAGGGATTTTCAAAGCAAGAGAATAAATTCTGCTCCCCCATTGTCTTTCTCCCCAACTGCTCGCACCATGGTTTCAAATTATGTGAATGATCTATTCGAGTCATCTCGCAGCCTTTCGAATGGATTGTCTGTCCCGCTTAAAGACTTTTTTGGTGGGATCGAGGTTAGCCCGGCAATCCATCATTTCAAAAACAAGGATGGCATGCTGGTACAACTTTCACTTCGATTTCTGCTTGGAAATAGCATTAACGTTGACAGCGTGAAATTACGATTGGTTAACTCTGCAGATGTCCATAGCAGTGAAATATGGTTGGAGAATTCGGGCGATGTTGTGTTGAAGTCAACGACGTCAATGGTCCCCCTTCAATCTTTCGTGAGTTCATGGTGTCCCTCTCCCTCTCGTGTATTTTGTCTAATCTCTACGAAATACAAAATATTCAGGTTTCAGTCCATGGAAAGTATCTAGTCGATTGCATAGAGGTACGAGTAGGAAATATCTTGTTTGTTCAGCGTCATGGATCACCCTCGTTGTCCTTGTCTGCAGGATTACAGCAACCTGGCACAGGTGAATCCGGTGAGGAAGATGACCACCCGTTCGTTTTTTGCTACCCTCCGGCCAGGGGACTTGAAGCAAAGCTTTCGCCTCCATGTCATATCAATTTGGGTGAACTGCGAACGATTGAAGTTGCCCTAAAAAGTGGTTGGAATAATATACTTAAGGGTATTCTGCGTGTGAAACCTGCGACTGCTGGGCTACGACTCCGAATTACTGATGCGAGCATTGTAGACGGCTCAGTGACATTAACGGGGAACGGAGAATTGGGGCAAATTGATTTTACGGATTTTGGGCCAGACTCATCGGCCAAATTGAGTATCCCATACACGGTCGAGGATGATCAAACATCTTTGTCTGCGCGTTTGGAAGTGGTGTATGATACACCAGATGGCCAATTTTCTTACTTCTCTGCCACCTCGATCATTTCAACATTGCCTTTGAGCGTCAATGTTCAAGATATGTTCAAAAATGACTCGTTAATGTCGAGATTCACAATTAGTCCAGCCATGGTGACGCCTCTCCGGGTTCTAAACTGCGAAATTCCCAGCTCAGACATATACAAGGTTGAATCCGGCATCTATCATGGGGAGACACTCGATGTTTTCCCCAAACAGCCCGCGTCATTGCTGTACAAAATCATTCCTCGCGGAGACACACCTCTGGAAACGGAAACCTCGAAACGGTCTCTTGCGCTGACGATTGATTTTGCTTGTCTCGATGAGGAATGCCTTGGCGTCATCGAGGACCAATTTATGCGGGACATTGGTTCAAGTAAATTTCAGCAAATAGCCCGACTGTTGACCCCTCGTCTTCTTGATGCATTTCGCTCGCAATGGTCTGCCTATGACTTGGAAACGATCAGCCTCATTCGGGAGGTCGAGATGTTATCATACGAACATGTCCAGTGGGATTCTGTGACCAGTTCACTAGGCGGGAACTTCGGAAAGGAGGTTGTCTCATGGCTCAAGGAATGGCACGCGGTAAGTTTTGTATTCCATGCCTCCTCACAAGGGACTCCCGTCCTGCTTGATAAATAATCGTATGATCGTTCCTAACGAAAAGCCACATAGCAACATCCCGTACTACCCCTTCCTGACATCAATACCGCCGCACCCAACCGTCAGATAATCATCCCCGTTGACGTCCCCGAGATCCAAATCGTGCACACCGCCAACCTCTCCATTCCCAAACCGAGCAACCTCACCCATGCCACGGTAGGCGAGATGATCCCGGCAACCCTGACAATATACCACACACGACGATGGTGTCCCGTAGAGAGCCGGGAGCCAGAGTCTAGCCTAGAATTCTCATACGAGCTCCTCGTTAATCCAGACATATGGCTAGTTGGAGGTCGCAGACGAGGTAATTTCACCGCCAAGGAGGGCGAGAGCCGCTCGTTCACCGTCATGCTACTTCCTCAGAGACCGGGACATCTACTGTTGCCGGGCCTCGAGATTAAGACGTTTGTTATGCAAGTGTCTGACCCGGAGTTTGTCTCAGCTCCACAGCGGAAGCTGGTTCCTTGTGAGGTTGATTACCAGAACCATGCTGAGACTGTGTTGGTGTCGCCGAATCTGAGGAAGACAACAGTTACCTTGGATGTCTCTGGAGGTGGTGGGGTGGGTAGCTGGCTGGTTGAATCTGAACGGAGGGTTGGCATTGCTGGTTGAAAATATGCGTGCGACCTGGGTTTTCTTGTAGCATTGGAGCAAAGGGCGAATCTGGCAATGAATTTCATTTGGACATAGGGCAGCCCTTCTTGTATATAAATATTATAGAAAGGGAGCATATACCAATCAATATAGAAGCCATCAGATAACAAACAGTCCTTTGACTACGAGTATAATGCTGCAAGTTCAATGAATATCATGATCATGCAGCTCCAGATTGAGCCGAGACAAATTTCAGGAGCACGAAACTCTTAGCCAACAACTCTAGTGAACCCCCCCCTCCTCCGCTAACACACACAGGGAACAAGTTACCGGTTACCGCCATTTCATCCCGTGAAACGCAGGTGGAGTTCCAACCTTGGAAATGCAGCCAACCTAACACAGCCCCCCCCCCCCCCCCCCCCCCCTAAATTGGATAAATTATTGTAGCGTGTTGTTAGTCTAGACATTGCACCGATATGCCCATGGTGCAAAACAAGCGTCTTCATTAATTTGAGGAAAAAGGCAATATAACTGTTGAAATGAAATGTTAAATGGTTGATGTGATCTCCCGTGCTGACAAGGATCGAGTAATGTTGTCATTGATGTGGGCGTACACCTCGTCGCAAGAAGTTCACTTGTTACAATGCAGAACGGGTTTCCTTCTTCGCTGCTTCGAGTTTAACAAACCTTGGAAAACATATCACATGACCGCAGAGGCACATGTTTTCTTGGCTCGTGGAAGCAAACCCTAAAAGAAGCTTTTGTGGGACCGAAACTTAACCTTATAAATTCTTTTAGCGCCATTTTCCCTCCTCAACAAAAGCGACCCGGTTGCCCCAACGAAAAAAAAAAAAGAAAAAAAGCCCGCTGCTGCACGGTTTCCGGGTGGTAAAATAAGTACTTACAAAAAAGAGACTTAACGCTCGCAGACCAAGAATGCTAACTGGTTTTTCTCTGTTGTTTGTTTTCTCTTCCTCCGTTCATGAGGACGAAGGCATATATGGAGTATCTAATCCTCCTCGCATGGGTGATGGTTCTCGTTCTCACGGAGTAGCTGCGGGGGGTGGGGGGCTAGAGGGGGCGTCCTGCAAAGATTTCTAGAGTTCTTTGCTCGTATCAAGAGTCCGCTTGATCAGATTGCCTTTTTGGGACGGCCGTCAGGATGCAGAGCAGATAACCCCCCCCCCCCAGTAGGCAGCCTTGAATATTTATAGCTCATTATCACATGGTGCCGAACACAAGACGGCATGTTCCCAGTTCCGCTTCGCCTTGGGGAACCCGTCCGTGGCATAATAAGCCCCAGAATCAAGTCCGAATGGGATTTCGCAGGGAAAGCGGACAAAACCGCGTCCCCCCACCCCACTCTTTGGCTCTCCGATGTACAAAACCGCATGCTGCCAAAACGGGGTATTCAAAGCCGGGTAATTTCGTTTCGCCGCTCTCCGGTTTCCAATTTGTCCTCTTGATGGCCCCTCGGTTGGGTGGCATATGTAATTAATTTTGTTGTGCCGAGCATGCTTTTCTGTAACAGTATTTCGGTACCTGAGGCTAGGTAAGGGACCCCCCCTTGGCGGGGGCTCAACCTTTTCGTTTCTGGTTAATACAGAGTTTCCCGAAGCGCCAGGGTCTGTATTGGGAGCTCGGTGATTGGCTGCCGTAATATGCGGTGAAGAAGGGGTAATCCTGACGCAGAGACGCTTCCTGCAGAAGCTTCGAAGATTCCTGACTGAATTATATGCACGACATCGAGCTATGATCAGTGATATACGTGCTTGGGGATTAACTTCTCGGTCCAACCTTGGTAGCATACATTTGCATTGTGGTGATGACCTTGAAAGGGTTTGGCTGGGCAAAATGGACATTTGCCTGCCCCCACCGCCTTCGCCTTGTGGAATGCGTGGCTCCCAAACCCATGGATGGATGATGGATGAAGGGGTGGCCTGATGGTTTTGATTTCGGTTCGGCAAAAAATAAGATTAAAAAAAAAAAAAAAAGGGAAAAAAACCAGAAGAAGAAGAAGAAGAAGAAGAAAAAAAACCAAAAAAAAACCAAAAAAGTAAGAGCAGAGATAAAATCCCTGGTTAAAAACCCTGCTGCAGAAATGTTAGCGGCAAAAATATACTGTATGGCCTAAACAAGAAACAAAACTTGGTTCCTGGGCGTTTTGTAATTTATCAACAGATACTGTACTGTATTCCGTCGTATTGGTAACGATCTTTAAATAACCTGCCAGGAAGCCGTTGACGCCTTCAGACAGTCTACATATTATCCATATTCATATCAAGAGCAAAATTCACGAATTAACATACATAGTCTCTCATGCTGAGCAAGCACCCATTGAAAATTGCAATTAATGCGGTGTCCGAATCACCATACCCATTCCTTGTCGAAGGTCGTTTTAAGCAACATTTAGTTAAAGCCAGATAGAAAATACGTAATCTTGATCAACTGCCCAGAACAAACTTTTTTGCAAGCTACATAACTATATGCGGGAATCTCGCGAGGACTCTTCTTATTTTCCTTCTCCTGGACGCCCGGGTGAGCTGTGCTGGCATGGGTGTCAGGTTTGCGTCCGAGACGAGCGGACTGCATTTGCAGGTAGCAGTGTGCCACCCGGATATATAGTTGCACAAGTGGTTGGGCGGAAGGAGTTCGCCTTTCTGACTCGCTGCTGGAGTGCTTGCCCTAAAAATGAGACATCGGCTCTCTTCAGCTGCATGTCCGCGCACGAGCAGGCTTCTTTGATTTTTGCTTCAGTTCATTTGAGTTGAGAACTCGTGGCGCGATCTGGATCTGCACCTCTCCCCAGGCCGGTTGAATATTTATTTAAGAATGCCGTCACGAGTCACCAGTTGCAAGTGAGAAGAGTCGGGGAGCCGAGCTTGATTGGAAGCATGTGTCTCTGGCATCCCACTCCGAGGCGTCTCTGCGACGCAGTCATCAAAAGCATGTCGATGTTGGTGTGTTTGGTTATGATGGTTGAGATAATCTGAGATTCCTCGATAAATAATGGAGGCGTGTAATATTACCGGTTGCGCCCTTACAATACCGCAACAATACAGCGCCTCACGGTCTTGGTGGGGCCGCTTATGTGTTTTTCGGTTCCAGAGGGGTACAACAAAACATACCACAAATACGCCCACCGCAAAACGGTGAATAAAAATATCGAAAAAGCCCAAAAAAGAAAAAGAAAGAAAAAAAAAAAGAAGAAAAAAATACAAAAAGTCTGAAAAATTAAATGGAACAAACAAAATCTTGCTCCTTATTTCTTTTCTTCTTTTCCTTCTCATCATCATCACCTCCTCTCGCAGTATTGTGAATTTCTCATTCGACTTTCTTTTCAACACCCTCGCTCTCCTCCCCTCTCGGCTCAATCTCCAACCCGCCTTCTCTCAACTCTACAGCAGTCCGCAGTTCTCTTGCCATTCTTCATCTACGGACCCTGTGGCCGGATAGGAAGCAAGTCATTCAGTCCAATTGAATCCCTTCTGTGAGTTGTTCCTAGATCCCTTCAGTTAGCCGTGCAAAACCACACGTTGACAAGGAGGTTGTTGGCTAACCAATGGGGCAGAGGATTAGTCCAGATATCAGCAGGAAGCTGGACTTATATCCCCAACAACACACCACATCGGTGCAGATTGCTCGCTCACTCGTGTCCATATACAGCTGTACACATTCTTTTCCGCACATCTACCTATTGTCGTCATTGCCTGCAATATCTATCAACCCCCGCCAAACGCAGACAAGATAATATGACTTCAACCGCACTCCCCAAGCGCATGGCGCTCAACAGAAATGCACCCACAGATTCCTCGACAGAGAGCTCCGCATGCGTCTCCCCAATTGACAGCTTGCGTCCTTCCCCGTCCTCGACATCTTTGTCGTCGATGTCTTCAGATGCCCAGCAAGAACCTGTCAAGTTAGTGGACACTTTCGGAAACCCCTTTGAAATCCCAGACTTCACCATCAAGGATATCCGGGATGCCATCCCAGCCCATTGCTTCAAGAGAAGCGGTCTCCGCAGTCTTTCGTATGTACTGAGAGATATCGGTTCAATGGCCGGAACTTTCTACTTTTTCCACAACTATGTCACCCCAGAATACATTCCCTCCACCCCAATCCGCGCAGGCCTGTGGGGCTTCTATACCTTTCTCCAGGGCCTCTTTGGAACAGGTCTATGGGTCATGGCCCACGAGTGCGGACATCAAGCTTTCTCGCCGTCAAAGCTATTGAACGATACTGTTGGCTGGATATGCCATTCCGCCCTGCTGGTGCCATATTTCTCCTGGAAGATCTCCCACAGCAAACATCACAAAGCCACCGGCAACATGGACCGCGACATGGTCTTTGTTCCGAAGACAAGAGAGGTATTTGCGTCGCGATTCGGATATATTGCCCATGAGCTGCACGAATTGATGGAGGAAACTCCTATCCAAACCGCTACCCACATCATTCTCCAGCAGCTTTTCGGGTGGCCCATGTATTTGCTCTCGAATGTCACGGGCCACAACAACCATGAGCGCCAGCCTGAGGGTCGAGGTAAGGGGAAGAAGAATGGCTTCTTCACCGGAGTTAACCACTTCAACCCTTCCAGCCCGTTGTACGAGAACAAACACGTACCACTCATCCTTCTTAGCGACCTCGGTTTGATGCTCACCGGCTCCGTCTTGTACTTGGTTGGGAAAAAGTTCGGCTGGGCCAACCTTGCGGTCTGGTACTTTCTCCCGTATTTGTGGGTCAACCACTGGCTGGGTATGCGGAACTCACCTCCCCTTTTGTTTTGTCAATGTCCATTCCTTCAATTATTGTTTGGCACAGTCAGCTAACAGCTCATGCAGTTGCCATCACCTACCTGCAGCACACCGACCCAACCCTCCCGCATTATACCTCGCAAGCGTGGACCTTTACCCGCGGCGCGGCAGCCACCATCGACCGTGAGTTCGGTTTTATTGGTCGCACTCTTTTCCACGGTATCATCGAAACCCACGTCCTCCACCACTACGTCAGCACCATTCCCTTCTATCACGCAGACGAAGCCAGTGAGGCCATCAAGCCAGTTATGGGCAAGCATTATCGTGCGGACACCGAAGGAGGCAGCATTGGATTCATCAAGTCCCTATGGAAGAGTGCCAGAGCATGCCAGTGGGTCGAGCCATGCGAAGGTGCACAGGGTGAAGGAAAACATGTATATTTCTTCCGAAACCGGAACAATATCGGCATCAAGCCTTCCGTTATGAAACCGTCTTCCTAGAGAACAACATCCACAGAAACGCAAACGAATGGGAAGTAAATACCCAAGTCTTCGTTGGTTTTTTGTGCTTTGCTTTTCGGATAAAATAGAGCGAAGAAGGGTGTTTTCATGCAAAATAATGAGTGGGAAATTTTCACTGTTCGTATGTTGATAATTGATCTCCCTTTTCCTTTTCCCCTTCTCCCGTATTGCATGATTCTGCATCGATCAATCCTAACGTCCCTGACCGAGAGGTAAGGATCCAAAAGATGAAACTCGTCGAAGAATATAAACCCCGCAGGAGTTGTTTTCTTTTCGCCTTCTGGTTGATGTTCTTTTTGTCCTTGACTAACACCCTGTCGTCATATATTGGACGATCTGTTTCTCTCCATTCTCTGGCATCATTGGTGTTCATTGCCACTATATCGTATGTGTTTTCTCTCTCCTAATCCCTTTTGCCAACTTTTCGCTTTTTCTTCCAGCCATGTATATATTTTTTCCCCCTTGAAACCGTCCACATGAATGAATTTCTATCTCTTTATTTCCAATCAAGATGTTTTGCGATACGATGTGACTGAACTGGCCCGTTTTTATTATGTTATGTCCTCTTTTTGAAAATATGTTTCTTCATGTGTCGGGTGGTCAATCTGTCGGAGCTGAGGCTTCGATTATTTGTTATTTGTTTGATAAATTTTTTTCTCTTTTTGCACCCCCTTTTTTTTTTCAAGGTGCTAGTCGTATGAAACGAAAGTCTCCTATTATTAATTTTGCTAGTTTCGGCTTTTCGCTTTCAATTCTTGGCTAGACAACTCTTGCTTCGGGGTCCTTTTTTTGCAGCTCTCTGTTCTTTTATGACTTCTGTTGTCCCATCGTATTCTGAAAGTCTGATTAGAAAAAGATACAATGGGTAATGCGATTTAGAATACTCGGCCAATTCATCCTGTGCATTCATTCTCTTCTTCCTACGGTTGTAAGTTAAAAGATTGACTTGCCATACTGGAGAAAGTAATTCTGACGATGTCAACCTACATGAGATTTCCCGCTCTTTTTGTCCCTGTTTAGGGGGCGCTGAGTTCCCATCCTCCAGCGCATCCATGGCATGAGAGGGCAAGCGAGCATGATGGATGATATGGCAGATTCATAAAGCTAAACCGTCAACCATGTTCATAAAGGGTGGAAGAGCGCATCGCCATCTACAGAACATACCTGAGATTTTCACCAATCCCGTCACACGTTTATGGCTTCCTTCTCTGCCTCCTCAACATGACAGTGCAATGCGAGAAACTGTCTCCGTTCGCTGGATGGCTGGGCTCCCACCCCGCAGATGGGTTAAGCGAGAATGGAAAGAGATGAAGAAGAAGAAGAAGAAGAAGAAGAAGAAGAAGAAGAAGAAGAAGAAGACATTGAGAGATAGAAAGGGTAATTGCAGAGATGAAGATGAGAGGTGGTCAGCTTTTCTAACAAGGACTTTTGTCATCGTTCGATCCCCGCCCCCTTCTACAAAACCCTCAGAGCGGGAAAGCTGAGACCGCTTCGTTATTCCTCTTTTGTCTTGCGACCTCGCTCTGATTTCATGATATAGAGGTGGAAAATGACTCTCTTAAGGAAAACTGTTTCCTTTGTTTTATTAGAAAGTCTTTTGTCTCTACATTTCGTTCGTGCGAATCGACTGTTTTTATGCCTCCATATTTTCGGGGTTTGTTTCAGGCGTGCTTTTTCTGAGATAACCAACCCCCACATCATCCGGCGCATCCGTGCACTTGACGATAAATAAGCTGCCTGCGGTTATTCCCCGCTCCCGCTCCCGCTCCCGCTCCCCGCATTTTATCATATTTTATTTTCATTTGAGTTTGAGACTTTGTCGAAAGTGAACAGCGCCGTTAGTCCATCTGCTTTTGGTCGAAGAGGGCAACAGACTTTTTGTTTCATGTGGTGCGCATACAGCTGCTGGCCAACAACCCCTGACAACGGAATAAAGAGAAAGGAGCCCCTTTGTCAAAAGAAACCAACTCGGCTCCGGACGCCCAATTTCAACGGCTCATAGTACCAAGTCCGTCTCCTGGTAGATAGATTAATTTCAATCACTCAAAAAGCACGTAGCAGAACTTTAATATAATGGCTAGGATGTCGCTTCCCTTCACATCAGGTTCCGGTAGCACTTTGCTAGTTACATGTCCTTGAGAAGCTCGATTGAGTTTGGTGTTTCTTCCATTCAGAGATTTTTGAGCACGGTCATAAGGATGGCAGATCTCATCCCTCAGCAAGGCATATATAATCTGCGAAGCGTAGATCGTGGAGGGGTGATTAGCAGGCCTAACAATGTCTCCCTTCTATATAGTGACTGCACTAATATCCCCTTGGCATCACGAAGTTTTCCTCGTCGCCTGCAGAGCAGCCCAAGGCGACGAGCAGCATTAAGTGTAAATACGTGGTTGACATCCTTTATTTTCTGGGTCTTCCTAAGTGCACGTAAAATATCTCTTCTGCTTTTCCAAGTTGGTCACGATTCAGATATAGGATGCCTAACTTTCGTACCACGGCCGCGATGAGGCCATGCTCGGGGCCAAATAACTTTCATATGTTGCCAGTAGTTCGTCGAACAATGTCTTCTGCAATTGAGAGCTTCCCCTCGATGCGTGAACTAGGCCTAGACAATGTTTTGTTGCCAAAATGTTCACAATCAACTAGACGATCTTCCTGTTAACTGCCTCATGGAATATTCCCTGGTTCATATAGAGGATGCCTAGGGTGCGCTTTGTGCTCATCCGAGATGTAATCTTAGGGCCCAGAGGCCTATTCTTTGAGTGGATTGCTTTTCAGATCATCTCTTCAGCTTCACCCACCCTCTCAAGATGGCTGTAGAGAACGCCTAACCACTTTATGGTATCCAAGGTCGAGTAATGGTTGCTACCTAGAGTCCTCTCTTTTTCTGCTACCAGCTCCAGATAAATATCCTCCGCCGCCTCTGAATACTTTCCCTGATCGAGGAATATATTGCCTAAACGATCTCTCGCTTCTAAGAAAGTGGCTGGACGTTCTGTTCGATTTGGTGGCTTTTGGGTCTAGGGGATAGACACTAATTTCGTCACGTCCGTTGCCATTTAGCAACCGTTGAAAGCAACATTGTGCATAAAGGAGAACAGCTGCTACAGGATCTTAAAAAAAATTTCGGTGGCATTTGGCGAAGCCATCACAACGGCGATCGCTGCAAGCTGTACACAGTTCCCCCTTCGATATTCATCTTGAACGAGGGACCCCGATCTGTGAAGAACAAGATGAATAGTATTGACCATCAATCCTTCCACATTTCCCATAAGAGCATAGCTTTGTAAAATTTTTGATCGCCTCAAGGAACTTAATTTCACTCATTGGAAGGTCATCTAGCCATTTAGCAAGGTATCCTGCCACAGCCCCCGAAATTCGGCTGGTGGGGTGCAAGAGACCATACCAAAGATCCTGGTAGTCGAGGAAGGCCCATAGAAGGAGCAAATTTTGGAGCTGCCTTGTTAATTGAGCGGATTAATTTGTAAGACATCACCCAGGAAGTTCTGACGGGAACGGCATGGTAAACTTTTAGGTGTTTCTGTCAGAAAGAACTTTTTCCTGTCTAAACAGCATCACGTTAGTGGCGAATTTGATGTTTGCTTGTTTCATATAGGCGGCCACCTGTATTAGAGCAAGTGGTTGCCCATTGAGCAATTTCAATAGCTCCCGCATTGATGATATTAGCTAGCATTCTTTTTGCATTTTAAGTACCCAGGAAGACTTACTAACGGGCTTTCCATAGTAGGTTTGAAATATCTCTCGATCTTGGATTGTATTTGCTTGCATCAACATAAGCAGCAGAACTCCAGGCAGCTCTAAATTATTACTTCGTTTCGTGATCGTGATCAAGACCGACCCGTAATCTGCATCTGGCAGTAATTTTCACAATCGTAGCTACCCGCCATAGAATGAGCATCAACAATAAATAACCAGTTGGCGTTGACTGGTGTTCAAGCCATTCCATCACGTTCGTAACAGCTAGGTCAATTTGGTCCTTTTCCCATGACGGATGTAGACATCTTATTTCTGCAGTTGGCCTATTTCAAATTCTTCTTACACAATCATCAAAGTTCTTCCTAGGACTGGAAGCGCTGTGGACATCGATCCATAGGACAGAGCTGAATCTCAGCGATGTCGTTTGGCAAACTCAACAGGAAGACAGAAAATGCCTAATCCACCACTTCCACAGATCATTACTATTTCTTGACAATCTCTTGTTCTCTCTATGGTACAAGGGTGTTTTCTAGTCTGGCCATTTCCGGTCGATCGACAAAGGTTTTTGAGACGGTTGCGCCTTGGAGACTACATGCAATAGGATGGAATATGATAACTATCTAGGCATCAATAGAATGAATTAGCTATTTTCTCTTGAATGGTTGTGTAGTTTTCTTAGCCTTGAACACTGTAATTGTCCATATCTCCTAATGCAGTTTTATTCAGGGGTCCGCCGCCAAACTTGCCGACTTTTCATGGCTCACACATGGGAACTAGGGTGAAAAGTTCCTGGGCATACGTAGGTGCCGTAATAGCCAGAATACTCTTGTATTCTTCAGTTTTAAGGGAGCCCTCAAAGCCGCATATGCCTCAAAGAGCCAAACACGGTAGATTGCTCATCACACCAGTCTGCTCCATTTCAAAGGAAAGGACCCAGAGTGATTTACGCAGAATACATATTGACTGGCCGTGTTCCATTGTTTGGTTCCCCAGAACAGTTAGGTTGGAATAAACACCTCAGATGTTGCGAGATTGTGAGAGCTGAGTCATGAAACGGTCACTGCCCTTCTCAGAACATCGTTTCATCGTGACTAGACGATGACATGCTGCATTGGAAACATGGCACTTATCATGATATTGTCGGGTATTATCCAATTTGTAATCAGCGCGCCCGTAGATAATAACCGACATAAGTTACAAAGGCTTTCTGAATTTGAGCTGTGGACCGATTCAGGAGCATGAGTCGCGAGTTATCCACTCCGTCAATATATCCTTCGTCATTCTCCGCTTTTCCATAACAGCATCGTCATTCTCTTGTCAATCCATTGGTAGGTCAACTGACTGGTATATATCCCCTAGTCGTATATCGACAAACTGACTTGGAACATCTCTTTCAATACCGATCACAAGAACAAAGGTAACTGAGGCAAAGGTCAGCTGCATTTTCACAACCACAGCCGCCACGGCTGTAGAAGCTTTACCACCAGCATCCAATGGCATGCCAGGCTATAACAACATTGTGGCCGCCAATTTCTCCTAGTTCGTAGACATTGTCGTCTCTTGGTAGCTGGATAGGTTTCTCTTCAGCCACGTCGAGCATGAGTTGCTCAGCTATTATCTCTATTGGGAGTGCACATAACTAACAACCCAACCGTATAGGCAACAGGGAGAGCTTTTTAGATGGTGCCATTTAGACAGAGAGCTTATTTCCCAGAAGGCTTCAATGGACAAATCCTGAATTTGCAAACTCCCATAGACTGATTAGGATAAACAAATAAGAAATGTGAAAAGAGAACAAATAATGGACAATCAAACATTATGTCCAGCACTTACAGGACAAAAATAGATGAGTGAGAAATTTTGGTCATATTCAAGATTAAAACAAATAATGAACAGAGGAGATTTATTCGGACCAATCATGTTGAAAAGGAAGTGCAAAAGGGTTCTCCCGCACTAGTGAACCGGAATCATGTATCTTGTCTAAGCAGAGAAAATGAATAGAGTCCGGGGAACAAAAATGCTGGCAATCTAGCCCGCCAATTATCATAATCTTTACCAACAGAGTTAGAGCAACTACTATGGATATAACCTGTCGAATGCATGTTGAGCGGCTATTTCTGATCTGATACCGGATCATTGTCGATTGTCAGGGTTTCGTCATGGAAATGTCCATCCAAACATCAAAATATCAACAACCAGTCCTTCACGTTTATCGTAACTCGGATGAGAGAGATCGTGTTACTCATCCGAAACGAGGAAATGAATATCGACATAATCGTGATGTCTTTATTTACGTAGGAATGCAGATGTTCAATCATCATCGCCTGGGATAATGCCTCGTATTCCGCTTGGGTATATTTCGAACCCGACTTCGTCAACGGTCGGATCAAATTCAACCATGTTAATTTCTGCGGTTGCTCCTGTTTTATCGTGATCTAGGGTTTGATGTGGATCCCCAGAGGTCCACGGCGAGAACACGACCTGAATTGTTCGCCGTTTCCGGTGTGTTGGGGTGGTGAGAGAATCAGAATCGCTAGCAACTTTAACGGCAGTCTTTAGATGAACTTTCGGGTTTTGTTCTTTGAGAGCCTTCTCTATTTCGGGCCCGGTTCCCCCATCGGCTGTGTGAATCCAAGAGGTGTTATTTTGATTAAGTTTAGGATTCAAAGGTGTATGCGGTTGGTCTCCTGCATGGTGGTCAGAGACAAGTTTGTCAACAATCGTGTATGAGGAAGGTACAGAAGGTAAAATGCCTGAATCAGTTCTTTGACAGCTAAATTTTGTGTCTTGGACGGAAATTCGGACGTTCTTTATCTTGAGGACAACTCGACAATCGATCTGGTTTGTCCAAACAATGCCGAGAGCCGGTGTTTTCCACTCGGGAAGGAAATCAGAGGACATGGAATCTAGAGTGGTTGCATGTGAGTCGCCCCAGCCAGTGAAAAACGGTCGCTGGTAGTCAAGCTTTAAGAGTTCGGAAAGATCAAGAACACTGAGAGATAAATCATTCCCTCCCGCCTCAGCCACGGGTGAGGGAACAGGAGATGATAAAAGACCCAGTTGATTAGGTGGGGATGACCGGAGAATATCGGAAACATCTGCCATGCGTTCTGCTGGAAGAGCAGATGTTTGCTGGGATGATCTTTGGGAGGGGAGGTCCTCCATGTAGCAGCCTGTGGGTGGTTCAGGTTCGTCTGCCCATATAACATCATCCATCTGAATCTGATCTGATACTTGGTTCGCAACAACAATGGCGATATTCTCTTTAGCGGCCAAGTTCCTTAAAAATCGGCCAAGTTTTTTGAGCTGCCATGCTCGAGCCAGTAGGCCGGGTACGTTATCTGAATCACTCTCTGCACGATAGTTTGCTGTTATGGAATCGATCACCACAAGGCCGATATTGTACCGTGACACCGCAACTGGAATTTGATAATTTAAAATGTGATCTTGAGTTTCAAGATCAATCGTGGTTATGGACAGGATATTTTCCAAGGATGGGCGGGCAGATGCTTCCGGGAGAGTAGAAAGTAGAGGATGTTCGTCAAGAAGCTGTGATAGTCTGCCTGTAGGAAGGTCTGATTCCGTGGAAAAATAAAGTGCCTTCCGAGACGTCCCATACGGGGGCGGTAACTGGACGGAGAGGAGTAGATGGAGAAGGAACTGGGTTTTACCACTCCCACTGCAGTTGACTCATAATGTTAGTTCTCGTTCACCAACGTGATATAATGCGTGTAACTGTGGCGGTCCTACCTCTCCCCTGCAAACTCGGTGATATATCCCGTTGAAATACCACCTGCCAGAGCTGCATCCAGAACGGGGTCCAACGTGCTGATGAATGAAAGCTCCGGAAATTTATGGCCCTGTCTCGGATTTGAATCCCTATAAGTCTCCACCCCTCTGCGGCCACCAATATCTATGCTTCCTGATGCCCCGTCTCCAGGCTCCTGATTGCTAACTAGCCCAAGATCGTGATGTAGAGCGGTGATCACATTTCCGGCGAGGGCACGCACATCCGTCACGGCTACCTTTGCTTGCTTGGCAATTTCTAGGGGGTCAAACAAGACCAAATCCTTGACTGAAACATTTGCCTTTTCAAGGGAAGGTAATATATGGGAATAGGACTTAATGGGGAAATCGGGAATGGTCGAAAGGAGATCCATGTCGTGGGTCGCGCACACGGTGGTTACAACTGGGTTCGTCCAAGAGCACGTCGGGACATCTATCAGCTGCATGTGCTGTACTTATGAGGACGCCATAGCCCTAGTAAATCTGCATCTAGATGTCCACGCAATTGAAATATCATGTTGATGCTGTTCTGTAGGATAATCAAGATTGAACCTGGTGAAAAGGAACGGAGTCGCGTGGAAATGTGTTTCAATTGATAACTAACATTCAAGCAATGGGATCTGCAACAAAGAGTGCATATCTCACAATATTCACATCACTTTTATCATTGCTGTAACTCGAAGTTGTTCATTTCCAGGGTTGAGGATGGGTCTCAACTTATCCATCAATCAATCCATCATGTTTGATGGTAAAAGTCAGGGGGAGAGTTAGTTAACTAGTTTAACCCTATTAGTCATCATCTTCCTGATTGAAAGTCAAACCCCGCGTGCGGCTTCTTCCCGCGAGACTCTGAATCTTTAACGTTATATAAACTTTCTTCAAGAGTTGGTTTAACTAGTTGATAATAATCGCTAATGTAAACAACTTGCTCCGTAAACTCTCCTACTGCCAACCAAGACAACTTAAAGTCATTTTCTGCATTTTCCTTGAAATAGATATACCAGCTGATGCTCTAATAACGCTTTTCAAGCCGTTGTCTCTCTCCCGATCAGATCAGCTGATCTGATCGGAGAAACTCAATCTTGTTGGTTGTTGGGCAGCGGCATACAAACTTGCCGGCCTACAACCCGAAGATGGTCAGCCTTAAACTTTGTGGCTGCGAGTGTGCAATATTTAAATCCAACCTCCTAAACGCTCAGCCCCGCGCTTTGTCATTGTTTCCGCTGCACGGTTAAGCCCACTGCGTGGGTTTGCTTATTGGGATTCTGCCCTTTGTTGTTGTTCTATATGTACTTCTCTTGATTCCCTTTCTTTGACTAACTATACCTAACTACAAATCCGCAGCAAGGAGTGTGAAGATTTGTCGGCTTAGAGAGCCTCAGTCTGTTTTTAAGGCATCCCTACTACATAACCTACCTTTTACTTAACACGTTTTGGTGAAACTTCAGGCTCTTCTATTTGCTTTTACTCCCCTGTAATATTCCATGATGTTACCACATCCACTCGAACAGCTGCAAGCAGCAGAAATCGACTGTGCGCGGGAGGTCATCATCAGGGCTAATCCCGGTGTTGTTATTCAATTTCGATCAATATTTCTTCAAGAGCCCTCGAAGGCGGTCTTGACAAGTTTCCTGGCAGCGGAGCATAGCGGATCACTTTCTCCGCCTACTTCTCGTCCACCAAGATTGGCAAATGTTCACTATGATACTGTGCAGACAGATAAGACCCATGACTATGTTGAATCTGTTGTGGACTTGGGTCTGAAGAAAGAAATATCTCGGCAAGCATTTGATAATTCGCACCAGCCTTCAATCACCCTGTAAGCTTCACCCTTGAGCAGAAATATTTATTACCCGCTACCTTCTCGTGAAACACATGTTCTATGCGGTTAACAGTTTATAGGGAAGAATTTGGATCATTCAACAAGGCCTGCATGGAGTCCTCATTATTCCAAGAAGCCATTTCTAAATTTATATTACCAGATGGCTTTGTTCTCGAAATTGATCCATGGCCATATGGTGGACTCGACCCTGGCGAGCCCACAATTCGCTATATGCAGGGCCTGTGTTTCGCGAGGGACACACGAAATGGAAATCCCGATTCCAACCATTATGGTTATCCGATTCCAATCATCCCAGTGATGGATTTTTATAAGCGAGAAATCATTAGGATTGACAAACTCGCAACTGGAGGTTTCGGTGATGGCCTAGCTTATGATACTAACTCTCCAAATATACTGGACCACACTCGAGCGTCTGAGTATGTCCCCGAACTTTTAGGCATAAAACTACGAACGGATGTGAAGCCACTGAATGTGCTTCAACCAGAAGGGCCTTCCTTCTACGTGAGTAATGATAATCTTATCGAATGGCAGAAATGGAGATTCCGTGTTGGATTCAACCCTCGTGAAGGCGCAACAATCCATGACGTTCATTACGATGGACGCAGCATTCTCCACCGCCTCAGCATATCCGAAATGACGGTTCCTTATGGTGATCCCCGACCACCATTTCAACGAAAGCAAGCTTTTGATTTTGGCGATGGAGGCGCCGGACGATCTGCAAATAATCTAGCCTTGGGCTGCGATTGCCTGGGTGTTATCAAGTACTTGGATAGTTTCAACGTCGATGCGTCAGGCCGTCCTTCCGTGGCTAAGAATGTCGTGTGCATCCACGAACAAGATAATGGCATCGGATGGAAACATACAAACTTCCGGACAAGCCAGGCCGTTGTTACTCGATATCGTGAGCTTGTGGTTCAGTTCGTCATTACCCTCGCCAACTACGAATATATATTTGCGTACAAGTTCGACCAGGCAGGAGGAGTTACTTTCGAAACTCGTGCGACAGGTATCGTTTCAGTGGTCAACATTGACCCAGGAAAGACGTCGCCCTGGGGTAATGTGGTATCACCTGGTGCCCTGGCTCAGAACCATCAACATTTATTCTGCCTTCGCATTGACCCTGCAATTGATGGCCACCGAAATACTATATTCCGCGAAGAGTCTTTACCAATTCCTATGGACATCACTACTAATCCGCATGGGAATGCCTACAACGTAGTTTCCCAACCGATAGCCACTTCAAGTGGATTTAATGCTTCTCCCAGTACCAACTTAACAGTCAAAATGTCCAATACCAACGTTCGAAATCCTATCTCTGGACGGCCAGTCTCCTATAAATTTACACCTCCGGCTACACAGCTTATACTTGCTGACCCAAGGTCCACAGTCGCCCGTCGTGCTCAATTTGCAAAACATCATGTTTGGGTGACAGCCTACCGGGATGGTGAGCTATTCGCAGGAGGGAAATTTACTAATCAGTCCCGAAGCGAACGGGGAGGTCTTGCTGATGCTGCCGCTCGGAATGACAGTACGCTTGATTCCGATGTGGTGCTATGGTCGGTGTTCGGGCTTACGCATAATCCTCGCGTGGAGGATTGGCCGGTGATGCCAATTGAGAAAATTGAGCTGCACCTGCGCCCCGCTGACTTCTTCGATCGTAATCCTGCGTTGGATGTTCCCGGGATTAAAAATGACACAAGTGTAGTTGTTGGTGGCGAGGAGAGCTGTTGTTCTCCAGGTGGGAAGGTTCAGCAGGCAGCTGAATCGCATCGTCAAAGCTCCAACGATATTCCTGTTAAAAATAGCATGCTGTGAGGCGGACAAGGGAATTAATTACCCTGAAATTTCTTATTGTTGGTGATGAATGGTCCATAGTTACGTAGTTATAAACGCACTCGTTATACATACTAAGTCTTTGAAATTGAATTATTATTATTATTATTATTTTCATGCTAGAGGTGTCTATGAAAGCAGTCTTTTATATTAATATTTTATATCTCTTATTCTTCCCCACCAAAATTTCTCTGGACCGTAGCCCAATACAAGAGGCATGACAGCAACCCCGCACAAACCCAAGGTTCCATCCCGGAGCTATCCCTTCGACTCCGATTCTCGGAACGGTTATACTACACCTAACAAACTATCGTGACTCTTCTTCATCTCACGCATAATTGAAATTACAGTAGCCACATTAAGTAACTAAGGTTCCAACGCAATCGCGAGAATGCCAGTCTTCCATATTGGTAAGTTGACATTTACCCGAATTGAGAGACTTGCCCCTCGGCAGCATTTTCTACAACCCCACTCCAATCGGGCAGTTAAACAACCCAAGAAAGCCTAATCACCCAGTCTTTATTTAGTGCTCTTCAAGCTAAAAGCAGGCGTAACGCCCGCTCAAATAGACGAATTCAAACAGGCATGCAAGGCTATGGTGGGCCAGGTTCCAGGTGGGTAACTACAGTTTCCGCTAACTAAACTGATCATTTTCGAACAAAGCAGCCTTCATGTAACTATGGGCTTAATGTTGAAAAGTGAGAGAGATCAATCTAAGCCTATTGATTTACAGGACTTCGCGAAATGCACAACAATGCCCCCCTGGCCATCACGGCATCGCGTGCAAAAGGGTATGATATGGGCTTGCTAGCGATTTTGGAGAAGCCGGATGATGTCCAGGTGTATGCGGCGCATCCAGCGCATCAGGTGTATGTCGACCAACGCGACCTTATATCCCTTCCAGCTTTGCTTTTTTTTTTTTATTTTTATTCTTGTTTTATTTTTCCCTACTCCTGGCTTTCCGTTTTGCCTAACCTGTTTATGTAATTTGTAGGGTGCAAAAGATACGAGAGGAGATATGTGAAGACGCCCTGGCGTATGATATGGAGTTTTAGTCGTGGAAGAGGAAGAGTGTGCTTTCTGTTGTTTATGGGGCCTACGCCATTTAGTAACAACGGGAAAATGAATGATGAATAGTTGCCTAGAAATTTCTATTGAATTATTTGTGAAAATAAGATGAGACACCTTCTATAGACATGTGGAACTACTAGTGATATACGACTGCGATTGGAGAATATGCCCCTCAAGGCTTGCTGGCAGGTAGGATAACGAGAGACGGGGTGAGGGGATCCAGAAGCAATAAAGCCACCTGCTGCAGCAGATCGGAATACCCATCTAATTGACAAAGGTGCCTTGCTCTTTTGCTCTATCAATTTGAAATAATCCCGTATGTACCGTCGACTCACGTAGACTCTTGCCCTTTCAAATGAGTGGAAGAAACGACATATTGGACATAAGACATATCATCGCCATGATGATAGTGGTATCTTTCAATCCGTTGTGGTCAAGCCAGGACCTTCAGAGAACACATCCAAGTTAGTTCTGTGCATATAAACTTGGATATTTAGCGGAACAATCACTTACTGGCTAGTGAATGCGAACCCACAACCGATCTTATTTCGAATTAATAGCATGAGAGCCAGACTATCGGAGGCGATATGCGGATAGCAGTATACAGCATATGTAATTGCAATTGCGCCGCCGCTTCCAATCCCAAATGCCACAGAGTCCATTCCAAATCCTACTGGAAGGAACCACATAACCCCATTGAATACCCCTAGACCATGCATGAGGAGCCTACCGGTATTGATGAGCGCAGGAACTAGCATAGTCCAAAACTTGAACTCAGGTTCTAGAATTCCCTTGTTGCGTCTGGAGAGGAAAAGTATGCACCAGTCAGACGCATAGCCATCCCATAACATGCCTAGGACTCCACAGATGAAGGAGGAAAAGTTGGTGTTGCCAACGTTGCTCATGTTGAAGTTGTACGGGGACCCACTGAAAATTTCAGACTGTCACGTTGATCAGAGATAACCGCATAATTTGTACGCCGTACATGAAACCCGCCCAAATGACTGTTGGGTACGTGGCAAGCATGATCGGGGTGATAGCAAAGCACCATAGAGGTCGTGGGCCACTCTGAGAGGTGTTATACAATGCCATTCGCTGCCAGTATGTCTTCGGTGCAGGTGGAGTTGAAGACTCGCAGATGCTACCACTTTATCCGAATGGCTCGAGGATATTCGTTTTCCCGTCTTCTCAACTGCTTCTTTGTAAGATGGGATACCGTAGCTGTGTTTCCGGAAATCACAGAAGATGTAGGTGGTCTGAGAAATACGGATTCTTCCATTGTCAAGAGTTGGATGACCAGAAGAACACCGAAGAAAATGATCAGGTAGTTGCAACACCATCGCCAGCCTTAAGGATCAGCGATACATCCAGCGGTGACGGAACCAAGGTAGAACCCAGCATATATCGTGAATACAAGTAAGCTCAATCTGGTGCCTTTCTCATGTCAAAAAAATATGTCAGTCGTCACGATTTGAACCAGAGAGTCCATTGGAGCGGCACCAAACCCTCCAAGGACATTTACGCCCCAGAGCATCTAGACAGTTGCCCGAAAAGTTCCTAACACGTAGTCTAAAGGATTTAGAAGATGTCCAACAAGGTAGACCGGTCATCGGCCAATCTTCATGGCTATAAGCTGCAAAATGACACAGCCCAACCAAAGGAAGAGGAAACAAAACGCCGAAGCAATGCTCAATGCAAAATATGTTGTCTTTAGATAAATCGTGAATTGGGTCTATCGCTTGTCAGTCAACCCAATATACGGATACTGCAGCCAGAAATCTCCAGATCCAAAGAATCCAGAAGTGATACTCGTTGCGGAGCTTGCTCCATTTGAGTGAATGACTCCGGTCGTTTGAGGGTTGAGGTACCAAGACGATATCGGAATTTCTACCATTTTCATTTTTTTACGTTCATTGTCCCTTCCACTAAACACATTGGCCTGCGTCAGCCTCTATTTAACCTCATATGAATCAGGTTGAAGAGATATGGATAACCTATAGTCAACAATGTGTATCGTCCCAGGAACCCTTTTACGCCTTCAATCGCCTTGAATTCCATGGCTTCGGCGGTGCTGGTTCGGCGCTGATGATAGGTATGCTCTTGGAGAGGACGTGCCAATTGTACAGTTCAATTGTAGATATTCAAAAATGCAAGCGTCCTATGTATCCCACGCCATGGAACACTCTACCAAAATTTGCAATTCCTAACCCTATATGCCAAGGGAAGGATGACAATAAGAGGCAAGGAGTCAAAAGGACCCAGTTTCCATTAATCACTGATTATGATACCCGAGTTGAAGCCGTAGCGGAGTAATTGGACAAAGCCGCCGAAGCAGGGAAAAGGGTCGTTGCATATTAACCCGCTCGATTCAAGGGTAGGCAGTGATTCGTGCAGAGATATCAATATTTAGATCCATTCCTCTACAACTGAAGAAGCAGAGTCGAAAAGATGTCACGTCAAGCCTGGCTCCAATTAGCATCTTTCCCCCGCTTGACTTGGTGCGACAGAACAGCTTCATAGCCGAAGAACTCCCCGTTGGGGTCGTTGGAAGCATGCTCCCCCATATATGGGATAAATGAGGGGTTTTCTATAGAGTTCTCCACTCTATGTTTGCGTGAAGGCGGTCATCTGTTGTCACTGACTCACTTTATCACAAATAGAGTGAGTGTGAGATAGTTAAGGATATTTAAACAAACCCCGCTGCCTTATTCGATAACTAACTACGGAACACTTGAAACATTGCGAGACGAACAAACTGGGTGTTGAATGCGGAGGCGGGGAGTGGTTAGAGGGACGTGCGATTTAGCATTCGATGGGTCCCACCGAGCCCCAGATTATCCTCTATGTGCACCGTATCATGTCTGAGGCACAACGACGCCCCAAATCTAGCCGAATATATAAAAGTGCTCAACAACCAGAGATTTCACCACAAGGCAAGAAAATATCCACGGATGTTCGGATCTTCATTGTGACGAGATTCGGTGACTCGACAATTTGCGAATGTTCCGTCATAGCTGGGTTAACATCAGCATATCACACCAAGCATTCAATTCATATGGGATCAATGAGCAATCCAAAAAAAAAAAAATAAATAAATAAAAAATAAATAAAAAATAAAAAATAGTCGATGGCTCTTATTTTAGGGAACAATCCCTGGAAGACCGGCTTTTCTCAGGTAACAATGGCTAAAGGAAAACCCCTCCATTGCGTGGTTCGACCCAGGCGCAGCAGAAATGTCTCTTAGGTCAAACCGCCAAACCCTCGATCAAAACAAAGAAAGCAAATGGATCCAGAATTGAAATTCGGGGTATTGACTTGGCATTCGGATAACGAACGTATCTTTGGTCATTTCTGCTAACACTGCAGGCCAATCCAGCAGCCACAATTAGCTGAAAGGGCTCCCCGAATCCGTTTCCAGAAACCGGGGGCCGCATTGATCTGCAGCTTATCTCGATCTTCACAGCTTCTTCCGGACTAGGAGAGGAAATCAAACCGATTGACGGGAAACCCTGGCATTGGCAGACTGAATTCTATTATTGTCGCCCTCAGACTTCATTATTAGATCCTGGCAAAAACGCTGGCCTCTTCACCTAGATGGGCGGCATGGAGATAGAGCACACTGCTGAGTGCATGCTTGCATCGACAGCGGATTCTGCATCATCCCATGTATCCCGAAGTCGCAACTCACAGCACGCACACGGATTGGTCAACCAAATGTTTCGAAGGGCAGGGCAAGCAGGCTGAAGTGCCGCTAAATCATAGCTAATGACGAGCTAACCCGGGAAGGTCATCGCAACGCTTCTTTGGGCTCGGGTTTTTGTCATTTTGCAGAGGGGCCAGAGCGAACACACTCTCGCCAACGGATGCCCAGGAACCTTGGCCTTTTTATATTTTAAGGCCGTTACTTTAATTTATTTTATTCTTTTTTTTGACATATCGGGGGTTAACTTCAGTCTCCGGGACACAGCACACAAACTGAAAACAGGATGTGTGGCTGGCAACGATAGGAGACTATAAAGGCTGCCACCGTCTACCCCATCTCACCACCGTTAATTAACTAACTATCAATCTTATCATCCATCATGAGAGGAGGATAGCCAACTTGATGAAGCGATCGATCGGTCCCGAACTAGCTGTCATCGAAGCTTCTCGCTGCACGGATCGCCGATAAGACCCAACGACTATTTTCAGCTGCTACAAAGAATCCTCACCCTATTGCAAGATCCCAGAATTGATCAACTATAAATCCGTTTTTGAGCGGCCATTGGCGACCATCAATACTGCCCAAAGATCATTATTTTCGAACCCTCCAACTGTGTTGATGACTTGGGACGATGATCAGGTCGGTTCCCACGTCCGCTGACCTTTTTCCGTCATATTCTTCTCCTCAATCTGGCACCCCCGTAATTTAACATAATCTTAAAACACCGAAATTTTCCCGACTTCTCTTTTTTCCTTGTCCAAGTTATTGATGAAAGGCTATCCCTTTCAGCTATCCCTTTCAGATACTTGCGTATTATTATCTCCCCCTGCTGCATGGACACCTCCCCGCCTTCGAATTGTGTATAAACTATGTCCTTACCAGCATCAACCCACAGGCTATGCTGCACATCTTGTCTCGAGTTGACTGACAATGCAAATAGTCAGCGTGAAATCTTGCGATGGCCTCCCTTCTTGCTGGGCTGGAAACTCCACTTCTCAAAGTCAGCCGGCCGGTGGCAGCATGCTCCAGGTGCCGCACAGCCAAAATAAAATGTGACGGCAAACTTCCTGCTTGCTCTGCCTGCGAACGTGCTGGTAAAGCCTCTACTTGCCCGGGAGCAACCGATGAATTTGCCAAGGGAAAGGAACGGAGCTATGTGGCCGCTCTCGAGGGCCAGTGTGAACGGCTAGTGAAAGAAATTGCGGAAGCGAAACGTCGTCGTCGACAGATATCTATCTTAGAAGGGGCTCCATTGATCAACCGAGGCGGCAACGCAAAGCAGGTGATCTCTCAAAGTAGGGAGAAAGCTCATCTCAAAGAGGCCTCCGATATTGATGATCTGGTAGGAGATTTTGGCTTTCTGTGAGTTGTTAGATTGACGCACAATTAATTCCTTGATTTCCAACGCTGATGTTGATTCCAGATCTGTCAACGCAACTTCGAGGGATTTTCATGGAATCACCTCGTCAACGTCTTTTGCAGGGCTCCTTTTAGCAGTAGCTGTGGCAAAGCCATTACAGAATACAGCTGAAAGCAGGGACCTCCCGCCACGTGCAGAATCTTCTACTGTTGTTCAGTATTATTTCGACAATATCTATGTTCTCACCCCCTTTTTTATACAAACCAGCTTTTGGGCTTCATTTGATGTGGTATATCAGGAAGGGGGCCGGTTCGCCAAAAGCTTTGATCATTGGATTGTACATCTTGTTCTTGCTATCGCTCGGGCTTCAACATCGCATCCTCAATTGGCGAGACACCACGTTTCGATAGCGCTAAGATATGCTGAAGACGTTCTTCATCCTGGAGTGATTGTTGGCATTCAAGCCATCTTATTGCTAGCACAATATTCAATGCTTGATCCTGAGCATTTCAGACCTTGGTACTTGGTCGGGAGTGCCTCCAGAGTGGTATCTGATCTTGGGATCCACCAAGAGCAACTCTCAGAAACAAACATTGATGAATGTTTGGTAGACCTTCGGCGCAGGGTGTTTCATTGCGTCCATTCTTTGGATAGGTACGCGAGCAGCCAATCCATATACTTTTTAAAATATTAATTTTTCTCCAGATATTTAAGTATCGCAATTGGGCGAGCATGCTCGTTCTCAGATGACTCGGCAAATGTTCCTCTTCCAGAACTTCCACCACAATCAGGTGAACGAATACCTAACTTGAACACTTCTCTGTTTGCAAATAGAATCGAGCCAGCCATTCACTTGTTCAAAATCCGTAATATCCAATCAAGAGCATATCACACGATGTTTTTTAGTGGCCGGGATCCCGCCCTGGATCGTTCCTTGTATATATGGGAGCTCTGCGCAGAAGCTCAAAGCTGGTTCAGTGCAATACCTGGAACGATGCAAACCCATCTCATGATATTCTATCATTTGGAGCTTTTCTACACCTTTGTTATCCTTCTCTCCCCATCAACTCACAACCCGCTCGTGAGCACACTGCATCGCGTCCTATTATTCGAATACACCATCAAATTCATCACACAAATGCACCAAATAGTCAACGCCGTCAAGTGGCCGCTGGTTCTCTCCTACGTCGATATTCAACGAGTGTCGACAGTCGCGAGCAAATTTCTAGACGCCACCAACCAGGCCTATGACGAAATACTTTTTGACACTTTCCCTGAACCACCCATATCCATGTCTCTGGGAGCACACCATCCTCCGTATATACGTCCAGCAGATCGGACCAATTCCGTTGGCCGGGCGCTGAGATGTCTATTTGAAATACGATCTATTTTAGAATATGCCCATTCCCGCTGGAATGTGCGGACATTGTTGGACGAATTCCAGACATCTTCCGGGTGTCTGGAGAAGAGGCTATTACAGAGCCAAGCTCAGGATCACCGACCACTTTTGAATCTAGTTCCGCCTGCTCCTCCTATCTTTCCCAACCAAGCGTATCCCATGCACCCAATTCCACCACCAAATATGCTGCAGCAGCGACAGGATCTACCTCCTCCCCCCTCTAATTTGCATATACAAAACGGCCATCAGAAATATTGATGTTGCATATCAAAGATTTTCGGAAGGGGATTATGGGTTATCATTTCTTATATTTATCTGATTAGACGAAGTAGAGGTGCGAAATGTTTGCATCGGAAATAAAACGTGCATTGTTATATGGATCCACACAGCAACCCCAATGAATGAAGGAGAGGTTAAGGAGCAACTCACATTAGCTGTCGCGAGAGATATTTATATCTTCGTGCTTGATGCAAATCCACACCACCATTTACTTTACATTTGTGTTTTGAAGGACATTCTCTCTCCGCTTGGGTATCTACTGGAGATTTCCGATCTTAGTAGCCCCTCCCCAGCCTCGATATCAATACCAGCTTTTGAATATCTATACCTGCTCTGCTTCCACCGCTTTTTCATTTTCTAATTAACGTTCAAACCATGGAATGGTTCAGTGCTAAGAGTAGATGTCGGAATCATATTGCTAAGATTATGTGTGCATCTGAGATAACCCCTCAAATGAGAAACTATTTCTCTTGTCATCCTAGTACCTTTAATACCGTAAAACAAAAGAAGACCTCACAAGGAAGATAAACCCGATTCATTCTTAGTAGAATAACCAACTTGCTTTCCTAGGAGTCCTTCTGCTCCTCAATGTAATTCATGTATCATAAAATGACATTCAAATATGATCACCAAATTCGAGAGCACTTGATGCTAGCTGACTGACAGAAGAAAAAGGGCAGATAGAGTGCAGATATGCAAAAGAATTTCCACTCGAGGAAACCGCAAACACAACTCAAATGTAAGTTGGGCTGTTAAACAATATCCCCATAGGGAGTGGGAAGAGACTTAGGGAAACAAAAACCTAGAGTGAATCATCGCTATTTTCCTTAAGAGATAAAGAAAATTATTAAAACATCAGCATCACCCTCGCTGCCAGAAGAAGCTGGTATCGTAAGTTGGACTCTCTGCGGGTACTCAGTCAACTTTCGCAAAATCACTGGACGTATAAATCTCGAATTCTCCCGATGAAAAAGAACGTGAAGATCTCCTAGCTCCAGATTTTACACAAGAAATAGGAGACGATCTAACCAGAACCCAAACTACCACTGCTAGAACGTTGAGGATTGCGAGGTTCATTACCGCTCACACTAAATCTTGTGAGCCTCCTCCTTCCCCCATAAGAAGAAGATGGTACAGCTCGCCATTCAACGCGTTGGGCTAATGGTTCGTTGTGCCGACAAACCTGACGACATTTACCATTTTTCCAAGTCGATTCAAACGACGTTGTCCATGAATATTGTTGGGGGGGTTAATGCTGGCGTCGACGACCTATGGGTGTATATTAGAATGAGAGAACTGTACAAAGTTGGGGTTATAAGATGTTATATGTACCTTCGCTTTGTCTCAATCGACTTTTTCTTCCAATGCAACCAAGGAAGCGAAGGGTCAAGTCAAGCTTGGGTGGGTTGTATGGGCTGCCAGGTTAGACGCTAGCGAGTAGTCATCAATGAAATACAACTTATGCTCATCTCCATCGAGAAACTTTGGGGTTCTCACGTTGGTCCAATCCGATTTAGAATCACTTGCTCGAGCAGCTGCTTTAAATGTGCAGAACTTGTGAAAGAAGTCGGTTAAAGTGCAGTTTAGTCCAATCTTCGTAAACACGAGTGTGACTAGACTTATTGAGAGCAGAATGCACAGCATCAACAGTATTCCCAAGTGTCAAAATCTTCTCTCTGCGACAATCCTCAAACCCAGCTAAATTTGCCGTTTCGCAAAGCGACCGCACTGCCACATGGTTTCGAACTGTTCTGTGGTCAGCGCATAGTTACCATAACGGGCGTAATAGGTAGTCGAGGACGGATTTGGTAGATTTTCGATGGACTTGGGAGAGGATTCTTGTCGGTTGCCAATAACTACCAACACGGTACTCACGAATGGGGTTGCCACCATGACTTGCGGGCAAGGGACCTGGGATGTGAATCTGCTTCGACGACAAAACAGCATGGGAGAGAGGACTAGAAACTGTAATAATAATAACTTCACGTTCTTCAGCGTCCGAGCCAGGCCCGACAAGATGGTGGAGGTTGGATGACTCGAACGCATTCTTGAATTTTAGCTGCCATTGGAATTATAACGCAATAACTAAAGACCTGGAGGTTGAGGCTCTATTGGGTATAGAGGTATATGAGACGAAGAAGGTAGGAAATGTGATGAAGGGAGATGAAGAGGGGAGGGTATGAGAAAGATGAGAAGAACACAGGTATGGGTGAACAAAGCAGTCAAGAACACAAAATTATCTCCAAAGAAAGAATCAAGAGAAGGAAAAGGTGACATAATGTTGTTCAACACTGAGATATGAGACGAGCGTCAAGACCCATAATATAGGCAAAAAATTGAGATGTGACATGGTGAGATCTCTCACAGCAGTCTGAAAAGCATCGTCAGTTTGTTTACACAAGAAATGAAGTTCCACTCCGTACTGACACACCATCGTAGAAGAGAACTAGAGTCTTCTAGCAACATATAACAAAAAGTATCTGGGGGGGGGGGGGGGGGGGGGGGGGGGGATAGTTCAACATATTCAAACCCCATATGCCTCCGCGGGTTTGCAAGAAATGAGAAACATGAAGAGTCAGGCTTATTCTCACTATGTCCCTCAACGCTGGCAGCAGAGGAGCAGATGCAGAGAAGAACAGCGAGCCTTTCTCATCTCCTTCCCCAGGAGAACGGAACGATGAAACGGTGGAATGTGCTTGCCGGGGATTCTCGACCAGAGAAAATTAAATTCTCTGGGGACAGAAACAACAAACAACTCGAAATGGTGTTCAGTAATAACAAAGTGGATAAGAATATGAAGAGGTTGCACTCACGGCACACATGAAGTACCCCTTACTCTGTGCTCGTCCGTTGGTATGTATTAAAATTGGATATTGATTCCCTATAGTTATAGTTTTGGACACTGGCTTCCGATTCCGCCATAATTGCCTCTTCCCTTTGAGCGATGCTATATTCTTGGAGCCGGTCCTCGGCATGGATGGTGTGGGGAATTGCGATGGCCGCCCTTCTAGGGCGGGGGTTTTGTTTGATTCCTCGCTCAGTCTTGACACAACGACTTCGAGAACACCAGCACATTTCACCACGTGTTGAGATGAAGGGACAACAATTGGACACGATAGCTGAACATGAACGCATTAATCCAGAATACCCTGCGCTGTTCGCCCCTCCGGAATCAATAGAGGGTCGAGCTGCGGGGGTCGAGTCGACTGCCGCCGGCACTGATAAGTTAATAAACCCGGGAATTCCATCTCGCAATGGGATACGACGCGTACTCGGTGATCTAGAAACATGCGCCGAAGACCTCCTGATCTTCGTCTCGAGTTCGGACTCAGAGCAGCGTGTTCTTATTTCCAGGTCGAAGTTACGGTCATGCAGAGAGGCAATCTTTTCGCTTATCCGGTGGTTCGAAACGCAGCGCAAAGATATACGCCTCTCGCACGAAAAGCATGCTTATTCACCGAACAGCAATCTGGAAGGTGGCTCTGCAGCAGGAACACCGGATAACGGGGTAGGTCCACGCAACAAACGAGCGGCAATCGGCATTTCAGAGCAGCAGCAACTCTGTGAGGCGAACGTTTGCCGCTCCGTCAAATCCTCACAAGCGTGTACCAAAGCCGGAAACATGACAAGGGAAGAGATAAAACTATGCAACATGTGTAGACCACGAAACGAGGAACTCATCAGAAAACACTGTGCGAAACAACACCAACCGCAACAGAATATCCTTTACATTCTTCTGGCATTACTTGCTGCGCTATCTGGAGCTGCAGGAGTATTTGTGCTTATTCGCAAAGCAAAAGGGCAGCGGCACGAACTTGGACCAGGTCCCTGTCCCTCATTCAACAGTCACCCGGGAATTCTAGGACAGGGCGTCATCACGGGTATCCAAAGATCAAGAAGCTTACTTGGTATGCCAGATGTGGAAAAGAACCCTGGGATAGGAAGTAATAGACCCCAACTACAAACCCGATCATCACATGGCTCCCAGAGGGGTATAGCAGATGCTGAAATGCAAATGTACAACCATGAAGGCCAGGGTTCTTGCCAGGTAGCCCATAGCGATTCGTTGAAACTTCGAGGAGGGACAGGGAGGAAAAGACCAACCACACCAACCGCTTGTTTCCAAACACAGACGCTTCATAGTTTTTGAGGCGGTCCATGCTAGCCTAGTCCTAGAGGATTGAGAGATCTGTGTCCGCTTCTATTATTTTTGAAATGCTGATGGAACAGGAAGATGTCGCAGGTGTTGGTCATTTTGAGTATGCATATGCAGCAATCTCTGGTGAGGGATTGGTAGTGCCCCATGGTTTTCTTTAGTTGGGTAATATTCTGAGTTGGGGTGTAGCAACGTCTTTTGTAACTATTCTTAGCTCATGATTGGACTTATCACCCTCATGATGAATTAGTTGAAGCTGTTGGTGTGGTATCAAACACTGAGTTAGAAGAATTGTCACTTGAGTGTTCTGGTGCTAGGTAATAATTCGACATGATGCACCAGGCAGCCTTAATGCGCTTCCTCAAGTGAGTGATTCATCTCAAGCAAATGAGCAATCGATTCAGAATATTTCAAAAGACTAGTAGTACCTGAACTATTTGCACTGGGTAGTAAAAGTTAAGTTTAACATTAAAAATGATATAAATTAAGTATAGTTATAAATAAATATACAGAAAATAAAGGATCATAGTTTACATATAATATAATAAAAAGATGTTTTTATTATTTTTACATTTTACATTTTATAATAACATTCTCATGCGTGAAGTTTATTTGTTAAATATAAAAGTAGATTAATTTTAATAAACTACCTGTTAAATATCAATTAAAATTTATACAACTACTATTAAGTTAAAATAAGAAAGTATTATATAGGCATGTAGCAAACACTTCGAAATTCGACCCGTTTCTAAAACTTTAATAGCTTAATACAGTTCTTATCTTGATAGCAGGCAATGTCTGCAATGTTGTTATTGATAAAGAGGTTGATAAACGCGACGCGTGTGGAGAAGTGAACCAGAATGTGGCGGATTAACTGCGGTTAGATAGGGAGCGCTCTACTAAATTAGCTCCTGTCGCGAACCGCTAGTTACCAACATAAATACAGGGATGCACTTCGCATCCTGAGACTAATAATCGATCATGGAACCGATTTCGAAGCTGCTGGGTTCGCAATCCCTGGCGAGCTGTTACGATTCAAAACAAAAGTTGGGACGAATGGCGAGTCACAGTTGCAAGTCGTAGCAATTCTGACCAGGGGGATTCTCAGCCCAATCTCACTTTCGAATTACACACACACACACACACACACACACACACACACACGGGAAGGGAAAAAAAAAAAAGGTAACAAAAACTTAACAGGTCATATACAACAAGAATATAAACCAATGCCAACCCGCGGCGAAAACCCAATTGTGCCAAGGACGTCCTAAGAAAAATCCATCGAAATATATAGCATTTATGAAACCACCCTCTTCTCTCCTTTCCCAAACCCCATCCCATCCATTTCAAACATCTACAAATTCTTCGTCCTCTCATCACTCTCTCTTATCCACCTATTCACGCTCTCCCGATCCCTCACACGGAACCCAACCTTGAACAGCTTCGGATCCAACGTCAGCGACGTCTTGGTCGCATTGCACTCCAGCGCATCCAGAATCGGATGGTCCTCCGGGTTCTTGGCGGGAACCATGCGGAAAGCTGAAATTAATCGAATGAAGGCGGTGTACAGTTCACGGTTGGCCAGATGCGAGCCTGCGCACATGCGCGAACCGGCACCGTAGGCGTAATGGGGGGTTCCGGTGCTGCCGTCGGTGGTGTTGAGGTAGCGTTCCGGCTCGAAGAGGTGGGGGTTCTTGAAGTGAGTGTCGTCGTAGTCGGCGGCGTAGGCGTTCTGGGGTTAAGGGATATGCGGTCAGTCATATCCAGGGGAATGGATTGGGGTGAGGGGTGAGCGTGTGCGTACCATGAAGAATGTAGTGCCTGCTGGAATGATTGCGTCTTTGTACGGGATGTCTTTGATGCTGACACGGGGCAAACAGATGGGGATGACTGTGTAGAAGCGGAGGATTTCCTTGACTAGAGCGGTGATGTAAGGGACCTTTTCTTCGACCAGGCACTTTTCCCAGGCATCTCCGTCTGGGTATACTCTCATGATTTCGTTGTAGGCCCGAGTTTGGATTTCTTGGCCGTGGTCGGAAGCGAGATAAGCAATGCCCATGATCAGATTTCCGGGGACGGTGTCGAGACCTGCAGACACCATAGTCAGGCAGATGGATCTGATTTCGGCTACAGCAGTAATTGCATGTCAGAGAAAACGTTCGATAGACAACTTTACAACTTTACGGGGTAGGGTACAATTGCTGTGGATGGTTCACTGACCTTCATTTAGCTTTGCCTCTGGATCCTTCAGAATATTACCAGTAATACATGGCTTGTCCGTGCCATTCGCTATTCTCTCTCTGAGCATATCCAACAAGAGAGACAGATATTTATCTCTTCGTGATCGGAATTCCTTTGCCTGCGCGTTGCGACTTGGCCACAGTCTAAGCAGGGGAACATAGTCCTGCCAGTTGTTGCTCGTGCTCCTGAAATTACTGACAATGCGCTCAACATGGCAGATCTCCTTGAGCAGCTCGTTGTCGATGCTTCCATCAATGCGGATTCCGTAGTTCAACGTCAAGCTCGTGTTCAGCGCAAAGCGCTGGAAGTATGCGTTGGGATCAATATCTACCGTTCCATCCTTGCTGTCCTGTAGAAGTTCTTTGATGCTGACGTTAGATTCCAAATCAATGATAGGCATGTATGATTGTACAGCAGGACGGTTCAGAGCGGTAGCGGCAGCCTTCCGACGTCTTTTGCACGATTCATCCCATGGAGATGTACCGATGGTAAAACCTTGGGAGCTAGATACGACGGTGTGGAAGGTATGCAATGTTGGGCGGGAGATGAGCGCAGATTGGTGGGTTATCCAGAAATACTTGACGGAATCAAAGGTATTGGCAAAGACGATTCTCTACAGCAATGGTAATTTCACATCAATATCAGCAGGTAGGGATCCCACCGCCACTGCACCCGGGATGAACAGCGCACCTTGTTTCCCAGTCGAACTTGAAACACCTCTCCATATGTCTTCACCCATTCTGCTGCTCTTTTGGCATGCTCGTCACCCAGCTGGATGAGATTCCCAAATATAGGAATGCCAGGAACTTCAGTCAGGTTCTTTATCTTGGAAATATCTGTTTGGTTCAGATATCTGAGCAGGAAAAGGCCAACGGCAACGGCTAATGCAACGGTTTGGAGCCCCATATTGCTATGGTTCGGTTGGAGGTATACAGGTCAGACGGGATGTTAACAACCCGAACAGTATTAAATGGTAGAACGGACGCCTTCAAACATTTGAATACAAGGCTGATGAAGGGATCTGCTTGAAACGTGTAGTTAAGCGCAGATCAACGCAGGAGTTTGTGTGCTAAGCCAAGGGGGAACACCCAACACACTGCACAATCAAACCGAGAATAACCAACTCCGCTGAGGGGGGTCGCAGTACCAGTATATATATACATGCAAACAAACCAGCACAACAAACCACTTCGGCGGTCTCTGAACCCGCTGCAGGCCACATCGCCGTTCTTCCGTGTTTCAAACGTGCTTGCTGTGACTGGCTGATATGGCCATCGCGCATTCAATTCCGCGCAGGCAAAACTATCCAAAAACAGCTAGATCGGAACGCAGCCGAGCATTAACCCTATGCTTACCGCCCGCATCCCATCCCAACCCCGGGAGAGGGGGGTTTTGGCGGAGGTGGGGGAAATTGCTGTTTTGCGGGGTAAACTCTTGCAGTTACCCTGAAATTGTTTGTTTTGGAGGGTTTGCCCCGCGCCCGGCTATATTCGGCTGGGAGAGGCTATTTCCGCGCTCGGAACCAAAGAGCGGAAACAATCATCTCCCCTTCCTCCCCCCCCCACGTTAAACAACTTACGGCGTCTGTTCCTGGGTCAAACATCGGTCCGTATTGCGATGGTTCGTATCGGCCATTGGGCTGCTACGAACCTTCCAACTAGCCCCCGTGCAAATATAACCGAGTCATTAGTTGTTGTTGTTGTTGGAAACCAGTTCTCCGGCCTTTGCCTCTGGGGTTCCCAGGCTCTGCGCGCTGAGAAGGAAACCGGGCAGCCGCCCCCGTATGGATTCACGTTGGATAGATTCTATATATACTTGTTATTGATGGTAGTTATGGTCCAAATGGGAATGTACCCTGCCCGTAGCCTATGTCACCTTGCGCATCTGGTTCAACCCGTCTGTTAGACAAGAGAAAATGGACAAGCTGGGAAGGATTACTCTGATCTACCCGGTTTCAAAGAAACCAAGAAGCACTAAAACGTTCTCCTTTGATGTTAGCTAACTTTTTATCGTGTCAGCTGTCCTTATTAGCAGATTACAAAAAGTATTCTTCTGCGACATTATTAAATAAGAGTATACGTAGAGTACACTAACGGCTTGTTGTGAGAATCCTAAGCATCCATCCTGAGCCTATACCACCGATATCTTCATCAAAAATGAATACCTATACAGATAATCCGATTTGCCATATCTGTGCGCTGCAGGTAGGAGCGCCTTAAAGGGCAGGCGGGCCGACTGATAAACATGTGGGAAAGCAGCGGTTTGTCATCCCAGCAGCCAGCAGCTTCCTTTTGTAAAAACACACTTCACATTCTTTCCTTCATTGGGAACGTGTGGGTATAAATTCTCACCTTTCCCCGTAGACTTTTCCCTTTCTCTTCTTCTTTTTCTTCACAAATAAATAGGTGCGTATCAAACTTCCCAATCTCGCCCCCTGTGAAAAAAAAAAACATTGAAGAACAGCCCCGTTTACGATCTCGGCGTTTGCTGGAGCTGTAACTAGGCGTTTGCATCCTCTTCTTGGTGCTCCTCCAGCACCCCTTAATGATAGCCTGGCTCCAGCGACGATTTCCATGGCTGCAGCCGCAGATGGAATCTCTTCATAAGAGTAATGTCAGGCAAATCTTAACCACTGGAGGGGTCTATTCACTTTAAAGATGGGTCATATCACCAACGTGAAGTTACGATCTCCAAGGTGGCGCGCCTCAAGTGAACCTTCAATTCAATGGTTGAGATGGTGGCAATCCCTGAAGATCGCCTCCGGCTCCAGGAAGACGTACCCTCCGTTTTGTTAGGCGCGGCTCACATCAAATCAGAGTAGAAGTAAGGTAGTAACACTTTGTAGTGAAGCTACGACGGACTCAATACGATCCCACTTTCCTACCAGCAACGGAGCAAAATCATCTGTCGTTTGTGAGATAGAGATAGACCGGGAGTGCTAGGCAATCGGCTACGAACTGTAGATACACAATGATGTTGTGGTGGTTGTTGCTTGAACAACTTGCTATCCCAAACGGCGAACTCTTAAAAGCACCCCCCACAGAAACCTTGTGCATTCTTTATCGGAATGGCAATTATGCAGTGGATGATACACTGTTTGATTTTTCCAAATATCATCTGCAGGTAGTGTTTCCCGTCTTAGGTTCCAAACTGTCGTAATTGAAAGAAGTTCGGCAAAAGGCAGTTTCCTGGACCTGCGATTGAGGTAAATTGACGTCTCACAATAGTTGCAACACAGTCCCCTTCTAGATGCCTCAGATGAAATATAATCTGTATCCTCTTCGCGTCTGCAAATTTCGGCAAACCTGGAAAACATAAAGGAAGTATCAACTGATATATGCGGGCACAAAAGTCGGGATGTGACCTGATTCGCAACGGAGCGGCCGGCGATCAAATAGACGGTGTGTATATGCAAATCTTCATCAGCTCAAATATTTGCGACGACTCATATGAAAGCCTTTTGGCATGTTACTGGACTTGAGTCGATGAATCAAATTGACTTTGTCCTATAATGTTACGATCACACCGGGACACAAACTCACAATACCACTTCCACGTCCAAGCTTACAGACCCTCTTCTCTGGTTTAACTAGTTGGGATAGCAAAATTAGAACATCCTAAGACACATTGAACAGCAGTACCTTGGGTTGATCCTCCAGAAAGCGGAAAACACCTTCCATCGGCTGGAGCACCACGTCATTTGCATTAAACAAAAACTTTTCGGCACTCTAGGTGTCTAGCGGAGACCCACATTTGCTCGACGGGAAGCGAATTATGGTAGAACTTTCGAACACACTTACATGTAACTAACTAAGCGCTGGGCAGACGAGTGACCTTATATTTGATAAGGGGAAAGCCTGGTTAAAGGGAAATGATAGTACAAACACAACATAGAAGCGGGAGATATCAGATAGTCAAATCGACATCAAAGGAGAAAAGAAATGAAAGGGAGTAGGAAAAGTGGTTTTACCCAGAACAGGCGCGATGGCGGAGTGGTTAACGCGAGAGACTAGAATTTGAATAGTTAACTGTGGTTAGCCAACGACAACAGTTGGTGCTTATCTCTTCTCTTCGGAGGCGTAGGTTCGAATCCTGCTCGCGTCGAGTACATCTTTACCATCATGGTAAGAAAGATACTTGTTCCATTTGAACTGATTACTGCTTATTTTTCTTCTTTTGTTTTGGAGTTGAGACATTATATAAGACTTATTAATATTGAGGGGAAAGAGGTAGTTATACAACTATGTGAGATCAAGAGGCCGTCAGGGCAACGCTAACTCACCCAACAAGTTTTTTTACCTTTTATCTCTTTTGAGCCATATAGCATCATCGCAGGAGAGTCATCCCAGATACGTAGACAGCAGATGCAGGCTTGCAGCACCTCTACTCTGTCCTATTAATATCTCACCGCCAATATAATATAGCCTCATAACCCCTTCTCCGTCAGTCAACATGGCTGCGCAGCCCACCGGCAAAACATTTGTAGAGGAAAGCAGAAGCCAGACAGTGAGAGTCATGCTTCAGCAGACTCCTTTTCACTGATAAGCAATTGACAGGTACACATCCTCAAGGCCTTTAGAAAGAACGACCACATACTCCTAGCCGGAGGAGCCCACGCCTTTGCAATGAATACCAAGTCCCCTCTGAGTGGGACACAAAACGAAGAGTTTTATCTCCGCCAACCGCGAGTCGACCCCGAGATACTGTATGACAACCATAGTATGCCAGGTTCCTCAATGAGAAAAGCTAACTTTGGAGAATAGCTCTCGCATGAACTGATCAACCAAAACCAGAAGTGTAAGCATGCTGAGTCGCTTCAGAATCCACTTGAGCGTCTTGGTCACCCGCCTCCCGATGAGAAGCAGGAGACGGAAAACGAAAGGAAACTGATCCCCATCTAACAACGCACCTATGGAACAAGCGACGTCGATCTGACAGCTCCGTCCAAAATTGGATACGACATAATTATCGGTGGCCCATGGAATGCAACTTGATCAGCAATCCACAACGGGCCAAATACAAAGATCGAAGTTTTGATCGGAGCAGCAATGTGCACTGGGGGCATCCATTTGGGACGGTAGTAACTCGTACCAAGTTGAAGGAAGTTTCTTGTCGTAAAATTGAAGTGAGCCTACAAGGCGCTGCCAGCATGACGACGCAACCTTGAACATAATTTTTCTAAGGGAATGCCGGAGGATAACCACTCCGCCCGCAATCGTAGTCATGCTTTCGCGGCAAATCAAGCTCGATCTATTATTGATGGTTAGTCACCCGTTCTGCTCGGTGGAAAATTCAATATATCTAAGTCTGGAGGAGCAAAGAGGTACCTGTATATATAAGTTATTTTCTTGTGAGACATGTTGGAGCTCGAACGCTTTGAACATATTGAGCAGCTGAAGCGGATATATTCGAGCGAGGACCAGATAGAGACTCCATTCTTCACATGGGTAGGTGACAAGCTAACATCCATCAAGCAAAGGCAGAAAAATACGGCTGGAATGGGAAAGGTGAAATAATGAACTCGTTGAATAACCGTGCCACGCGCACTCACTACCTCCCATTAGTGAGTATGCCCCATCATTAAGGAAATATCATTATAATTGAAATCTCTTTCTCATATATTTATCACCACTCTTCAAAATTTAATAACCACCACCACTATGCTTAATAATATTAAATATTTAGAAGATCAGATTCAGATGGCATTAGACACTATAAAATCAAACTCAAAATTAAAAATCACAAATATGGTAAGAGAATTGAAAATTCTATATAAAACTCTATATAGATATATTAAGAGAAGAAGATCAAGAAATATATAAGTTTCAATCAATCAAATATTAAGTAATAGCCAGGAGGAAGTAATTAAGAAGTGGATTCATCAATTGAATAGAAACTTTTGCCTCTTTATAATTAAACATATTGAAGTCACTGTGAATTGAATGCTAAGTTGTTATCATATCAATTCTAACACTTCTTTTTACTTCTGTGGGCAAGATATGAATGTATTAATTTATCAAATATCTATTTGATTGTAAGACAATGAAACAGAAATTTATAAATTTAAAACAAATGTTAAATGAGAATATAAGCTTTGTTATCAACTGATTTTGACTGCTATAAATTCATCTTCAATCAGTATAAGTTTCATATTAGTAATATATATAATTTTGAAAAGATCAGATTTTAAAAAGAAGAAGAATATGCACAATTAGTAATAACTGTCTATCAAGATATCAATTCTATCATACAGTCATCATATTCTTGTAGATTAATAACAGTGATGAAATGCATCAGTGCAGATGACATAGTGTTAAAATCATTGATTATAATAAAATCAAAGATTTATGTAAAAGATTGATATATATACTTCAATTTGTCTGATGATTAATATACCTCATCACTCAACACTCACTACCACTCAATGCCCACTGTGGCGTTCTGCCCCTATTATTACCTGTGGTATTCCACCCCTGGCATTCCGCTTCTATTCTTCCACCTCTTTCTATATTAGTATTTGCTCTCTATTTGCCCCTTTCTAATTCATTCAGAGGCTTCAATCTTTTCTATATTTCCTATTCTATACAATCACTTCTATCATATAGAGCAATTATAATATCTATATATAGCAGGGCATCTGCCTATCTTATTAGAAGAGAATCAGACATGATTTATCCTATCGCTAGATGTTGGGATATTTGGACCATTGGGTAAATCATATTCCAAAACAACTGAATGAATGAATGAGAACTGGAATGGGATTCATACGCACTACAAAGAGGTCTTTTTGGCAGCTTTTTGACACTGCGTGGAAGGAGGCAGTTACATCTTCAAATATTGAAGCTGCATTTGCTGCTACTGGCCTACATCCATTCAATCCGGAACGCGTTCTTAAGAAGCTTCAAATACGACCTTGCACCCCCCCCTGACGCAATATATCAACCAAGAACACCTACTTCTATTGTTGGCCTGCGGAAATTGGTGAAGCAAGTCAAGCAACAGCAGCATCAAATATCTAATGATCTCAACTGGGTGATCCGTGCAGGGGAAAATCTTGCTCTTGATAAAGAGGTTCTTTTAATAGAGAATCAGCAGCTTCAAAAAGCTCTTAATCAAGAGAGGAGACATTGCAAGTGTGGCAGGGCAATGGGGTTGCTAGATCCCTTGAATCCATCATTGACGCAGTTCTTCTCGCCAGCAAAGGTGCAGAGCATCTGTGAGAATTTGGCGGCCTCAGAGGTTGCCAAAAAGGATGAGCAAGCTCGTAAGGAGGATGCAAAGCTGCAATACACTATTCTTAAGGAACAGAAGGAGGCAGATATCATCCAGCAGAGGATGGAGCGGGAGGCAGCTCGCCCGGCCACAAAACAGCAAAAGGAAATGGATAAGGCCGCAAGAGCTGCTCAACGGCAGATTGACAAGGAGCTTAGAGATGAGAAAAAGGCTCAGGAGCAAAAAGAAAAGGAAGAACGAGCTGCCGTACGGCTACAATCATGATTGAATAAGAAGATGATTGAAGAATTCAAAAATCACCTTACTAATCGGGAAAGTAGACCCTCGATTTCGCAAAGAGTGGCTAAATCGCGTTTTCAGAGCCCTGCCAGGGTGCCCACAGATCCACTGCCAGAGGGATATGATGATATTGCAATCTCTACTGGTTTAATGACTGCTTGCTCGCTGAATCTGCCTCCACCCAAGATTTCACATTCCGGGCGAGTTATTAAGCCAAACAAATGTTTACTGAATTAGCTATATATTTTTATATGTAATTTTCTATATATATTTTCATCCTATAATATATCATCTTAAAATCTAATTGCGTTGTTGAAATAACATTGAAAATATTTCATCATAGTGATGGCGAAATGGCGGGCGTTGGGTGTAAACGGGCGTTGGGTGGTGGATTACGTTACATTATGTCATCACTGTATTTGAGACCAGCTTCACTAATGATGAGATTGAATTTGAATGGATAAAATTTTTTAATACTGCTACTAAAAAATGCCAGATTAGCAGTCATTGACTATTACTGTTAGGGCGCGAATGCGAGCTGCATAAGGAACTCTCTGCGTTGCTAACTGCTATATAACGAAATACTAAGCTTGATGGGATGAAAGGGGCCTATAATAACCTGCATGGTCACATGATGAGGGTTATGGCGCCGGGTTCCCTCGTTCAGGCTCAATCGGGCGCTGAGCCTAACAATTACTGCTTGATAATCATGAATCTCATCTTATCAAAAAGTTTCTCCAATATTGCAACTTTCATAACATCATTGTATTTGAATTTTCATTTCATACAAGTTATCTATTGCAATCTTTTGATAATGTGTCTTTTCAGCAATAAAAGCATTATCATATAAAAGCAGCTAATAAGGCTACTTGATATAAATATAAATAATATAATAAGAAATAGTTTCTTGCTAATTTAAAGAGTATTTATTATTAAGTCTTCAAATCTACTATCATCAAAGCTGAACTTACTGATTATAAAATTTATTCAATTAAATAAGAAGTAATTCGTCAATGCCTGAGGCAACATAATATAGATGATAACTCAGAGCTGCTTGTTAATGACAGTGATAGTGAAGAATGTTTCAGTTTTATTTCATTTTCTAAGATTTAACTTTTTATTATATCTTCTCAGTTGATATCTCTAAATATAGTTGTAAAATTATATCATTAAATTTAGACAGCAGATAAAATCATACAAGAGATGAAAAACACTCTGACACCTGATCTAACTTAGTGATTGAATAAAATCTTCAAGGAGAGTCTGATATAAACAGAATTAAATACACACTAAGAGAATGAGTTATGTTAGGCTCGGCGCCGAGGCTAGGTTTATCTTCATCACGTGATCATGCCCCATATGTAGCCTAGTGGATTGATATGATCCAGTCACATGAATCCAATCACGTGATCATGTTAATTGTTTACATTCAATCACGTGATCACGTTGATACGTTATAATCAGGGCAGACCCTGACACCTTTTTCCCTCACCAATCTTAGTATTTCATTATATAGCCATTAGCAATGCAGAGAGATTCTTTCTCATGCAGCTCGCATTCACTCCCTAACAAGTTATCTGCTCATTATGTGATGAATAGACACCAGATTGTCAAAAACAGCTGCAGACAGGTGCAGGTAGAGGGTGTCCTCACTATTAAGGATGTTAATCACAAGATCAAGCATCATAAGGAATTGATAAAAGAGAGGAATAGAGCCCTACAGTCAGTTGAGATCAAAGTTCTCAAATCTAATGTCAACCAATAACAACATGATGTTATTAATGGATCTCAATCTACTGAAGATTCTACATGCTTTAATGAGTATATAGATAATCTTTATATTATAGATAGGCATGGTGTTGACCATTAATTAATTTTTGAAGATTGGTGACCCTAGAATATTTCAATTATAATGATATTTCCTTTATAGCGGGGAGCACTCCTCACTAATGGGAGGTAGTGAGTGCGCGTGGCACGGTTACTGAAATACCTCGAAATTCAGAAAAAGAGTATTAATTTTTGAAACAGCTATCTTTTGATCAACTTAGAAATAATAACAACACATGGGATAGAAAATGACACTTTTTTGTTTTTCGCCTCATATTTCAAATTGTTTCACATGTATAGATGTCGGCTTCAATGATGCTCTCTTATAAGACACCCCTATCGCAAAGTACACCCGCCAGCTTTACCTGGATTATGACTGTATACAACCGCCCCATAACAGGGTTCGCACCCACAGAAGCCGTGGGTCAACAAACCTCTTTGGGCATCCAGCCCCCTTTTTACCTCCACACTGCATAGCGTAAGCGACTCTCCCAATCTGGAGCAAGGTTGCCATTGCTACACAAACGACCACAACCACGAGATTGTTCATCACCTGGCCACAACGTCACCTGTGTGGATGACAGAAATGTTGCGAGTAACAGCTTAACTCAGACATGAAGATTAAGGTTGACCGTAAAGGACGAAGAGCCACATCGGAATTGGGCATCGTGCCAGAAGGTAGCCCCCGAATACGTTGCGACCAAGCAACAGGCGACGAGAGAACCACGGCCTTGAAAAAATCTTGTTCGGGTATTACATAAAGTATTTTCGCCACGGCAATGCGAGAAGGGTATGTTCACTTCTCTAACAGGTGTGTAAAATTTTGCGTATAAGCACATTGGGTCCCGTATAATCTCAGTCATAGTTTCCGCCGATCTGACTTGCAAAGGCCGTCGAAACGCTACGTGCGTCATCATCGTCGGTTGGATGGCCACGTGTGCCGCGGGGGGCACGAATGCTCGCCGAACTTCCACCAAAGATACTGCCGTTGTCACTGGGTCCAGGTTTGTATGGCTCTGCGCGACCGCCAGATTCGACGTAGCGTTTCAAGCGGTCAGACTGGCTCATGCTTGGCTGCTTGTGCATATCGTGAATGGTTAGACCGGAGAGGCTAACGCCTCCTTGCCCAATGACACTTCCCGTGACGTCGGACTCGGTGGCTGCGACAGATTCGCCAGTTACACTTGGCGCAGCTTTCCCCCTGGATCCGTTAGCACGACGATGGCCTGGAAGCTGTGGCCACGGGTCGGCAAAGTTCCGGAACATGTGAGGATATCCGGATGGAATAGCAACCCCTCCGAGAGCAGAGGAGTGGACGGAAGAGACATCATCTGGAATATAGCTGGCCACAGATCCGGTATCGTGGTAGTCATTGCGATGACCATTCCTACCATTGACCATACCACTAGCCATATTGGAGGCGTGGTTATATGCCACCTGGAAGCGCTGCGGTCCGCGGTAAGCCTGCTTCGGGCGGCTGAACTGGACAAGAGACACCTGCAAGTTTGATAGAGGCCCTTCTACCAGACAATTCTTTTCTTTGAAATGTAGCAGCAAGTAGTTCCACAGAGGATGCTTTGATAAAACCTTCGGGTTGCCCAGGATCACCAATCCATACTTCGCACGCGTAAGCGCAACATTAAGTCGACGTGGATCACTCAAAAATCCAATGCCCTGATGGTCATTGGACCTAACACAGGAGAGCACGATGTAATCCTTCTCTCGGCCTTGGAAGGCATCAACGGATGCAACCTCGATTTCTTTATAAAGCTCCTTCTTAAAAGTACCGGTAGCCTGCATCGAGCTGACAACGTAACTACGCTGTCCTTCGTACGGGGTGATGATACCAATACTGGATGGCTTCACACCAGCCTTGAAAAATCTTGTGACAATTTTCTCCACATTGGCGGCTTCGGTACGATTGAGGTAGGACGTTCCAGATGCAGAAATTTCTTCATTTCCTAGGTTGGACCAGAACATCATAGGATTATGGGCGACAGGCCAGGGAAAGTCAACATCCTTCAAAAGGCGTTCGGATTCAGTGACACCATTTTGCAAGGAGCCGTCGTAGAACATGTTTGACGGAAACTCAGAGAGACATGGATGCATACGATACTGTACGTTGAGTCGAATCGGTGCACATCCCAGAATGACCAAACGTTCGAACAAAGATTGGTTGAGCCCTGCCTTGGCCGCCTTTTTGTTCATGATGACAGGCCCAAGTTGCTGATGGTCACCAACAAGCACAACTTGCTTGCAGCCTAACACAAGGGGAATCATGCACTCAGGTTCCGCCGATTGAGTAGACTCGTCTATGAGTACGGTTCGGAATTTGAATTTTGCAAGGCGCGGATCGCCAGCACCAACGCAAGTGCAGCAAATAACATCCGCATTGCTCAAAATCTCTCTCTCCGCTGCACGAACAAGTTGCTTGTATTTTTTCTCGTCCTGGCTAGACAACTCTCCCAATTCGGCCTTCAGCTGATTTAGTTTAACAAGTTCGATATTACTGTCGTTGTTATGAACCTGTTCGTGGAGGGAAAGGAAGCCAACAGGAGATTCAACATCCTCTCGTGACTTTGCAGTGACACGGACAGTCTTCAAGCCGGTCTTGTGAATCCGCTCGCAAAGTTGGTCGACTGCAACGTTAGAGGGAGCGCAGACCAAAACTTGCCCTCCATTTATTTTTGCCAGATGGTAGATAATATTAGCAGACGTGACAGTTTTACCGGTGCCAGGAGGGCCTTGAATCAAACTCAAGGGCTTCTGGAGAACGCTTTTAACAGCATTGGTTTGGCTGCTATTAAGGTCGGGAAGGCCTGGAACACTAAACTTTTTGGGCATCTGGGTCCTCATAGGCCCCGCAGCGACCTCATTCCCTAAAAGCCGGTGGAAAATGTAGCCCGAAACACTCATCTCATCAACAGCAAATGTCTTCATAGCTAGTTGCATTCGATCAAAGGAAGTGGCCTTCCAGACATAATCAGCAGTAAAATTATGCGTGCAATCTGTGGGAACGGATTTGTGGTCGCCTTTGGTTCGCAACTCAATAGTGACCTCGTCAGACTGATTGTTGGGTATTTTTATGACATATCCAACGCCGTCCCATTTAGGGCGTAACTCTCCCGTATATTTGAGACGCATTTCATCGCCAACGGCTAACTTCACATCTCCAAGTTCCAGTTTCGGGAGAACGAAGCTTGCGAGATGCTTGTTGTTCAACCCCAGATCCCAACGTACAACCAAACCATCTTGGGACTGGGCCTCTTTCAATTTGCGGTCATAGTCGGCTTCAATCTTTACAAGGGGACCAAACACATTCTGATACTGGTATGCATCATCATAACGAAGAAGGACTGGAGCAGGCTCATCGTCAACACCTGTTGCCTTCTCTAGATCTTCAACAGTAGCTGCGGCATTGTCTTTCCACATCTCCTCCAGCTTCGCAATCATTTGAGGCGTCAAATGCCGTGCCCGAAGTTGCTCTTGGTCAGTCGGAGAGCTTACAAGCCAAGGAAGAAACGAGCGGTCTTCGATGAGTGGTTGCCAGCGAGAAGTATCCCAATTCATATCTTTTGAAGATGGCATCGCAGCGCACGGTTGTCGGCAGAGCAGCACCACAACGGTGTCGGATTTTGCCGGAATAAAGCCAAGTAGGAAGACATTTTTCGTTCCACAATTATAGCACTCGAGAATTGTATCACCTAGTGATGATTCGGGGTGTAGTTGGACTTCCTTGTGTCTTGCTCTGACCAGGTGATTGACGATATGTGAGGACGATGTGTTGCCACGGGCGCTGCAAAACCACTTGGTGCATGTTAAACATTTCACAACGCTACTCGGGTTATGAATTCCACAGTACCTAATAAAATGAGAGAACTCAAAATCAGTATGCCACAGCTAGAAACCGTTATGCCGCTGATACATCCATCCACGGGACAGTTATCTCAAAACTTACGCGCAGGAGTGAGAGGGTAACTCCTTTTCTTCTTCCTGTTTAGCAGCAGGCGTCTTCCTGATTCCTTCCACTGGGACGCTAACCATGCTTTCCAAATCGTCATCTTCAAAGTCATCTGATATCCCATCTTCATCGTCATGTCGCCGTCTTCGAGACCCGGCAGCCATGCTTAAGATGCTCTCCTCTACGTCAACTGCAGATGCGTCGTCGCCAGCATTGATAGTAGAAGCAGAGTCCGAAACCAGATGGCTCTCCATGTGAGTGAATGCCTCCATCATGAACTGTATATCAACAATTTCGCTAGTTTATCTAGGATTGGCAGTTTGTGAAGATGAATGATGAATCTAGTTTTGGAGTGCTGGTGAAACTTGTCCTACAAAGGAATCAAAACAAGAGAGACAGTACTATCACTACCAAAGAGAAAAATCTTAAGAAGTTAGCATCAGAAGTTTTGAATATTTGGTTTTCGATAGAGTCTTTTGGGAGCATTTGGAAAAGTTGCAAATTCAACTTGTGGTGAGAGTCATGACATAACCGTTTGAGGGGAGCTCACGAAGAAATAGCCCGAAGGCGAAATAGAGACCCCGCCACTAACTTTCCCCAGTCAAAGACGTAAGCCACACAGGTACTCAAACGGCGAAATAGATGCAATCGCTACTTGAGCAACGGGAGAGATGGTCCCCGATGACGGTGAATTGTACGGAGTAAGAAGCAGATAAATCAAAACGTTTGTGATAGATGATCCAAGATATATTGCTACGGCAGGCCCAACGGACTACAAATGCACTCGGCTGATCGTGAAAAAGTCTAAAATATAAATTTAAAAATAAAGATATCAACGTCACCAGCAGTAGCATTCACGAGACATTAAACGACAGACCTAGGTTCTGGCCACAATGATTGTAGGATATTCCCCTCCCCAAATATGATCATTTAGTGAAAATGTGCTTACAGAACCCGCAGCGTCGCCAAGCTCGTGAGCGCAGAGATTACCTCTACCGAAAAGCTCTGCTTCTCCGCGATGCTTCGATAGCGGAGAAGCGCGCAAAGCTAAGGGCTTCTCTCGCGTCCGGAAAACCACTAGATCCGTCCGTAGCTAATGACAAGACGCTGCGCGAGGACTTCAAATACGACGAATCTCTTCCATCATCTTCGAAACTGGGAGACGCCAACTCCAAAGATTCCGACCTTCTTGACCTCGACGACGAATATGTTCTCACCTCTGGCATCGTTGATCCTCGTCCTCTTATTACAACCTCTCGCTCCCCTTCCGCACGGCTCAGCACGTTTGCGAAGGAGATGCGATTACTCATTCCAACGTCAATACGGATAAATCGAGGAAACCTAGTCATCCCCGATCTTCTAGCAAGCGCCAAGGCATCCGCTCTCTCCGATATGATCGTACTGCATGAGCATCGTGGTACACCCACAGCTATAACCATATCTCACCTCCCCCATGGCCCAACGGCCAGCTTCTCTTTACACAATGTCATGTTACGAGCAGATATTCCCAACTCCGCACGTGGAACCGTTTCAGAAAGCTACCCTCATCTAATTTTTGAAGGGTTTACTACTAAACTGGGTGCCCGTGTCGTCAAAATTCTGAAGCATATTTTTCCCCCACGCGAAGTCAATGGGAAACTTGGAAGCAGAGTTGTCACTTTCGAAAACATAGAGGATAGTATAGAAGTACGGCATCACGTGTTCGTTAAGACGGGATACCAGTCTGTTGAATTAGCTGAAGTTGGACCGCGAATGACGATGAAACTATTCCAAATTCGGGGAGGGACATTGGAGAAAGATTCCGGTGGCGAGCTTGAATGGGCACTGAGTCAATATACGAGGACAAGTAGGAAGAAGGATTATTTGTGATTGTTGTGCTGCCGAGGAACACTGGGCATAGAATTGTGTTAAAAGGATTTTGCATGGATATGGCGCACTGAAATTTTCCTCGGCGCAATTTCAGAGCTTGCTGTGATTTCTGGGTAATGGTATAGGAATTCCGAGCAATTTTCTCTCTCTCTCTCTCTCTTTTTTTTTTTTTTTTTTTTTTTTTTTTTTTTTTTTGGAGGGGGGGGGCATTCCAAGGCGCATGTCCAATATTTCTTGGTGATTTCGTACTTGGCTTCGGATATAAAACGGGGTCAGTGCACACCTCAGAAAACGTAATAGTTCTAACAGTTACGTCCTGCTACTTTCAAAACTGGTCTTGAGTCGGATTCCCTCCCGGGCAGGCCAAGCTTCCTTTGCGTAGTCATGCTCGCGCAGTCATGGTCATAATATATATCCACGTAGCACCTGTAGATAACTTCCAGAATACAACCTTCTACTCCATCATCTTGTTCTTACCGGTCGGTTGAAATCTAATGGGAGCTCAGCAAGGGGGATTCGTATTAGTAACTAAGCCATATGCAGAAGAAAAACAAAGGAAAGGAAGGGCATGCATCGTTGCAGTGCGACGGCGCAGGGTTTTGGGGATATCTCTATCTCCTTATCCGTTGGCCCACCAAATTGTCGCACTCGCACTATACCTAGGGAAGAATCACAAAGGTTAATCATTTTCGAAGCACAATTAATTAGAGAAATCTCCTGAAAATGCTGTCACACATTGAAACTCAGGGGAAAGATGGTGAGACGAAGGAAGGTCGATATTAAGGATATATCCAGACATATTAAAAAGATACACAACCAAAAAAGACGCGAAATTCTAGCACAACGAGCTCAAGACAGCTAAGTGCCCCAACAATCCACTCTACCTAGGTAAGTTCTTAAAATATACCTGGTTCAAAATGTCAAGAGATAAAATGGGGAAAAAAATGATCCAAAGCTGCGAAAAAGAGAGCGGTGTGAAGCTCCTCAAAGCCATACACATAAGTTGTGCAGAAGTGGTCACCTTGCTTAACTATATGAATAGAGGATGCATCATGGGCAATTGAGCGGATGACCACAATCAGTTATTTAATGCTGAAAATCTCAACGTTACTTTGTGAAAGACCAAGGAAATCACAAATCTAAGAAAACGAAATTTGAGTTTCCATTCGGGGCTTTTTTGTTTTTGTGTGTGTGTGTGTGTGTGTGTGTGTCTAGACATTGAGATTCAATTTAAAATGAAAACAAATTAATATTAGAGTAGGATCAATATTGAGTCCCAAAACTTTTAGCAGCTTTCACAAAAGCTTTTATCTTTTCCAAATCCTGTGATCCGTTGGTTTCAACCCCGCTACTAACGTCAACTCCAACGGCATTCTCGACATATCGACCGAGCTGTTGGAGTGTTTCGGCAATATTGGAGTGATCAAAACCACCTGCAAGTATGACTCGAACGTTGTCACTTTTTCCAAGGGTGTCTTGTACAGCTGACATATCTAGCTTCTCACCCGAACCTCCTATGCCAGAATCCAATAGGGGAAGACAATGGTAGCCAGGTCGAGAAAGTCCAGGTTCTGCCGGAGAGAACTTCTTAATGACGGGGACAGGTATTAGGCTAGCCCACTCAATCGGCTCGGACCCATGGAGCTGGACCACATCAAGGCCAAGCTTTTGTTGTTGAGAAATAATATACGACAGCGGCTGATTCATAAACACGCCCACCAGCAAGGCGCGATCAGGGTGACGAAGCAACTGTGACGAATAATCAAAGTATCTGACAGGAGGTTCATCTATAAGTTCCTGCGTTTCACCTGCAGAGAATGTTTGACGAGGCGTTGATTTGACCACTTTGGATATCTCCAGTGCAACATCGTCTGAGACAGTTCTCGAACGTCCTTTTACCAAAATGATACCGATTAGATCAGCTCCTGATTCGATCGCCGTGCGTGCGGCCTCTGGTGTCCGAGTCCCACATATTTTGACTAATAGGGATTTAGTGTTTGGCACGGCCGGAGCTACACCACCTCCTAAGAGTTGAGACACAAAAAGGTTTGTGTTTTCAGCTTGCATTAACGCTTCACCAACAAGGATAGCCTTAATGCCCTCAGAACTATAGGTCTTAACATCGCCTGGCCTTGATATGCCGCTGAGTGCACAGACGATCGTTGAATCAGGTACCAGATCCATTAGCCGGCTCGTGGTACCCAGGTCAACCTCAAAACTAGTCAAATCGCGATTGTTTACACCAATCACCTGGGCACCCAGACTAACTGCGATCTTCATTTCTTCAGCAGTATTCACTTCGACGAGAGGCTCCATGCCAAGCTTTTGAGAGTATTTGTAAAGCCGTTGCAGAACGTTAGTGTTGAGCATTTTGACAATGAGCAAAACTGTATCCGCACCAGCTAGCCGAGCTTCTAAGATCTGGTATTCATTGAAAATGAAATCTTTTCGCAAAACGGCGGGTCTATTCGGGATACCTTCAAGACTTTGGCGGACAGCCCGGAGATCCTCGATACTTCCTTTAAACCATTCCGGTTCGGTAAGGACAGATATAACACTTGCTCCAGCCATGGCATACTTTCTCGCTTGAGCAGGGGCACATGTGGAGAACGAAATGAGACCCTTGGAAGGAGAAGCCCTCTTTATTTCAGCCATTAGTGACAACGAAAAAGGAGTCTGCTTGAGCCTATCAGGAAATGAAATTTGGGGAGGAGATATTCCAAGGTCGTAGGCAGCTTGCAGGTCTTCTGGTCGTTGAGAGGGAATTTCCATTTGTTGGTTAACGGCAATTTCGCGATGTGCATAAATCTTCTGCAAAATTGATTCCTTCTTAGTCGGTTTTACATCCCCATTGGGAGCCATAGAACAGTCGAGCGGCTGAGAGGCAAGACTGCTGCTTTCTTTCCATGTGCCGCCACGGAAGTTCAAAAAGCTCCTGAACATAGCCCGTCCATGCTCGGTTAAAATGCTCTCCGGGTGAAACTGAACCCCCTCCACAGTATACTCTTTATGCCTGACCCCCATAATAATCTTCCGACCGCCTCCTTTTTCAAATTCAGTCCACGAAGTGATTTCGAAAGAGTCAGGGACAGTTGGCTCTACCCCTGCCAATGAATGGTATCTTGTAACCTGTAGGGATGGTGGGAGTGTGGCATAAACGCCCTTCGAGTCATGCTGTAATGCGGAAGTCTTTCCGTGCAGAATCTCCCCGGTAACATCGACTTTCCCACCAAACCCAGATATCATGCATTGAAGACCCATACAAATACCAAATATAGGTATTTTCCCAGCAAAATGTCGGATTGCTTCTTTGCTAATTCCAGAGTCTGAATCAGGGTGGCCAGGTCCAGGGCTGATCACGAGTTGGGTCGGATTCTTTGCAATAAGGTCTTCTAGCGTAATCTCGTCATTTCTGAATACTGTCACACTCGCCCCCTCCAGAACGAGATACTGATATATGTTCCATGTGAAAGAATCGTAGTTATCAATCAATATCAAATTGGAAGCATTCTCGCGGGCTTGAGCTTTTATCGGGTTGCTCGGCGAGTGGTCGATCAAGGTGCTGGCATTGGCGGTCATTGTGGACAGGGGTGTTGAAAATTAAACGATGAATTGAGAGATGAGGACACTGTCGGCCCTTCGTGTCATCTGCAGTCTGTAGTGTAATGTTTGGGATGGGGTGATCTGTAAATAAACGAAGGAGCTGACATACCCTCTGTCACGTGATATAACATAAATCAGGCTTCCGGGGCAAGGGAACGAATAACGGCTTGGCCCCACTCTGTTGCGATAAGCGAGTTATCCAAGATTTCATCCACACGAGTTGGTTATTAACTAACTTGATCACTTCAACGCACGCCTCGACTACCACCAGCTAACCAACCTACAACATACCTGTAAACTCTCGCTATAACGAACCTCCATATAATGTACAAAAATTCATTAAATCTCTATACAGTGAAATTCATTATATCGAGTCAAAATGCCACGCAGAACCGCAATATCAGCCAATCAAAAGATGGCTCTACACTTTCATAAATTGCAAAATCCCATCCTCAGCAACAAGGCCTTAAGACATCAGTTTGAGAGGCTATACAATCAAAAGATCACATATCCTCCGTCTCTTGAGATCCTTTCTTCATGTTATGATCATCTTGATCAGACAGTCCATTGTTTTTTGAAGCAGAAGTGCTACCAACAATGTATTATTGCATAATTAGACTCTGATGACGGGAGTGATGAGGATGAGGATATGAATGCAGAAACCCTTCCATGGATTACGGCTTCGAAGGCTTTTGGATTTGGTAAAAAGGCTTCACTTGTATGAGGAGCATCAGAGTCTAATTCAACAGCTTAATTATTAAGAATGGGGTTAGAAGCACGGAAGCTTGCAAATCAGCAGCAGGAGGATATTCGGGAGTAACTTTAAATGCTCAACCTCTATAGCCAATTCCTCTATATAACGAATTGAATAGCTTCCAAGATTTAAATCGTTATAACGAGGGATCTTGTTTGGGTAAATCTAGTTGAGTACCAATCGGAAATTTTGAAACTTTGTCCTCGGACATAGTTTATCCGACTCCGACAGAATTATAGGGCACTAAACCCGATGCAGAGCTTGGCTTTTTTGTTGACCTCCAAGCGCAAAACTTCCCTTGATAGGTAAAAGCTTCGGTTGTTGAGATATTTGACTCCTTCTGACGCGCGACAAGAGCAATATCTATCCACAACGCTCCCAGGAACGCGCCATGATATAGTTGAGGAACATATGGCCTCACTGTCGGAGGCGTATTTTCCGTCCCTGGACGAATGCTTCTCTGGGGACGTCCAGCTCATGTATGTGTCTGCGTTGCATCCCAACTAATGACCGGAGAAAATACTGACTCCAATTCCTGTTAGATCTTGGAAATCGGCTTTTCTACAACTGGCAAATGCGACAAGAGATATAGACAGGTCCGACAGTCTATACAAATTTTTGTCTTGTCCGGAAAGCATACACATTCTATCCAATCCTTTCTGTCCGTTCTCTTCTCCGACCGAACAATCTAAATCCGAGTTCCAGTCCAAGACAGCGGCCATTCATATATCGACAACTTCCCACAGCCCTTGGGATGTAGATGAAATAAAACGCGATGCAGGGTGGTTAAGCAAGCGCACGCAGATCGACGAGTTAACTGCGCTTAGAATAGTCATTTACGAACGTCAGAATCGACCCAGTGATCAGCTCTTGAGCCAATTTTCCGAGGAGGAAATTGCAAGCCTTCAAGAGGCCATTGGGACTGGTAACTTGTCTCATTCTACAAGAGGAGCGCAGGCTGCCGAGATTTTGAAATATAAGGGAGACCAAATCCTTGAACCCATTGGTTTTTCAGCTGAGGCACTGAGGCAGTTCAAGTTATTCCAGCTATATTTGTCTGAAAAGCAGCATATCCTCAAAGTTTCCCAACGCCTCTTATGCGTGGCTTTACGTGGAAGAGTACCTAGCTACCATGACCCGGTTGTCAAACAGCCTCAAGACGGACGGGTGCAATCTATGTTGGAGGAGTTGGCAAAATCAATATTTGGACTCCAATCTGGGAAGGGGCTTGACGCCGTTTCCGTAAAACAATGTATTGAAGCGGTCCGGACCCGAATCGGTAACTTAGAAGCAGGAAGTGGATGGCTTCTTCCCGATGAACCTAATGTGGAAATCGAGTTGGTTTGGCAAACGAACGTGCTCGAGGAGCTTAGTCAAGTTCTTCAGTTCCTGGTTTTGCAACTTCAATTGTCGAAGACCATTCCATCTGCAGAACTGCTCCTCTCTTGGCTCCGTTTAATGGCTAAATATGAATTCCTTGATATGCTCTGTCCGGTAAGTTTCGCGCCTGTTATCTCGTTCGCTTCGTATCTAACAAGCTGTTTTACAGACCACGGAGGAGCAAGAAGTAATTATCGCTCCTCTCCAGGCGCTCATTGCAATAGTGACGCTATCCTTTGTCAAAATACGAGCGTCAACCTCATATTTTGAAAAAGTGGATCCCTTGTCCGCAGTTCCCGATCTTCAGGGTTACAATACACCTTTTTTTATGTCTCGCGATAATATCGGCGAAATTAACGAAATATGTTTGAAAGCTGCCAATGCCTCCTGTGTGAGCGCTGCCCCGATGATTTTCTCTTTCGCGGTCGTTATGTTTTCGGTGAGAGAAATTGCCCTTGCTACCAAGGAGGAACGTGAACTTCAGCAAGCCCAGCATGCCGTGGACTCCTTCAATAGCAATGCTCCATCGTCATCTCCATCACGGCTTGTAGAGCAATCTACTTTCGAGGATATTTTTGAAAAGGCACGCAACCCAGCCTTTGACGAAGATTTTGTGAAATTTTTAGTCACAAGTTCGGTTGATAAATGTCATCTTTTTGACTTCATCGTTGCCCTTATCGACAATATCAGACCACTCTCTGGTCCTGGGGATGGTGGGCTGATAAGTCGTTGGATAAGAGTGGAACTTTTGGATCTGATTCGCGCGAGCGTCGAACAACTGGACTATATTCCTGAAGTGTTATCGTCAGTCCTGTGTATTATCTCCGGTTCAACGGATGATTGCAATCAGGTTTCCAGTTCAGACTCAGGTGATGGTTGCGATCCTAGGGCAATGTTTATACAGGACCCAGTCCTCGTTGATCGAATTTTCCGAGTCGCGAAATCTCGTTTTCCCTATGAGGCCATTAATTTTATTAAAATATGCCGCGTGCTTTCAGGCTCCAATATTGTTAACGATGATGGCCTACTTTTTGTTGTGCAGGAACTAGAGAACATGGAAACATATACACAGGTCGTCTTTCCTGGCTTCCAGGGGTACCAACCAATCCGGGAAGATGAAAATGCCAATTTCGTTGGCCTAATCCAGCCCCTACCGATGCAGGAAACTGCCATGTCCAAAAACATGGCTGAATATGAATCGAGTTCTAATGCGTTGGTTTTTGCTGAGACTTGTGTTGTTCCACAGGAAACTATCGGCCAGGTCGTCAATGAGTCAAAACCGGCGGTGATTATGTGGTATCATCAATATAACTGTCTTGGCTTTCTCGGCATATGGCTAGAGCAAGCAACTAACAGTCGAGGATCCGGACACGAACCAGAAGACGAGGAGCTCGCGGAAATAATTGGCCTATTTGCGGACTTGGTCACATCTACGCAGACCATTTCAAAACGGAATAATTCTGAGTCAGGAGCTAAAAGAATTCTTGAAATGGCCAGTGACGGGCTCGATCGCCAAGGAGATATCATTTCTGTGGTTTTTGACATCTTCGAGCAAAATTTGCAAAACGTCATCAGCAGAAAAGGCTCTTCCAACCGCAGCCTTCAACCGATTATATCCTGTCTACAGTTTATTAACGCTCTTATATCGGTTATTCCTGGCCGAGTATGGCCATTCCTCTCTCGAAGCAGCTTTATTGGCTCAGACGGGAAAGGTGGGACCCTTGTTAATATTGTCTCTTCAATTGAGGCAAGCTCTGGGGACTTTAGTCTTCTTCACACTGCTATTCAAACATTTGATCTTCTCGTTGATGATGTAATCACACATTCCGCTGTTCGTCGCACAGCAGGGCGTGTTTCTGCCAAGTCTAGCCATGTGGCTGAGTTCAGTGCCGGTATCCCGCCCTATATCATGCGCAACTTCTTATTGGCATTGGTACGGGTAATGGTTGAAGCTTACAATAGCAACGCAACCTGGAGATACAATAATATCTCCCAAAAACTTAAAATGAACACCTCCATTTCCCTCGCTATTGAAAAAATCCTCTATTCCATATATGCGGTCGATGACACTTTAGACCTCGACTCCAAGTTAGTGGGTGTATTCTCAAGTTCGGCAAAATATATCTTGAAAGTTCTTCGACCAACAACAGTCGAAGAACTATCGTTTAATCCGCTCCTCCGTACTGTTCTTACCAGTCTTCAGAGCCCTAATTCGACGAGCAACCTTCCAAACCTTCTGCTCCATACAAGGCACATCCAGTCAGCTCTAAAACTATCAGAACGATTGATTCAAGTTGGAAAACTTGTCGGATCTCCTATGTCGATGCTGGAAACTCAATTATTCAAAGCATCCCCCGTATTGATTAGGCTATATGCTCTGTCTTTTGCCTACAAACTTCCTGTCATTTCTCTCATCGAACTCCTAATAACATATGCAGCTCTAGACCCTGATATTGAACCGCCTTCACTCCTTGGACACTTAGGGGCCAAATCAGCCTGCCACTTTCTTGACTGTCTCTCGAAATTCGATCGCCCTTTCAGGGACCCTTTGCTCTATGTTTCAATATGGGACCTTCTTTCCACCATAATTAGCAAACGCCAGCAATGGCTTGCTATTTTCTTTCTTACAGGCTCGTCTGCCAGAGATTCATTAAAAAAGAGCGAGAAAGATAAATCTGCAACTATTACTGGGCAACCTTTTTTGGGAATGTCTCTCGATTTATTAACGAAGATCGACTCAATTCCGGCACGGGTAGCGATAGTCGCATTAGATTTTGTTGCAAAGGCGCAGGAGCATTGGATATGGGCCACACCACAGATTAAAAATCATTCACAATTCTTCCCAAAAATCGTGCATTTCGTGGCTGGCTTAGATTTGCGCAAGTGCTCTACCCTGGATCAGTGCCTCAATACAAAAATTGCCGCGCTAGTCGCGGATATTTGTGCAGTCCACCTGCATACTGCGAAAGCATCACTAGATATATCTTTCATCAAAACGATGATACCCTTGATCTCCTGGTATTCGAACAATGGAGTCAGGGTGGACGGATACAATGCTTCTCTGCACTCAAACCTCAGAAAGAATTTCGAAATGAAGTACCCTGTTACTACAGCTGGTAATATGAAGCGCACTATGCTCGTACGTCCAGAGCTTGGCGAGAACTATTTTTATGATGTCGACTTGGGCACTACGTTTTTCGGGTACGATTTTGCTTGGAATGGGACCCGCCGTCAAGGATTTGTAGAGGAGGTCAAACGGGCGAATCTAAACCTGTCCCTAGTTGAAGCCCAAATGGTAAGATACCTCAATTCCCCTATCTTAGACACTAATATTCTAATCAGTCATAGAGTCTTCTTCAAAGTTGGAAATTTCTTGCTATAGAACACTGTGCAGATTTTATGACGGATCGTGAAATTCAGAAATCGATGGCACGGGTTGTTCGCCACTGCCTCGTTTCAAACTCACAGACAGTACCAGATGAAAACATTTTCTTCAGAGTTCAGCAAATCCGTGCTGAGTTTGCCTTGGCACTTCTTCAACGGCTTAACGACGTTGGCTCCAGAGGTGCTGAAGTCTTTGAGTTGTTGAGAATCGCATGGGATGCCACGCGCTTCCGAAATCCATCATACGAGAGTGCTCTACTTAACAATGACACCGAATACTACGGGTTAATGCTGAACATTCTCTTTCTCGCTTTGCAATTCCATGTTGCGGGTCCCTCTCGATCGACACCCGAAGCAATCAGCAAAAAGCCCGAGATTTCATCAGATTTGGTTCTTGTCCTAGAGATTATAAATGTTGTAGTTGCCCAGGGGTTTAAATCCTTTACAACATATTTGCACGATGAACCGCAAAGGTGCTCCCCGAAAGATTTTGCTGTGTTAACAGCAATTTTACAAACCGCTCTAAGAGTTAAAGACGCGGATCGTATTTACGAACAGGTCTCTTTCCATCTTGCTGATAACGACACCCCACGATATGCAGCAACATTATTTTCTTGGTCTTATCAGCTAACAGTTGAGGGAGACCCGGTCTACGGCGAGCTCAGCATCTTGTTTCTTCTGGAACTTTCCTGCATTCCTCTGATGGCAGAGCAGATGGCGGCAGATGGGGTTTTGGTGAAACTGTCGACATTCCGTCTCACGGATGTTCTACGTCAGCCACAAGGATGTGGTCCATTGGACCCGATACCCAGATTATTCGCAATCTGGAATTTAGGATTTCTTCCCCTTTGCCTCAACCTGCTCTACAGCGTTGGTAGAGCCGCTCCAGAGATAGCAGCCTTTCTCAACCAGTTCGAAGGGCAGTTACGTCGAGCCTCCAGATCATTTTCCTTCAGCCAACCCACCACAACATCAGGAGCTTTCCCGACTAGTCAGTCACCGCTTGCTAATAGCCAGTTACCATCGAGTCAGCATGTGAAGCGACTTTCTCTTGGTATGGCTACAGAGGCGTGCTCGTTAGCCCTTATATCCCTAATTATCAGGAAATTCCGGGATGCGGGGGCAGGAGCCGGCGTGGATTCCCAAAATATTCAGGAACTGAAGTGGGACAGGGCGCAAGTGAAAGACGATATCGAATCGCTTTTTGAAAAACGATCCATTCTTCGTTCCCGTATAGTTGCCACAAATGAAAAGGAGCTTGCAATGTCCCGGCGAGAGCCTGTAGATCGCACCGACGGCTGTCAGTCTCAGCTAGAAGAGAAAATTGTCAAAGAGCTCCAGACAACAGTGATGTGTCTAACTGATGGAGAAGGCGTTTAGAAAGATTATGCTTTCAATAAGTATTTTTCAGCATCTTATAAAGGATGGAAACCGTTTGTGGGAGGTACAAATGCGTACAATTTTACAACCAAAGATACACCTTTTAACCAGTCGACTTCAATAAACACCAGTGTTAAAATAAATAGTTTTTGTTTTTTATCTTTTTTATTCTACCTTTTTATCAGATACCCTACCCTAGCTTTGCATGCGCCCTAACTTTGCATGGGCAACAACTTCCGTTAGAGTTTCCTGATATCAGCTTTTGAAAGGTATTGCCGGCGTCTCTTAGCTAAATCAGGTTTGATTTGGATTCCAGCTAAGCGTTGGATCATGACGACCTTCTAGAAAGTGTCCACTGAATCTCGGCACGGAACTTCGGCTAGCACAGTGGTATCTACGTTACAACAAATTCTGGTGCTTGTCTTTAGAGGTTAGGTTTTTAACTACCTCGGGACAAGAAACTCTAGATGCATTGTTTCGATACTAGTCCGGCCTAGCTAATTGTTAGTTGCTACGCGAAAGTGCACATGGTGCATATCATTCTGCTTCCTGTCGAGGTTTAGGTTGAGTGTCATGACATCTTCTCAAAATATTACTGCTCCCCAGCGTTCGGACTTGCTGTGTTCTTTATTCAAAGAGATCTTCTGCTGTAATTTCCACTTCGTCAAGACACTATTGCATTATCGCTCCTTTCAGCTCGCAAACATTATGCCGACGTTAAAGTCTCGATGGACCATTCAAATTCCCGAGGCATCGCTACCCACTGTTGTATTCAAGTCTCCCACGCATCCCCTATCTCAGACGAGACGATGTTTCTCGGATGCCGAACGACCGGACACTCACTTCTTCATCACACATGAATACCGTCTATGGTGCCAGCGCTTTGCCGCAGGTCTCAGAAAGTTGGGTCTGCAGACCGGAGATCGTGTGCTTCTATTCTCTGGCAATGACTTGTTCTTCCCCGTGGCTTTCATGGGCATCGTTATGGCAGGCGGAATCTTCACTGGCGCGAACCCAACATACACCCCACGAGAACTAGGGTACCAACTGAAAGACTCCGGAGCAAAATATTTTCTGTGTGCGGATGGGAGTTTGGACGTCGGAATTGCCGCCGCGGAGTTGATTGGTATGGGTAGAGACAATATATTCGTGTTCAATGGTGCTGTGTTTGATGGGAAGGGTGAGGGGTTCAAAGGTTGTCGGTATTGGGGAGAGATTTTTGCCTCACCGGAAGAGGGAAGTAGATTTGCTTGGGACACTCTATCAACTCCTCAGGAAACAGATCGGACACTCGCCCTTAATTATAGTTCCGGGACTTCTGGGGTTCCAAAAGGAGTGCAGATAACCCATAAGAACTATGTTGCCAACCTACTTCAGTTCAACCACGCCGCTTACTTACGGAACGACTGGGAAAGGAGGGATAAATCTGCTCGCTGGCTATGTTTCCTCCCCATGTATCATGCCATGGCGCAGAATATTTTCATAGCTTCATCCTTGATGCGAGGAATTCCCGTTTACATCATGAAAAGATTTGACTTCATTCAGATGTTGGATGCAGTGCAGAAGTTCCGCATTACAGATTTGACATTTGTGCCGCCAATTGCTGTTGCTTTCGCGAAGCATCCAGCTGTCAAGAAATATGATCTAAGCAGCGTAGAATTCATCGGGTGTGGAGCCGCTTCGTTGGGGAGAGAAATCTCGGAGGAGGTTGAAGCTTTGTTCCCGCCCGGGAAGCTTTATGTCAGACAAGGATGGGGAATGACAGAGTATGACCCTTGTCCACTCATAATATTTTAGCGTCTCAGAATCTAACAACCTAGTCAGGACTACGTTGTCGCTACTTGGATGGGATCCCAACCATCCCGGTACTAGCTCATCCGTCGGGGAATTAAATCCCAATTGCGAAGCAAAGATCATAGCAGATGATGGGATCACTGAGCTTGGACGGAACCAACGAGGGGAAATCTGGGTCAGGGGCCCGAATATAATGAAGGGCTATTGGAACAAACCAGAAGCAACAAAGGAGACACTAACAGAAGACCGTTGGCTGAAAACAGGAGACATTGGATACGTGGATGACTCAGGAAAGTTCTATATTGTTGATCGAAAAAAGGCACGTAAAGGGCTGTCAACATTACGTTTAAGATGAAACGTTCTCTCTAACTATTGTTTTAGGAACTTATCAAAGTAAAAGGCAACCAAGTTGCCCCAGCGGAACTAGAAGGTCTTCTCCTGGAGCATCCTACAATTGCAGATGCCGCAGTCATCGGAGTGATCAAGTAAGTCCTAACTCGGTGCTTTCGGCCCCAATACGCTTTGATTCAGACACTAACTAGGCTTCTTTGACAAAGAAACAACGAAGAATGCCCTCGAGCCTATGTAGTCCTCAAACCAGGGCAGACTGTCACTGCAGAGGCTATCGCCAACTATGTAAGGCGAAAAGTTGCGCCCTTCAAGCGGATCACGGGCGGAGTTGTATTTGTTGATGATATACCCAAAAACCCCTCCGGGAAGATCCTAAGGAGACTCCTTCAGGACCAAGCACGACAGGAAATCAAACAGGAGAACGCCAGCTCAAAATTTTGAACAGTGCTCGCGGAACAGCGTACCTTGGTTCCCTTTCATGGCTCCCTGTCAAACAAGGGCTATCCACCAAAAACGCCAACAAACTAATAGCTATTGTTTATTTTTGCTGAAATTCTTCCGAAAAATTCGGAAATTGCTAGTCACACTCATGTTAGAATATTAGAATATTGATTTTTGTACGTAATTTGGCAGAACTCAAACCATAGTGTAGCATGGGGTTGAAGCGAACGATCAGTGGCTATAAAAGCTGGGTGAAATTCACCGATATTAACGAGCTGAGCAGAGTTGCAAGAACAACAGTGGTTATCACAAGTGAATATCCTGTCTGGCGATTTTGAAACCTGCTTTCTTATCATACTGTTTATCCTAATTGTTTAATGCATCCCTGTTTATTTCTATGTGTCTAGTTTGAACATTGCTCTCATAAGGCTTAAATAATTTCAAGGTCTATCGAAGCAATAGTAACAACATTTAACAAGCTGAGAATATCATATACCCCATGGGACTGGGACCAGAGCAATAATCTCAAAAGCCATGTTAGCGGATTCTTCGCTCAAATAACACCAGTTAAGGGCCAACTATTCTGTACTGAAACGTTCGGCGCTTGAATTCAGGCGGTTCATCGAGTACGCAGATGTCCTAGCACAGAATCCATCTTCCGCACGGTGTGATTTAGAATAGGACCCTTCCAGGTTTTTTTTGACCTATTTCTTCACCTTCTGGCTTTTCCATGTAAAATTGTTGCAGCAGATTTACGGTGGCCTTGATGATGATGATGATGATAATTATCATTCCTTCCCCTTTTCTGAAGAGGACACGACGTCAAAAAAAGAAAAATCGAAATCAAAAAGTAAAACTAACTGTGCCTGAAATAACCCACAACCACCAACTACAGGCAACTTTAGGAAGCTGTCTAGCTTAAACCTTGCAGTGGAGCTGGTGAAAACAACGCATATCGTTCAATGGGACCACTTTGCTCATTTAATCCGTATCAAAAGAACAATTTCTGCCTTATCTGTTTTTCTAGTCAGGGTTCAAAGACAAACGCCTGCATACCAGTTTTTATTCCACTGAGCTGTCTACTAATCAAACCCCCCAAACGGCCAAACGATCATGGAGGATTCGCGATGAAGGCAATTATACAAATGTTGATATTTGCGGTGTTGACCGATGTGCCTCGGCCGCACGTCCTAGCATCAGTACGTCCATCGCTCAATGTTGTGCGAACCTGTCTAATGAGAGGAGAGTGACCGGAGGCTTACCGGGTTCTCCTGCTACTTTCTTTGTTTTTTGAATACTTGAGTTCGTTCATTGTAAGAAGTGGTTGGTGTAACCTCTGTGGAGTCAATATAGCCCAGCTGACTTGGTTGGCTGTGTCATCATCGTTGATTATGAGCACCGACTCGACGTTGGATTGTTGGGAGTTGTTGGGAGTACTTGAAGTTCTGACTGTGAAATCTCAAAATCCAAATCAGGGGGGATCTGGTCAATCGCTGAGCATAATCTTTTAAAATAAAATGAGTTGGCATCCATATATCATGAACATTCCTTGTGAACTTGTATGCCGTCCATTTCTCTTTGCCATCCAGAGCAGTGAAATCGAACTTGATGGATTGGGTGGCGGTAAAAATTCGTCTTCTCACCATCGAGAACAGCATAGTGACCACAGATCCTCACCGCTGTGTGGTCATGCGAGATTGAGAAGGTGAGTATCTCTCTGTCGACCTCTCTTTCACGCTTCACGAGCTTGAATAGCTCAACGGTAGCTCTCACTGCAATAGTGGCGCTGTGGGCATTCTGTCGATCTGCGATGTCAAGTGACGCTGCACCACACGTAACTTCACATGTTAAGAATAAGAAGTATAGGTAGTATGTCGCCATAAAGTTCAGTCAGTCAGCTCACCAACAAAATCCCGAAGCCTCAGCAGCTGGCCATCTGTGAATGCGTCTCTTTTAAATCCCACTGAATAATCGGGCTGCGGTCGAGTTTGGTAACGGGGATTGAATTAACCCAGCCTTCATTGACGCTTTCGATCAGATGATCGAGATGCGTCGCACCATATATAGCTAGATTTTCCGCAGAGGGGACAATCAATCGAGTGATATCTTGGATAACAATGGCCTCATTTCGCCGTCGCACCTTCTCGCAGGTTGATTTGAACAGATCGTCACAGAACAATAAGTCTTCAGGAATCTTTTGTGCGGCATTGAGTAAAGTTAAGTAACAACTTTCGCTGAGTTCTGTGATACCCTTCTTTGATTCACTCATATAGCTGCCTTTAGTTTCTAGCACGATCTCATAGCGTGGGTTCTTGTATTGAGCGCTCTTTTCCTCCCTTGGTTTCTGGTCGCTGGGGGTAGTAGAGCTGGTGAGAGTAGATTCCGTTTGTCTGCGACAAAGTGAAGATGTCCACTTCTTTCTCGCAAGTAGTTGACTCATGTCATGCCCCTGTTCAAAGTATTCTGTCGGCCAGGCACCTCCCTTACTCCATCAGTCGATTAAGTTAATCTTACCTTTGTATTCTGTACCCCACTGAGCGGGAGTACCCCCCACGAGCAACCTCACATCAGCGGGGCATGCAAGAGATGTTCGCGGTCGCTTTTGGAAAGATTCGGCTGGAAGGCAGAGCGAGTCCTCAGCTTCTAGTGGTCGCTTCTGTTTTCGAGAGTCAGGTTGAAGAGAGTCGGACGGCTTTGTAGAAACTTGGCCCTTGAAGTTAGTTTCGCAGCAGAGCAGGACAAATAGAACATACCTGTTTCTTGGGATATGCGCAAAGGTGGCCTTGGTCGGCGGTTCTGCAGTCCAATACAGTTTTCCCCTGACGATGATATATCTCTTTTAGGCATGCACTCCGGCGGGGAACTCCTCGTGGTCGTGCCTTTTGCACACCTTTGAGGCCCCTTTCCTATCAACAAATGGTCAGTCAAAAGGGGGCTGGTCACGAAACGAGAATGTCTTACGGCCTTAAATTCTTAGCACCGCAGACCCCTGTGGTTGCTGTTGTATATTTGGCTAGCTCTTCGAAGGCGCCGTCATCTCGACGAATGGTTTATGCTATTGTCAAAAGGAGGTGCTGGTGATTAAACGGGGGCAACGGTGACGGGGGGGTAGAAATATTAGAAATCTTCATAGCGGATATCTCTTGCATCCCAAGAAGATGAAAAGGGAAGAAAGACATCATCCTCAATGCTCAAGTAAAATATCATCAGAGGTTGCAACATTATCCAAGTTTGGAGAAGCAAATTCCGTAACTATCGAGAAGAGTAGCCTCAAAGAGGAAAGCAAAACAGCAGGTAGATCAGTTAGTGAGGTTTTGGACGCGTCAAAATCAACACCCGTTACGGAGCAAGCTTGATCGACAAAAGAGGAATGTCGAAACCTCACAAGTTGTTGAGGAATCTCCAAGATAGTAAAATCGAAGGCGACGACGATCAATTAAGCCCTTTCGCATCACCAAAGACGGTGATGTCTGACATATTACGACGAGGACGTTTGCGTCGTGGTGGTGGTGGTGGTGGTGCAAACGCCCTGTTCAAGTTGCAAGAACAGTTGATCTTCTTCTCTTTCGTCAAAGCCTTTCTCTCCGCATGATGTCGTCAAACCCACTCACTGTTCTGCCACATGGTTAAATGATGTACGTTTCTGGCGAACTTTTCACTTCAAACACCAGCAACATCCACATGTCCGGCTGGAGCAAAATGCAGCCATGCCCCCCATATGAACCGATATTGCGGCTCTGAGATGATCAGCTGAAGATCGGAAATTCAACCGATCCTCTCCTTCTATGGGCTTTATCGAAACCCTATATCCGTATGTTAGGTTAGGACCGCTCTGCAGCTAACAAACGTGGGAAATCTGGAGCTGTGCAAATGGAGATCGCCTGACCAGGGGCTCGAAGGATGGGATGGGTCCAGTTTGAACAGGCCATCCATACATCGAATCCTTCACAAACAAGGCTACCCAGAACTTCAAGATCTCGACCAGGATTGGCAAGCTAGTGCAGTTAGCGGCCTCCTCAGATCTCTCAGCCCTCACAGCGTGAAGGATCTGGGGGGAACAATCCTGGCTGAGCTGAAAACTACGTAAAATTAGTCTTCTAGCGTGGTGTCAAGCTCCAGGGCAAAGACCGTAAAGGTCATCTCTCCTCGAGACGAATCTGGATTTCTTCATCTTTCCTTGCCGGTTGCCAGTTTGAATGAACATCTCATCTCTTGACATGTTCCTGCATTGCCCATACTAGGGGGTGGAATAACTACCTTTCTTCCGTTCTTTTGGGCCAGCTGACAGCTTCCCAGGAAAAAGGGAAAAAGAAAATCAGGAACCCTGCTTTTTATTTTGTCTTCAAATGCGCAAAACCCTGTTAAAATAAACCGTAGAAGCTGTGATCAGGAATTCCTTCACAGTTACTGGGTGTCCAATGGGCTCAATAACCAGTCTCTATTATGCACTCTGAAACTATCAGACTATGGCAGCTGGAGAAGGCCGGTGGAGTTGTTGGTTGGCATGAAAGCCGTCTTCCATTGGCATAATGGGGCTTTGGTTGCCCTCGATGAGTTGATGGCGTCGGTTACGCTGAGCTGACCCTGGAGTAGTTAACTAGATCAGAACTCTTAGACGAAAAGCCGCCGCCCTTTGGAGTTAACTACCCTTCCGCCAAGCGAATCTAAGCTACAGGTTGGGAGGAATGGGGAGGATGAGAACTTCAAAGTTTCTGTGATTATCCGGAGTTTTTGTTTCTTTTTCCTTTTGTTGATTAACTAGTTATCTCGGGGGCGGACTGCAAAATTTACCCAGAAATGCCCGTAGACAGTCGGTGATGGTGTTGTTGGCTGGCTGGCTGGCTGGCTGGCTGGCTGGCTGGCTGGCTGGGGGGTGTAACCCCGATGCGGCGAACTTTTTTGCAGCATATCTTGAGCATTTCCCTCTTAATTGAAAGATCGATACGAAGTATATAACTGCGATATTATCCAGACACTAGTTACACTCAATCCGCAACTTCATAGATTTGTTCTGATCATTCCGCCACGAGCAACTGTAACATTCTCCGCCTTTCTCCGCCCCTTTCCAAACACATCATCCCACCATCACTTAGCTTCACGCCATGTACCGAACAAGAAGATAAGGCGACATTGTGCTTCTTGATCAAAACCCAGTCTATTTATATTTTCATTGCGCAAAAACATATCCTTAACTCACCTGCCATGGCACCAACGAACAAGGCGCAGCGCACGCCGGAGCTTCCCGCCATTCCACCACACCTATCCATCCTAATCGCTATTTCTCTTCTCATATCTATCATGCTTATAAAGAGATTCAGTAAGCCACCGCTCCAGGGTTTGCCCTCCGGCGACATAAAGCAAAGAGCATCCCACCCCAACCTGGTGGAAAAGCATAACAAAGTCAACAAACATGATGAAAGCTTCATCCCCCACCGCCCTGCCAGTGCGACATTGCCATATCGTCAAACTAAACACCTTGGGACCAACGGTTGCCTTTCAACTGATCAGGCACCGAAATTAAAGTCGCCTTCGAAGATCACAACCCCATTATCATCATCAGATTGTGCTCAAATCCAGCCTCAGTATCAACATGGAGATCATGAGCCAATAGCTCTATCTCCACCACCTCCACTTCCACTAGATCTAGATCTGCAAAGGGCAATAACTGGGAATTCGCAAGCCCCCTCCCAGGTTACAATGCCCGCACCGCACTGGCAAACCGAAGGTTCTACTCATTTCGGGGACAGCACGCCCAGTAATCACTCACATCCTTTTGGTTCTCTAGTGATGCAAATCCCGGCAGTCGATTTTCCACAGATTCAAAGAGAAACGGTGCAGTTTCTCCCTAGGGCAGTGCCTGACAAGCGTCAGGCTTGGAGACGAAGAGTTCTCGAGTGTAACTAAGGAGCGAAGGAGGCGGATCATCGTCGTATGATTTCTCAGGTCAGTTGTCCAGTTCCGCAATCGTCCCTTGATATCCCCTGGGAGGAGTTTTGTCGTATCTTTTATCTAGTTTTCCTTCCCACGCCATCTTTCCCTCTTTGATGTCGTTCCTTAGCCAAAATGAGCGAAGTTAAGCAAATATCCTTATAGGTCTTTTAAAGATGAAATGAAGAATTTATGACTCCTCGAAAGTGTCTCAGACGAGATACCATAAAACTGAAAATTAAGGACTTCATTGACACTCGTTAAAACACGTCAATAAAAAAACATCATTCTTTGATATTCACCCTCCATTCCCACCCCACATTCCTAAAGTCCGAGGCTTGCTTGCTTTAAACCTCATCCTCATGCCCACAGGTGGACATATAAACTTGTGTCGGACGTGCCGGCATCTTATAGGGGCCCCATGAAGAGACTTCATAAGCAGTGTGGGAAACGACTCCGTATATCAAGAAACTTGAATTGATCTGGGGTGGGTATTTTGCCCAGCCTTCTACCAGTCATTACGAGTCTGATAGGGACAACGTCGGGTTGGTTGGTCCTTTAATCTAGGCTTGCAGTTGTAATGGCATCGGAGGACATAGGATAGTCTGCATCCGACGTTGCGCCACTCTTTTCGTGCCTTGACGACTCTTCACCACTCATATCCTGAACCCCGACATCGTAGATGTGAAGGTAGACCGGAATGAAAACTTTTCTTTTGGAATCTAGAAAAAGGAAATAACAAAGTCAATTCCCCTGATGAGTAACATAGAGATTAGAGCGCAATTGGCAGAAACTAAAAGTTGGCTGACATGGAAAAAGGGAAATTGTTTCTTGGATAAGCTGATACGATGGCTCAAGAGGAGAATGCGAAATCTTGTCGATAATGTGAACAGAGGAAAAAGGAGTGTATATTTATATGGCACACAACTGCCGGGATTTTAAAACACATGTGCAGAGGGATGATAACGCCATATGATACAAAGAAGGAAAGCCAGAAAGACGAGAGAGAACAATCGAACATACTGAGGGAAATGGTGGAGCATGCCGAAGAATCATATGTCTGTTGCCCTGGTGAACGGATAAAACCATCTCCCAGCAATGTTTGATGTTAGGGTCAGCATCTCATTGAGCGCTACATTGCCAACCAAGCCCCTTAATATGTATCAATTCATGGAGCAAGCTTCTTTAGGTGGTAACATCTTCAACCCACCAACGACCACCAAGAACTTGAAGGTCATCAATGTCTCTACAACCTCATAAATCAAGAATATTATGGGAATCGGAAAAGAAAACTCCCTTTTGAAGTAAGACCAGTGTTGATGATCCTACCCTTCTGGTATGCTTTGATATTTGCAAGACATTCGAGGTTGAAATTTTGCTTATCTAAAAGCTGACTTAGCCGGTTCCCCCCCCTCTGACGTATTAATCTAGATTTGGTCAACTACATCCTCCACTTTGTTGAGCTCAGCAACAAATCATATACTTACTTGAAGCCATTATTTATATATCCTCGTCTAAGCAATGGCGCGGAAGCTAGCAGAATCCGACTCGTCCCCAGATACAACATCCATTAACCTCACCCATCTCCTTGCCCGCCTCGAAAGCAATCTCTTATCACCCTCCGCAGACCTAAAACCACTCCGTCGATCTCCCTACCATCGAGCTAGAGTTGGAGCAGTAAGTATGCGGAAACAGTTTATATATGTATATATAAAGCCCTCTACTAACTGCTTTTTAAAGAACATCGAATATGCACGGTCCCTCATCCTCAAGCTCGAACTGTCCCTCCCAAATATCAAAATCCAATCGCACAAACATGCTTTACAGGCAGATCTCGCCCAGAGGCGGCAGCAGATTATGGCACTTAATGAACAACTAGATGCAATTTCAGCTGCTGCTGAAGCGGACTCAGAAACACAGGCTTTCTTGTCAGACAATGAAGAGGATATATTACCAACACCAAGCGACAGTACACCGGAGACTACGTCTCCTCCACCGACAAGAGGCGTGGATAGAGCATCAGCAGAAGAGGAGAACGCGAAAGACGAGAAAGGGGCCCATAGAGAAGAGCATCAACAAGAAGAAGAATCTCATACGGCCCAAGAACCAAGACAGGTCCAAACATTATTAGATCAACCTGCTTCGCAAATTACACATCCACGTCCACCACAACAACCATCACTACCGTCCAACACACTACGCAGCAGACACCACCCTCCACTGCCAACAATCCCAACAGCCACGACAACAGGAACCTCCCTCTCCAAACCCGCCACGACCACCAAACCAACAACAGAAACAACACCCTTCCCACCCCACGACCCCAAAACTACCCTCTCCCAGAACGAAGACGAACAGGACACCCTCACCACCTCCCTCCTATCCCTAGCCACACAGCTAAAAACCTCCACCCAAAAACTGCACACAAGTCTAGAATCCGAAAAGTCAATCATAGCACGGGCAGCGGAGGGATTAGACCGGAGCACGGCGGGGATGGAAGCTGCGGGGAAACGGATGGGGGCGCTGAGACGCATGGCGGAGGGGAAAGGGTGGTGGGGTCGGGCGTTGATGTATCTGTGGATTTTTGGGCTGTGGGTTGTGGCGGTGTTGATTGTGTTTATGGGACCGAAGTTGAGGTTTTGAAAGTTAGAAGATGGGTTTGGTGATGGATTGGAATGCTTTTTGGTCTTTGTTTTCCTGTTGAGAAATGGTACAAGTGAAGATGTGACCGATTTGGCTTTTTGTTGATCCATCTCATCCATACATCCATCACTCATTCCATGCCCTTGTGTCTCTCCCATTGGATAGCCGGGTTCTTTCTCAAATATAACAAGACAGAAAACTCAGATACTAATGCAGTGGCAGCAAATGTTAATTATTGTCCATCTGACTGACTCATTACCTCCTCCACGAAAAAAAAAAAAAAAAAATTAAGACTTGCTGCTCAATTTTTCTTTCCCCATCTTGAGATATCATTACAAACTTATACAATTCCAACACAAAGTTGCAAACAGTGTTTCCAATTCCATCATCACTGAAAAGAGTAGAATTAATTTTACTACCCATGGAAGGCTGCCTGTTCATATCAAGTTGATGACGAAATATAAAGACCCCGCTATCCACTCGGTCAAGTTAACCACCCGCAAGAAAATATCCTTGGAAGAATCAGACAGCTTAGGATAGCACTCTTATTCAAAATTGAACTGGCCAACCAACCAATCAAACAAACCTGAAAAGAAAGGGAGAGAAAAAGAAAAGTGGGATACTGCATTTCATTTCCTGCCTAAATTTATTTAGCAATGAAAAGAGAACAAAGAGAACGGGGAATTTGGAGAGAAAGGGAGAGAGATGCACAATCAGCCTAGTTATTTGCATCATGAAAACAAAAAAAAATGAAATCAACCTAATGGAAAAGACCAGGTCCGATGAGGGACACACAAAGCTGACGTGTTTATAAGAAGGCAGTCAACAATAACCAGAAAGAGAACACAAAAGGGAAAAGGGTAAAGAATAAAGTGAAAAGACGAACCCATGGTATTTCAAAGCTAAAGCGCAAGCCACAAAAAGATTGTTAGGCAAACAGAAAAAATAAAATCACATGAAGATACACAAATGAAAAAGAAAAGAGAAAAGAATCCCTAACAAAAAGAATAAAAATAAGGCATGGAAAAAAAAAACATACCTCATACGCACAACAGATACATCAAGAGGATATAAAAAAGGGTGAAAAAAGAGAAATAATCTCAAATCAAACTGAGAAGGAAACCATGCAGGGTAATTGAAAAAAACAAAAGTAACAAGATCAGGCAAGATGAATCTGAAGAAAAAAGAGACACATAAGGAAAGGGTGGTCAGGGAAAGAAATCGTATGTCCCGTTCATGTGGTGCCGGTTGTGCTGACGAGGCTGCATTACTCCATGTTTTTGGGATGTAGGAAAAAGGGCTTTTCAACCACTGGTCAAATCCTCCATAATATGGGCAAAATTATAGATGTCTTAATAGAAAAGGAAATTCTGAATGACAGATGCTGACAGGTCAGGGAGGAGGAGCGGGCCGGAGATAAACCTTAACCAAGAGGAAGACAAGGTACAAAGAAAAAGCTGAAGGTAATATCAAATACACATGGCATGAAAAGGAAAATTATCTAATTAGCGAAAAAAAATCAAAAGTAACTAAAAAGAATCAAACGTATTCAAAAGACTTCGTCATATCAGTCCACAGAGGCGAAGGTTGTCCTGGATGATTATATCTGGACTCTAGAGTTAGCATGACATGTATGATTCTAGTATTAATTTGTACATAAAAAATGAACAAGCCACATACCGTTGACAGCCATCATGACGAATCGGATTTGAGAGGTATCAGTAGCACAGGTGAAGTGTGTATAAATTTGCTTCTGCTCAGCCTGGTTGAGCGAGACGAAGCGGTTGAGGATATAGTCGCAAGCAGCAGTGTATTCGGCACCCCCTGGTACACAATATCAGCAACGTTTATCATGAATAAGAGAAAAATAAAGGAGTTGGGCGAAAACAAACCTTCGTAATCAGGGAAGTAGTTTTTCATTGGGCTAACAGGCAGTTTCTCCTTAAACCGATCAATCTTGTTGAGAAAGAGGATGATAGAAGTCTTGGTAAACCATCTCGAATTGCAAATGGAATCGAAAAGTGTGAGAGCTTCCTGCATACGGTTGACGGTTTCGTCTTCGAACAGGAGCTGGTCGTACTCAGAGATAGCAACAAGGAAAAGAATGGTTGTGACGTTTTCAAAGCAATGGATCCACTTCTTGCGCTCAGAACGCTGACCACCTACGTCGAACATACGGTACGTGAGATCGCCAATGATAAACGTTGTCTCCGTGATACCTGTGGTCTTAACACGGGAGCGAAGGACATCCTGGTCGCTAGGTAAATAATCGGATGCGGCGATACGCTTGATGGAGTCAAAATAGCTATATATCTTGGTTATTAATCAAATATATTGCGTTTGTGGCAGCAATGAAGCTTACTATCGTGCAGAGTCATTCAGCTGATACTCGCGAGATCTCCGGAAACATTCTTGTACACCAGCATCGTTCCAAAGGGCGTCGATTGCACTGCCAACATCGGGGGGTAAGCAATCGCCTTCAATCTGTGCTGGTTGCATGAAGATAGTCTGAACATGGTATTCGGCACGCTGGTCATCCAACGGGATATCTAGTCCTTCCATAGCCTCGAGAATAACGCGCATCGACTGGACGGTGTTGCTGAAAATGATTTCCTTGAAGGATTCTCTCTCATCTCGCGAATATGAACCCTCGTGAATGAGTTTCATCTGTTTCAAAATTGTGGATTTGCCAGACTCTCCAGCACCTGGGTGGTTCAGACCAAGTAAGTCATACAGCCGGATTAAACAAAAGGAAAAAGAATCATCTTACCAAGCAAGAGCATTTTGATCTCGTTTCTCTGCAGCATCTTATCCCTCTTCAGTTGATTCTCAATCTCTTCATTTCTAGCCTTTCCTTCCTTGTCCTCGGTGCTCATTCCACACCCCATTGTTGTCAAGTTACAGAATGTGTAAAGACTGGGGTGAGTTTATTTTTCAGGGCGTAAAGCAAGATGGATGAATGACACAAAATGCTCTGGACGATATCGGAATGTACAGGTTCTGCTTCATGTCAGTGGGAAATGGATCAACTACACATCCCAGAGCTCGACAAGGTAAAAAAAAGCAGGTAGGGCGGTAAAGAGAGAGTGAATCGATTGGTAGAAGATGATTGGTGCTGCTGGCCAGCAAAAGGGTTGCAGCCGGTCACATTCCCCCAATGCCGTCGTCCCGACAATGCGGCAACAAGAGCCCAAGAGGCAAGCCATAAAGTCAAGACATTCTACACTCACAATATACTCCAATGGGGGAAAGAAACAATTAAACCAAGACCAATCAACTCAATTCAGTATTGCTTTGGAGATACCGATAATACCGTATTCCAAAGCGAGAGGGTTGGTGGGCAGAGCAGAAAAGGTCAGGTAGTGGTGGTCTGCAGGGAGTCAAAGAGAACTTAGGGGAGAGCGGACCAAATCGCACGCTGGGAAAAGAGCGATTCAATTTGCTGAAGACTGGCTGGGTTTTGCGGGAAAGGACTGGAATGGAATCCTACAGGCTCAGGCCAACAGTCCAACAACACGGCAGGGCGGGAGATTAGAGGATTGAAGGTGAAGATGGAGATGAAAATAGCGAAGGAGGAGGTTGGAGGTTGGAGGTTTGGAGGTTTGGAGGTTGGCCTGGGCAAAGAACAATGGAGGAGGAAGAAGCAGGAAAGAACACAACAAGGGTATGCCGGCTGAGAAGGGGAAGGTGGGACGAAGGAAGAGGAAGCGTTGTACGGTATGGTCACGGCCTTTACGGCTGTTATGTTACAGTTCAATAAGTTATGATACATACAATATTCAACCGCCTTGCAACACACGCCAAGGTCCAGCGCCAAACGAGGTGTCAAGTGCTAAATACACTAGTATGTGCAGTACAAGGGGCAGGTTTCTCCTCCATCCATGGCCGAGTTGGTTGGAATTAGTCCGCTGGTGACCTGCTTCGTAACAATAGAACACCCCGAATACCCACCCACCGACCGCCCAGAGAATTGGTCTCTTCCTTACAAGTCCCCCATCTCGTGTAAGAAATAAAATAAAGGGGGAGGAGAGGTAACTATAACGGGCGCAATTACCCATGGCTTATTAGGATGACATTATTAGTTTCTTGGGTATCAAATTATTAATCCACTCCCAGCCTTGGAGGTAATACTGCACTGCAGTCTGCCTGCGTTTGTGTGCCCCTTTAGAAATACGTCCCGAAATTTCTCGAGAAAGATAGAAGAATTTGCCCGTTGGATACCTTTCTGCCTAGGTAAGCTCAGGCAAACGTGGCATCCATTGTTCCCAGCGTATCAACATCGATAAATAGAGGACGCAGTGTCCCGAAAATAGAAGAAACTTCCCAAAGTCGGGCTTTAGAGATAAACGGAAAAAAGGTTGAAATGGTTCTTGCACCCATGTTTATCCCGCTGACGAATCGGCAGCTTGACTGCAGAGTGGAACCCAATCCCGCCAGAGGGGAAAACGAAAAACGGAAGAAATTGGGAGAAATTGGGAGAATTTAATCAGAAATTTATATCTCCACAGGAGGAGATATTAGAGAACAAGTCCACCTTGCATGTCATCCTCATCATCCCAGTTCAACAGCCCAGAACAAGAGGCGAAAACCCACGAGTCATAGACAAGCCATTCCCTTCCAAAAATAATTGTTCCGTTCGCCTAGGGTTAAACTCCTCCAAGCCATTCCCTACAAAAATCCCAAATTTACCAGCCTTTCGTTTCCACCCCCTCTTCACTTGTGGAGCCCAGTGCAATCGTGATGCTTCTAGAAGGCTTGGAAGGAAACTTGAACCCTGTATAGCTTAAACTTTTTGTACAGAGTTTTCCAGCTTCTGCGTCTGGGTCCAGTGTTTGGGAGGAACTAGTTGAGGTTCTTAGCAAACGCCGCCAAACCGTGGCTGTGAGAAATGATACCTCTCACAGTGCGTGCTGTCCTCTCATTGGCATAGCATGAAGAACTCTCCAGTTATGAAAGTATTAGTTATTAATGGTCTCCGAAATTAATACATTATGTGCAGATGCCACCAGATCTTTGCTTCCCCCGTTTCGCCATCAAAGAGTTGAAAAATTTGCCTCAAACTCTTCATGTCAAGATCTGCAACATTTGAAGACAGCAAAAATACAGCTAACATTGAAGCCAATTAATACTCAAGGGCTCACATCAGGTGACCTCAAACTCGTACCTGGAAGAACCCATCCATGGGTTTTCCCTTGCTCGAGCCTCTGCATCAACCTTAACCTAATCTCACCCTGTAAGTTATGATTTCATAATCCGAAAGTATCCAAAATCTACAACCGTACTTAACTTTGGAAAAGGCGAAAGCCAATCGATTAAAAGAAAGTTCTAAAAACGAAAGGATTTGTCGATTTAGCAGCTCGGCGCGGTTCCTGTCAAAATCCTTAAAAAAGCCCCCTTTTCACATCCATCAATCTACTTAGGTATCTCCAAATCTTGAGTCAATATCCGGTCTCAGGTTTCAGGTGTCAGACAAAATCTTCACTCTGGGAAATATTTATAACGTCACCGGGTTTCTGTGAGAGAGATGCGACCCTTCATTGCAAGTCGGATTATTCCTATTTTCTTGGAAGCAAGCTCGCACTAAAAACAATCCCACTGTTTACAATTTAATACCTTTACCCCTCTCAGCGGATAGAGCGGCGTCTTGTCACATTTCATGAAGAAGAGGAGTATGATAGAAGTTTTATATAAATAGCTATCTACTTCGCTGTTCAGAAAGTCAGTGATTCATTCTCAATATATCAGAATTACTGAAATACAAATACAAATCTTCATATAGTCACTTGCACTTTGATTTTTAGATATCTCTTCTACTTGTAGATATATATACACTTGTTTGCTTTTTTATCTAGTCAAGTCTACACATTCAGTTTCTCATATAATCAATTTTATATGATGTCACTATTGACATTTCATTTCAGCTCTATTTTATTACAGTTTAAATCATCTAATCTAACTGCTGAAGAACCAGTCAAGTCTTAATAATATGTTTCATCATGAAGAGATTATTAAAATTCTATCTGTTACAAAGATATTATGTACTTATCTAACAAAACTCGATTCTTTAATACAAAGTAAGTATTATATATCTTCAATATTTAAGTATTTTAAAATCAACTTTTTTCAAAAACTTTGAGATTTTTTAATCAATCAGATATTTTAATATGAAAAAAACTCTTTATTATATTATTGTCATATCTTTTCTACTTTATATTTATGATGAAAAATTAAAAATCTATAATCTTATAAAAGTAAAATATTTACTATATATTTTATATTTTATCAAATTCTTAAGTAGAATTCTATCTTAATTAAATCTAATTTAATATTTATAAGATTTAAGTTTTATTTACTATTAATCTTCTTAACAATTACTTTGTGACTAGATAAATAGTTATAGAGAAGAACTTAAAATATATAAATATAACTTTAATATAAGAGAAATTTAAAAAAAAAAATTTGAATTAAAATGAAAATTGTAACAGACTAATTACTGAAAACAGCTAATAACTAATATGTATAAAAATAGAAAAGAAATTATTAAAGAAGAAAAAATTGATAGATCATATAGAGAATTAAGCTCTATTTTATAGAAAGTGAAAATTCAGTATAAGAATTATTGACTGTATAATAGAGACTTATACAGAGAGATCATATAGATAGAGACATATACAGATAGAGATCATATTGATAGAAGTATATATAGATAGAGGTTATATGAATAGAAACATATACAGATAGAAGTTACACAGATAAAGGCAGAGGTATCACTTCAGTGATACTGACTCAATGGCATTATTTCAACAGTGTCTTAATAGCGCAAAGGCTAGCCTAAGTATCATGAGAGTTAGAGCATAGTCTTTTATAAAAATTATTACAATCATAACTTTATAGTAGTAATAGTTTAATATTTTTATTAAAAATAATAAAACTTTTTTAAACTTTAGTATAATATTTAAAGAAATAAAAGAGAACTATTAACTAATAAATCAATTAAATATTATCTTTCTAAGATATTTTTAAAAGCAAGAGTTATAATTAGTTAATTGATATTAAAGTTTATATATAAACTGAGTTAAACTAATTAATATACTTATTTATATGTTTTTGTAAAAAATTATCAATGAAACTGATTTATTTTTACTATAATTATATAAATATAATATAAGTAGAAAATAATACTATATATTGATAGTTTATTAACATATTAAATTATTATAATTATTAATGAATTAAAATTTATTTTATTTATTATATGTTATATTAATTTTAAATAATATTTTAATTTAATAAGTAAGTAAATATTTTTTTATTATATTTTACAATATTTATAATTTTTTCTATTATCATATTATAATCAAAATAATAATATAAATTCAAATTAATTTATTATATCTTTTAAAATTAAATTATACTGAAAATTTTAATTTTTTTTATTATATTTTGAATTTTTTTTTTATCAATCTCTAATCAGTTATATTTAAAATTTGTTATAAAATTCAATATTAAGTTTTTTTGATTAATCAATTCTTGAAGCAGTTTATTTAGCTCTATGAAAGGCATTTAGTTGATCTTAAGTTAGCTTATAAGTGTATCAATTATACAAACCTATCAGTTAGTGGGTAGTTGTGTACACAGGTAAATCACATCCGTGACGTTCTAAGCAGTGTATATTCTACCTATACAATCAGTGGCCACAGAAGAAACCATCAATTAGGGAAGAAATCAGAACATATGGAAGGAAGATTTTAATTTAATAAATATATGCCCCTAATTTACGTTCCATTACTCGCATGCATAAAGAAAGAACCCACCCACATCTTTCTAATATCAATTTCATATTATCCTTCCAAGCTTACCGAAGCCTCACAACTTCAAAGTATTCTTTCTGAACCAGAGAAAGAACGTATCAGCTATTGGTATTTAGCAAACCCCTTGTGCTGCATTGTAGGAGGTATATGAATAATATCCACCAACCCCTCCATCCCTCGGTATTTGCCACGCCTAGTTTAGCCGCGAAAAAGAGAGAAGGGAATGAAGCATGCACAGTGAACAAAATGTACTAACTATTCAAGAGAAACGCAAGAGTAGAAAGTGGAAAAAGGAAGCGTAATAGAAAATAATAGAAGACGTATGATAATAAGTGATAAAGAGCAAATGAGTGATGTCATAACCGTGGGAACAAGTGGAAAGACCGGAAAAGGATCGAAAAATAGCTTAGAAAGTTAATTTAACCGCCATACTTCAGTTGCTTAGTGATTGACAAAACCCAGGGCCTTTTTATTCTTTTCTTTTCTTTTTCTTTTCAGCAAAAAGGGACCTTGAACCGGAACTATATGTGGTTCACTAGACCCCGCCGGTCACTCGTGCTCTTATCACCGTCATGTCCATCTTTAGTGTCGCTATCATTGTGCATCATCTTCTCCATGAAAGTGATATAGTCATACTTGGGCACATCGCGATCCCCTAAGAGATCCGGCCCGTTATGCTGCGGCATGGTTTGGAGGAGGTTATCAATAAGCTCCTCGGGGATGAGGGAGTGTCTAAGGTCCAATTCAGTGACGTATGGCTGCAGGAGTTGAGATAAGCAGTTAGCGACTGCGCAAAAATAAAAGCAAAGAAAACTGAGAAAAAGGAAAGGGGAAGACAAGTGTAACAATCCCTTCTGCTACTGGCTCCATTTAAACAAATAAGGAAAATACACACCTTCCCATCAGCCACCTCTTTGAAACTCTGGAAAACCTGTTCTGCCGTATTCTGGTCCTCCGTCACACTGACCATGAAGCGAATGAACTGCTCAAAACTGACTCCTGCATTTCGCTCAACCCTCGCCGGTCCACAAGTTGCCAAAAAAACCTCGTGCATCTCATCCTCGTCATAGACCAATCCCAAACTCGCCAATGCGGCAGAAAACTCAATCTCGTGCAGCGTATTGGACGAATCCCGATCAAAGTGTCGGAAAACAGATTCAAACTCTTCAAGCTGGATAGGGGTGAGGTTGGTCATGTTTCTTGCCACCGTCTGGTTTTCCAAGAAGGCTAGCTTTTTGCTGACGCTTGACTTGACTAATCCGAGCTCGTAGGCAAGCTCATCATACGTATATGTAGTGAAGTCATTCTCTTCAATGTTAGCTTCTATACAACGCTCCTCCAATTCGGCAATGGTTTCCAGGAAAGCATCCAATGGAGGGAGGTTATTGTTCAGGCGCTGGGCATGGGATAGCTGGTCCTCAACATCTCCTTCGAGTCCTGAGATGGCGAGTGATAATGTATTAAGTGTCAATGCGAAATCGTTTGCCTTGTCAGCAAACGAGCGACGCAGGGCATTCTTAATATCGCGTATGGTTTCATTTATGAGCTGGCTGCGATCGCGCTCATTTTGCGTTAGAGTAACCCATTCCTGATCCAAAACATCAAGTCTCAGCTCCGGAGGTGGCTCATAGGCCCGGAGACGGTACGTGCTAAGTTTCGTCTTAATGTTGCCGAGTAGAGCTGCAAGATCAGATTTCTCCGCAACCCATTTCCTTTTCTGGTTCCTCTTATACGCACCGAACTTGGCTGCCTGCTCCTTGGCATCTGCGTATGTCCCTTCGAATGATGCCTCACGCCACTCAGCGCGTTGAGCTCTGATAGCCTGAAGAAGTTCTTTCATCCTGCGTTCGAAAGAATTCTGCATCTCCCATGCTCCCTGCATATTAATCACAAATTTCTCCACCCGTCGACCGGCATTTTCTACTCTCTCAAGCTGCGAAAACGCATGGAACCAGTATGCGATATATGTCATAAGTGATCGTTCATCTGGTTTCGCAACGTCGCAGACATCCTCCACATCAAGCAAATCCGGAATACCGATATGGCTCGACGCAATATCAAAGGCCATCTGCATATTTCCCTTGTGATCGTTCTTATCCAGCGAATCGTAATCTATCAGATCAGGTCGATGGATATCCAGCAGCGCACAGAAGGCCAGGCCATCGTTCCAGCTCGCGGAGAAATCTCTGACGTCCACCCCGGGATAACAAGCCGTCTTTCGTTGACACCACAATAACAGTCCCTCCTTAGCTGTCATCCCTTCCTCGCTAATATCGCTAATCGTAAACCGCAGAATAAGCGTCCATATCAGTCCCAGAATAATCTTTCTGTTGCCATCAACTATATCCTCAGCACCGATGTTTGTCATCTGGATCCCCCGCCCCTTAACGTAGTCAAGACTCTTGTTGGCATTTTCGAACTTCTGAACTCGCAATTTGGGCTTCGAGGCATATCGACCGAGTGATTCATTCCCCAGGATCTCAAGGATGTGAATGAGAATAACCTATGGCCCCGATCGTGAAAACCAGAATGAGTATAAACAAATTTACTTTTCAGGGGTTCAAAAGAGAAGGAAGAACCAGAAAAAAAGACTTGCAAACGAACCCCATCAGAAAGATCTTTGACCAAGTCGTCAATTGCCAGATTCCGAACTTGCAATTTGTTATTAAGCCTGCAGCACAATAATTATTAGCCGTCTCCGAAAAATATATGTTGCTCCAAAAAGGGATAAACAGCAAGCCCGCACCAACCATTTTGTAAAAGTCTTCTGCTGGACCGTAATCCATTGTTTCTCCTCGGTCAACAACATCCCTAGGTTCGGGCTTTCAATGTCACTGCCAATGCCAATGCCTGTCCTGGTGCGAGAGTGGTAGAAGCTTGAATCGGAATGCAAAGCACTATACAGACTTGTAGATCCTTTGAGAGAGTGATTATTGTAGTGGTGATTGTAACAGGGGTGCGTATGTGCTGATGAGATATTGTAGATAAGCTGGGCACGATGTGAAATTGGCATATGTAAAGACAAGCCTCCGAGGTGGGTGGTGTGATTTATTTTGGTAGTGGTCCTGGGCTCTGGAGCTGTTTGTTTAGGGTTGTTTATTTAGTCAACACAAATCGTGGTCGTGGCCTGTGGTTACGCTCTCATCAGGGAGTTCCAAAGTGTTAATAACTGAAGAGACATTGAAGTACATCGAGTATACTGCGGTCACATACAAAAAAAAAAATTAATAAAAAAAATTAAAAAATAAATAAAAATAAAAAACCGAGGGTGGAGGTGCAGTCACAGATACAAAGTTTCTGATTGAACTTGGCAACTTAAGCTTGGAAGAAGGATGTGTCAACAACAATTGTATCAACGATTGGCAAAAAGTTTAAATAGGGAGACGTGATGATAGTGGGGCATTTAAATATCACTTTCTAAGATATTTAACCAGTAACCTACGCAGCAATAAAATATACTGCATATCATATCATGTAGGTTTTTTCTGCCATTTTATACTCCGCACATTCATTGATTAATATACTGCTGAACCCCCGCTGTGAAACACGTCACAACGTCTGCCACAATGAACCAGTAACCGCACGGCATACAGGTATTCAAGAAATCAACGAGACTGTGTCCAAACAACAAACAATAATAGAAAAAAAAAAAGAAAAGGAAAAGCACTGGACTGGCATGTTCTACAAGTTACATTCCTGCCCCCGGCCAGGATCGAACTGGCGACCTTGAGATCACTCAGACAGTTATTGCTACCTGATCATATTGTTGAATATGAGACTCACGTGATAACCAACTACACCACAGAGGCTTCTGGCGATGGGAAGGTTGTATCCAGCGGGTGCATGATGCATCTCCAGAAAAATTCATTTGTTTCTCTTGGCTGGATCCCGCATCACTAGATAAACATCCATTCTCCCCATCTCACCCCCTCAAGGGCAAGATCTTCGATCCCAGCGCTTCCTGCCGACAAAGTGGACACTCTGGTTTCTCCCGCACCCAGTCCCGTATGCACGTCCAGCAGAACACATGCCCGCACGTTACTATGCTTGGATCTTTATAGGGGTCCAAACACAACGTGCATTTTCGCTGCTGGCCGGGTGGAACCCACGCGAGGGCTGCGTTATTTGAGCTGGCTACATCATAGCGGGCCTCCCCCGCAGGCAGAGACTGGATGGATGGTGGTGGTGTGTATATGGATTTCAGAGAAGGTTTATCATTGGAGGTTTGAGACTGTTGCTGGTCTGTTGCGGTTTCAGTGGTGAAAGAGGAAATAGTGTCCTTGACATAAAGTACTCCCTGCACAGTGATTTGAAGAACGAGCAAGACGCCTAGTACCTCATAGCCGATTCTAGCTTCATTATCTTCAATTCGCTTGGTAAAGACATATCGGAGGCCCCAAATACGTTTGGATATGTGGTAATAGGCTCCAGAGAAGTAAAAGGCGGTGAGGTTTAGAGCAAAGATCAGGGAGAGAGAGGTGAGAGAATCGAGGTGATCAAGGAAATAGTTTTGGAAGCGCAGAGTTAGACTTGGTGTGGAGGGTGCCCCTTGTTTGGAGGATGCCAGTGCAGCTTTTGCCTGAAGCCGTATAATGTTGTGTTGGAGTTTTATCCGTAGCTTCTGACGGAGTGCTGGGAGAAGGTGTTGCAGTGCCCAGGGAATTAGAATGCTGCTGAGAATATATCCAACCCGTCGGGCCAATGATGGTAGTTGTAATGAGTCATCTTCCAGTTGTACAACATCACAGTATTCTTCGCCCAGAGTTCGGTTTCCTACAAGGGTTGTAAGGGAAAGGTATAGGAGATCGGTAAGATTCTTGATGGCATCTGTATGGGAGTGAGCAAATCTCGCACCGCGGATAGCACGAATTATCGTGTGGGCTTGGGCAGAAAGGGTCGCAGAAATGTAGGCATCCTTCTCGTGGCTCCGTATAATATCCGGAGATGTGGCCCAAGGGAAGAAGTGCGGGACGGGGGCAGCGGACAGCTTTGGGTTTGTAGCTGGGGGCAGATCAGAGGCCATCTCTCTCTTAACGGGTAGTATATATTTGGTACGAGAAAGGCGTGTATCACTTTTGCGTAGTGGGCCTTAGTATTTTAATTTGCGACTCAATGATATCGGAACTGACGTGTCATGGTCTCATTTCCATATATATTCAATAAAACAGACGGCACCAACAAGTTTGAATATCCAATAAAGTTGTCTCTGAATGTTTTTTGAACGTTGATTTGGACCTCGGCTTGAGCTCCAGTCACGTGAATCCACGTGCTTTGGATTATTGCTGCACGTGATCTAGATAGCCGCTATTTCGTAGCAAGGCCTCCCTCCTCCCCAATGGAAGATCAATGCATGAACGAACGAACGCGATATTCGTCATCTGAGGATAACATTGTTGTATGTAACTCACCCCTACTTATCAATGCTTAATATGATGCCCCTCTGCTTCTCTACAAGTATTCCTTTTATCTCACTGTCTTAAGCCGTGCTCTAAAATATATAGTAGCGATACAATCTACATACACCTAAAACCAATCAAAACTAATATTCAACAATTTGGGCTTCGAGTAATCTTACAGATAGACCACCTATAAATTCATGAGGAGAGGGTGATAGCAGAAAGCAGAAAACAAAAACAATGTGCAGAAATAAAAAGGAAGGAAACAGATATCTCAACTTAATATGCGCCTGGAGGAAATTTTTCCAATGAAACCCGCATCCTCCTATTGCTATAAAATGAAAATGAAAATTTACCCCTTCACTTTGAATCCATATATTTTGACCTTTCCCTTGACAGCCATCACCACTCATCCCACATGCAACCCAGCCTACTCAATCATGTCAATGTCATTATCCATAGCCGGGGGAGCAGGTTCAGCGGCAACAGCACCAGTTACGTTGCCATTGGCATTATTCGGCTGTGCACTAGTGGCCTTCCAGTAATCATCCATCTCCTGATCCAATTCCTCATGCGTCTTTCTAGGCCTTCTATTCTCTCCCTGTCGCCCTAAGCCCCCCGCCGGACTACCGTTTCGCTCCTGACTATCCCTGAACTCTCCAGGCCTACGAGAACCCCTACTCCGTCCACCATCACCCCTCCGCCTTGGCGATCGCTGGCCCGGAATATAGCGATCAATGTGTTCTGGTGGAGGCTTCGACACGTCGCTTCTGCGGGTTCGTCCACCACGGCCTGTGGTACCATCAAGTTCTTCGCTCTCTTCGGGACTGACACTACGGATATCTCTGGCGCGTGGTTTCTCGGTCCGGTCAAATAGGCTACCCTTTGGCTTTTCAGCGAAATCAAACGGATTACGTCCAGTTGGTCTTTCTGAGGAGCCGGAGGACATCAATGTGAGGGTGATCGGTTGACCTTTAGCGTTCGCGCCGTCGAATTCACGGATGGCGGTTTGAGCATCGACTAATCGCTTATATGTTACGAATGCAACACCCTCTGAACGACCAGCACGATCGTATAGGAGTGAAAGTGCACTGATAGGTCCGATTCGGGTAAAAAGATCCTTTAATTTAAAAAAAAAAATAACACTCGGTAAGTGGGGTTTTTCTTCTAGGGGTCGGAAGACGATTCAAATAATATTAATACCTCGAGATCATCCTCTGTTAAATCGTAGTGGAGATTAGTGACTCGGATTTTGGCGCCAGTCTGGAATCTAAATGATGATAAGTTTAGCGAATCTGCCACGGGGTTTTGGCACGATGAATTGACGTGGGAGCGTACTGTTCGCGCTCGGGAGAATACCGATCGAGGCGAGGGGCTCTGCTGCCCCGGATGGAAGGACGAGCTGGAGGATGCGTGAGGAATCAATGCCATGTATATGATAATTGAATAAACGCACTGTCTCTATCATCTTCAAATTTATCGTGGACCCAGTCGCTATATCAAAATTTAGCAACGCTACCGAGAGGAACGCAAGGGATGAAAAATGAAAAAAAAAATTCATACAGATCCAGATTTGCGCGTTCTGTCCGAAAAGGCTGTTGTTCAAGAAGAAGAGGGGAGGTCAGCTGAAGGTCAAATAGATGTTGCTAGTACCCGATGGCTTTGGGAAGAGGGCGAGCAAGCCGTGAGCCCGTCTAAGGGCCACTGGCCCTGGTTTGCCATTACGGTACGGCTATGGATGCGAGAGGAGGAGGAGGAGGACCTAAACTCAAAGCTCGTTAATAATCCGTTATTCTTGTAGGTATTGGAGGGGACAAACTGTTTACCTTCTTGACACCTTCTCGTGGCGCATTTTCCCGTCGAAGCCGGTAGCGCTGTCGTCCACGGTTTGACAATTTCTATAAATAGTGGTGATAGTCAGCTATGAGGACCGGCATCGTCCATATCTCACACGCATTGATTCTATGTTAAGTGCGCCAGTTTGAATAAACTCGTCCAGAATGACTTACGGTACGCTCTCCTATGATCTCATCCAAGGTTCGGTCCATAACTGAGGAAATAAGCGGGGGCAAGGGGGAACGGGGAAGGGCCTGCAAAACAGGAACCGGTATTCCCGTAAGGGACTTCACAGAAGGCTGATGATTTGATCTGTATAAAATGTTATATAGTGGACCTGAGTGGTTTTGAGATGAGCTGATCAGGATGACTTGAAGGGACGGCGATGTTGCAGATTGGCATAAAGCAAACAATCCATCAAGGCGGTCATGTACGGCAGAAAGTGCAGCTGATGATCAGCAACCGAGCGCTTGTGAACTCTACCGGTCATGAACTTCATAATAGAGTATGTGCAATCAATGAAAAGCTTGAGGAGATGCGAAGGAAAGGAAGAAGAATTCAACGCGTAGAAATTTAAATTTTCTGATTTCTCCTAGCCTGTCACCTCAGTTATTAACTAACTAGATGACTGCTACGAGGCATTCTTAATTTCTGTCAGATTTCCCACCTCGGTTGTCCCATCACAGCACTTGCTCTCATGTACGTCTAGAACTCGAGTTTCAATATTCACACGAGAATCTCCCGATTAGGTCCGGAATCAGGAGTAAATTGTATCTGCTACAGCCCGTATTTATTCCGTCTGTGTTGCTCTACCGGCCCCGATTTCCCATTACACCGCGGACACGTTTCCAGGAAGTAAGAACATCTGTCAAAGAGGTCTCTCACAGCCTTGCGTTGCCGTAACTAGGTCCCGATAGAATTTCGTTATAAATCCTTAAAAGTACTGTAACGACGCGTTCGGAGTTTTGGCACAGAATTACATTCTTATTTGAAACCTTTCGTCGACGCAAAATTCTCCTACGGCAAGTATTTGCGGAGGATGTTAACCCTTCAGGACCAAATATACATGCTGCAAACTCATGCAGATTTTGCTTGATTTCGAAAAGCAATTCGGGCAACGATTCAGCCGCTAAATCTGATGCCTGGTTGTCAACGGCTCCTTCTTCCATCAAGGGATGTGGATAAGATTTTCTGATTTTGATATAGGAATTGCTTCCATCGTTAAGCGTCGTGGCATTGCAACATAACTTGCCATCCCATCTCACAGAGCTTTTCGGGATAGTGATATCTTGCTAAAGTGCGTAATGTGCAAAATGTGCAAAAATGCGCAATGAGCTCTTCGAGAACGATGGAACAGTCCAGGTTTCTATGGAGAGAGTTCGGTGGTTAGCAACTTATGTTTTGATAGTGTCTAATATGCTGGAATACCGTATCAAGTCCTCTACATTGCAGCAAAGGTCAAGACATTCCAAATCAAATTCCACAAAGGCAGTATCATCGAGGCTCTCGCCAATGCCGACGGTATCACGGTTTCGGTTGAACAGGACAGTCGCGTCAGGCCCCGTGTTGAAAGGTATTTCACGCAAGCCTTTCTGATACTGAACAAACTTCTTGAGAGTCGATTTGTGGCATAGCACAGCACGCCAAACATCGAAAGGCTTTTGTATTGAGATTCGTGGAAACGAAAGGTTCCTCCAGACCGTCAAATGACTCCACCAACTCCGGAACCGCAGCTTCCCAGATAAGCTCTTATTTGGTCGTGGAATTGATATTAAGCGTTTTGAGATTCATCCGTCTTTTGGAGTCAAGAGCACGCCACAAAACTCGATCCCAGCCCTGACAAAGGGATAAATTCAACGGATAAAGCAGAGCATAGTCAAAATTCCTATTCCACAGGCCTGAGGGAAATCCCGGCCAAAGAAAACATTCGCAATGCAGGAAAGGCTTTTTACAAACACCAGGAGGGATTCCTAGGTACTTTTCTGGGAAGGAATTGTTTGCGTCCTGAACGAAATCTTCGGCCCTCAATTTCGGGTATATAGTCAAGCAAATCCAGGTCAAGCCCCTGAAGTTGGTGGAGCGATGGCTGAATTGCATTGCCTAGACTCATGAAATCATCATCTGATCTTGGGCACTTCCAGGAAATCTTTTTTTGAGGCGTCTGAATAGCGACAAGTCGATCGGATAGACTCCATATGGGCAAACCAATGAATGATGCGAAGCGAACTGGATTAACCCAATTTTATTTTTGTTAAAGAGTAAAATAGTCAGTTGGACCCAATTTAAACTCTAGCATGCAGTTACCAACTCCAAATTTAAACGTGAAAACTAGGATTAGTCCAGAAGCAATATGTATAAAAGAGGAAGGGTTTATCTCACCTGAGGGTCCGAAGAATATTGTCATTGAGCAATTCTAGCACACGAATCAAGGTATTGTTGAACTCTTTTTCCTCAAAAAAAAATCGACGGTACAGTGGGAACCGTTACCAGAAGATTCATACACACCATAGCCATCTCCAATCCGAAAACAGCAACCCCAATAATCAAAATCAAATTTTTTAAGCAGTCGTATGACCATGTTATGGAAGTGCGGGCAGCGATTTCTGATGTTCACTGGGAAAGTAGGTGTACGTCGTAGAGTTCTGGTATATTGGAGATCGGTTTTCCGCTGGAGAGCCACAAGTACTGACATTGCCCAATCCACGTTGAAAGCCAGGTATTCGTATAGGAGTAGAACAGCAATGTTGTACACATCCATCAAAACTTCGCAAAAGTTTCTTCTAGGCGCATGTACCTGACGGCTAATCCCAACAGACTGGCTATTTGAAAACAACTGTCTCACAATTCAGAGCAAAACAGCCAGTGAGCTTGAATATTTCAACCACTAGTTTGTAGCTAACTGGAATATAGTTCTCGAAATCGAGACAACGAAGAGTAAAATCTCAGAGAAGATTACGCTCTAAGCGCCTCCCTAGGAGAACTGTTCTTAACCTCAGTAAGAGAAAACAAGTTCTGCAAAGCACCGCGCAAGGTCACCAGGATTTATGGCAAGGACATTAAAAGAAGAAAAAAGTATCAGGTTAAAGGTAAATGTTGTTCCTATGGGGACATTGTGTTTGCTAGATGGAAAGGTGGAAATAAAGTGAGAACAATAAGGGGTAAGTTGTGGTTGGCAAGGAAACCTGAGTGAATGACAGTGGAAGAGCTAGGGTTGAATTGAAACTCCATCAAAATCGAAGACCAGGATTTAATAACACAAAGAGAGAGATCATTGGGCTGATGCCTGATGTGATGTGCTATTCACTTCATTCCCTCATGGGGGGGTTGGTGGGGATGGGATTATCAACAAGGCACCTTTATGAATATTGAGCGCAATGAAGCGCGGATGGAGGAACACCTGGCTATCCAGCTAGGCATGTAGCTAGCTAGGGAAACTTCATAAGTTATCTCTAGTGCTACGAGAAATAGAAAAAAGACATAGCCTAGCAAACAAAATGCCTTCTGAAAAGGGGGAATTGAAGTGACCTCGGGATGGGGAAAGTAGAATGAACAGATAGAAATGAATGGTATGGATATACCAGATTTATGACAAAAACAAAACGGAAATATCCCTCCAGATACATACATATAAGCATATGTACGAGTTTTATAAAATCGCATGCTCTCCTTTTGGACGATTTTTCATCCACAGGTCTTTTCCATAACAAACAAAATAAAAAATAATAAAAAATAATATAAATAAATAAATAAAATAAAATAAAATAAAAATATCACTGTATTACTCTCTTTTCTTCATGGGAAAACCAGGAGATGGCCAAAACTAGACACAACCGATTTTCGTAGTCTTCGTATTTTGAGTTTATTATTCTTTGAGTTTTATCTCCATAGTCCATACGGTTCTCTGCAAGCCTTCCATAGCTTAATGGTACCGTCTTCGCTGCCCGTTCCATACACCTTCCCATCCGGAGAGTAACTTACAGACCATATCGGTCCATGGTGACCTTTCTGAACTTCTATAATCGAGAAAAACAAAAGTCGATTAGCAAATTCTCTACCTCTATGAGTTGGGAGGGACATAATGGACATACCAAGCTCCTCATCCGATTCTAAGTCGTACACTCGTGCCCACGTGTCTCCCATAGAACCCGTCACAAATCTCCCAGACTTGTTATTGACAGCAACACTCGCAACCTCGTAATCAAAGTCCACTTTCTTCAACAAGCAACCAGGCTGAGCCCCGTTAAAAAAATAGACAGACTTTCCCGCAGCAACACTCAAGATTCCCGGCCCGGCCGACTCCGTGGCCAGCGCGTTGAGCTCGCAGCTCCCAATCGTACCATCAACGGTATGCTCAACGAAGGGAAGGCGCGAGCGCAGATCCCACCATCTGATTTTTCGATCTTCACAGGCTGTCGTGATGATATTGTAATCTTGGTTCCAAATGATCGACTTGATAGTGCCACCGTGGATGCCAGGGCCAATTTCAAAGCTTGTCGTGGGCGTCGTTGCCGCTGATCTGCTATTCACCCCATCAACTCCATTAGAGCCGTGGGGTGGCGATATGGGAGGCGAAGAGCTACTGGACCCGCTTTGCGAGAGATCAAAGATACGAAGTTTCTTCTCCATTCCGCCAGTTGCGAGAATCTGGGGGTTAGCTTGAATAGGGAAGGCGACGGCACGGACGATATGTCCATGCTGGAGAGTGTGTAAGCACTCCCCCGTGTGGGTGTCCCAAACTTTGCTATGAGGAAGATTAGAGCGAGTTCCTAGCCAAAGGGCAGAAAATGATGCGAAACCAGGTAAAACGCACGCAGAGAAATCAGCCGCTGCAGTTGCTGCTATTGTAGCGTCTGATGAAAGGCGAGCCTGCCACACTGCGCCCTTGTGGCCCATGAAAGTACCAATCCTGTTTGCCCCATCAGTAATTTTAAGCTAGACTCCGCAGTCCGAAATTAGACTGACCAGTCCCCAGTGACTCCGTCGCGGAGCATCGGATTATTATCTGGAAAAGAGAGCTCAGTTTAACCGGTTTTTTATATTTCCTGAAATTTGAATGAAAACAGAATATAGTGTATAAAAAAATAAAAATAAAAATAAAAAAATACCAAATACCTTTACATGCTGAAATCAGGTAGTATTGATCGTCCTCCACCAGCGAAGAAAAACTTAGGTGCGTCACAGGGCGAGAATGTCCATGGCAAGTCAAGGGGACAACCTTAGAAGATTCTATAGGTCATTTGCACCATTAGATCCTGATACTAGTAGTTGCTGAGTTCCTTTGAAAACCCAAGGAGAGGTGATCTTTTTTTCTGTTTTACTTTTTTTTTTTCAAGGTTGAAATTGAATTGCGACAAGAGAAACCCGGACACGGAGATATGCTTACCAGAAGCCATTTATATAGCCGGCAAAATAAGGAGGTTGTAGAGCAAAAATAATAGTGAGAAGGGAAATAGGTTACAGTATAAGTGAAAAAAGGGGACCAGATTTAGAATTCTGCAGGGGGTAAGCTAGAGAATGCTCTGTATCTGAAACTGTCTTGGGAAAAGAGAAAAAGATGGAGTGACGTCTTGCGACAGATAAAAAACTATATCGCTGAGATTTCCTTTTTATGACAAACTGAGGGAAGAAAAATCATCAGATTCGTTACGGCGTTCCAGTCGTAAAAATGGCGGTGGTAATAAGGCGGAGAAAACTAGAAGAAAGGAGGGGAGTGGTGGAGTGCGGGAGTGCGGGAAGAGAAAGACGTTAAAAGAAAGGGAAAAAGAAGAAGGGTAAGAAGAGTAAGAACTGGTAAAGAAAGGATAAAGGGGGGAGGGGAGTGTATCTGGGTCTACTGAATCCGAGCTGGTGTTGTTTTACACCGATGGAGCAAGTGAAGTTTTTGTAGTCCTGCGACAAACAAGCATTTTGCAGGATCTGATATTAAGTTCTAACTAATCAACCACTGCAGTCGGCCACTCTCAACCAACGCCTGGCTGCCCGGTCACCCGGGGGCCAGCCTGGGAGCCACCGGGACCACATAAGGGCCACCTGGGCCACGGGCGGGCATCGCAGCTTGGCCGCGTTTGGGTCTAGCGGGATACGCTAGGGCCAGAAGCAGTAAGGCGCCATGTCTCGTGACTTCAACACCACAACCCTTGGCGCAGATTCGCCTCATAAAAGTCATCAATAGGCATGATGATTAATTATTTATGGGTGCTACTCTGTAATATATATATATATATATATATATATATTGTATCAAACATCACACATGCACAAAGGAAGCACGGTGGGAGAGGGCTGGCCAGAGAGAGGGGGTGTGTCCTGACCTCTATTTCCCCGTTGGAATTACTGAGGCTCGATCTCATGCCCTCAAATCAGGGTTCTTCTGCTGGAACGAAGAGTCCCTTATTTCACTATTCGTATTGCACCTCGATGAATAATCCCGGGTCTTTGGCTGCTGGGACTGTAAATGTACATACATTATTACAGGAATCGACGTCGGTCCTGCAGGCGCGGTACATCCATTGACCTCTCCAGTTTTCGTCGGATTCTGGTTGTTTACATATCACCTTAGTTAATGCATGGACTGGCCTCTTAATGTTAATGAGGCACGAACTGACGGGTTTCTAGACTCCCAGCCACTTCATTTACACTTTTATCATTATATACCTACTACATTTGTGTATTATATATATAGTATAATCATTCACATCGATAATCCGTATATAAATGTATTCTTATTCTGATTCTGATATAACCTTAAAGCCTAGAGTTAATCATCACTTTTACTAAAACAAAGAGAGTTAGACAACTAATTAATATAATTCATAAATAAGATAAATATTCAGTTAAATCAAATTGTAAATTTTTAAATAAAATATTTCTTAGATTGTAATCTGAATTATATATATTTAATAATAATTAAATATATTTTATTATTTAAATATATTATAAAAAAATTTATCAAGTATAAATTTTAAAATAAAATAATTATATTTTAATAATTAAATAAATATTTTAGTAATTAACTATATATATTTTAAATAAATAATTTCTAAAATTATTACTTTTATTTATTTTTAAATAAGTAAATTATTAAAAAATATTATTAATAATTATAAAATTATTTTAAAATTTTAAAATTTTAAAGTTACTATTTATATTATAAAATAAATATATAAAAATTTTAAATTTTAAATTATTAATTTTAAATATATTTATTATATAATTATATTATATAATTAAAAATTATAAAAAATAATAATTTTATAAATTATTTATATAAAATATATGTAATTAATTACTAAAATATTTATTTAATTATTAAAATATTTAATTATAAAGTTTTATTTTTAAATAATATATTATTTATATAAATTATAATAAAAAATTAAAAATTAAAAATTAAATAAAAATAAAAATTAATAAATAATAAAAAATATATAAAAATAATAATTAAACTTTAATATTTATTAATAATATAATTTTTTAAATTTAAATTATATTTTTTATAAAATTAATTAAATTTAATATTTAAAAAGTATATTTAAATAATTAATAAAAATATTAATTTTTAACTTTAATTTTATTTTATATTTTAATATATTAATTATTTTAAAAGTTTAATTTATTTATATAATTTTAATTTTTTTTATTAATTTTTAATTTTTATATTTAAACTTAAATAAATTAATTTTTAATTATTATATATTTTATAAAGTTAAAAAAATAATTTTAAAATTTTAAAATAATTAATAATAAAATTAATATTTTATTAATATTTTTTAAAACTTTATTTTAAATTAAATTATTTAATATTTTAAATAAATAAATAATTTTATTATTATATTAATTAATTTTTTAATTTTTTTTAATTTTTTAATAATTTTTTTAAAATATTATAAAATAAAATATAATTTAAATAAAAATAATTATAAATTATAATATAATTATAAATATTTTTATAAAAACTTATATTAATTATTTAATATATTATTAAATATATTAAAAAAATTATTAACTTTTATTTAATTTTATTTTGAAAATATATAATTAATCTTCAATTTCATATAAAGTTTCTTCACTCATTAAGGCATTATTATCACTTATATTATCTAATAAATTGTGTTTAATATGTTAGAGAATTTCTCAGCCACTTGAGATCATATGCATCTATGTATTTATTAGTAGCTAGCTAGCTTGCTTAGAGTCACATAATGTAACAAGGTTGATAATAGTCCTCTAAGATAATAAGATATCAAATTTGTCATTTGATATTGATTTATTTTCTTTGTGATTCAATATAGTTGTTGGTAAGAATCTGTGTCATAAGTATAGAACCTTGTCAAGAGAGCCTTCTGTTGGAGCCTAGGCTTTCTATTATGGACTAGCGCACTGCACAATAGTATATAGCATCTCTGAGATAGACTATCAATACAACCACTTCAGACATTCAACAGATTATGGCTCAGATAGCTTGTTTTTCTTTTTAAAGACTTTTTTACACTACTTCTGCACTTTATTTCTTCTTCCTCTTCTTTAATCTGAGGTATAAAATATTTTGCAGAGACTGCATCACTGAATTGCAGCAAAAATCTGATGAAAAATAACTGTTTTAAAAGCTTTGATCACAGAAAACAGATTGAATCAAAAAAAGATAAACAAATGTCTTCAAGAATATAAACTGCAGAATTATTGAATACTTCTGAAAGCAACAACATGAATAGAGATGAACATGAATATGATATATCTACTTCTAAACCTAGAGAAGAAACTGATTAAAAAAATAAAATAAATATAAAAATGAAAGTAATATGAATATGATGTGAATAATGATGAAATACATGAAAAGACAGAACAGACAGATAGAAAAACTTATATAAAAACTAGAAGAAAATTTAAATTTTTTGTTAAATATTACTAAAAATTTTATCAAAAATAAAGTTAATAAATTTCACAAAAATACAAAGATTAAATTGAAAGAATAATATGCAGTCATTCTCACTGAAGTCAATTATTTAAAATGAAAGAACTCTATTTAAGCAGATGCTCATTTAATTCAGATAAAAAATATTCTCAACAAATAACAAACAGCATTTTTTATCACAGTTTCTTTGAAAATTGAGTTCTGAAATAAGAAAAATAAACTTCTTTATACAAGAATCTTTCAATCTTTAAATGTAATTATATATGATTCTCTAGAATCACTGAATGAAGATTTCTATCTAATAGTAATTATATAAAAGAATTTTACTCAGTGCTACACTATATATTATACAGAAGAACATCTTCAAATCATTAAGAAATTAATAGACTTACAGCTTAAAAATAATAATTTTCACATTAATTTTACAATTTTTCAAGATCTAAAGACAAAACTTGTATCTCTAGATGAAAATTGAGCTGAAAGTATCTATAATAATTTATTTATACTAGAACTAAGAGATTGATAATAGAACTTTGTTAAAATAAAGTTGAATAATTTCTATATCATTAAACAGAGCTCTATTCAGAATCTAAATCTTTATGAATTGATGAATCAATTGACTACTCATACCACTATCATTATAACTCATCTCAATTCATCTACTATGAATATCATTACTAAATGATTTGATAGATGTCAATGTTACTATTATGAGATTATAGAGTATATAATCAAATATTACTAATTCAAGAACTCAAATCTCACAAGCATTGAATGACAAAAGCATAATAAGAATCACATTAAGATATTGAAAAATAGAAATAGAAATAAGACTAAAAATAGAAATAAGAGTAAAGATAGAAATATAGAGTATCTACTTGCAAGTCAGTCAAGTTAAACAATCTTTACAATAATTTCTTCAAATATTGAAGAACTTTTGAGAAGTCAACCAGGTTATGAGTGAAATAAGAAAAGGATTTGATGAATACAGCAATTGGAGGACAAGATAGATTGACTGAGAAGATGAATATGAATGATTTGAGCAGGACAGTAGCTAGTCCAAGGAGGTGTTGGAGCCTAGGCTTCCTATTATGGACTAGCGCACCGCACAATAGTATATAGCATCCCTGAGATAGGCTACCAATACAACCACTTCAGAACGTCCAACAACTCCTTGGCACGCTGCCGTGACAATTCCCACTTCTTACCTATAGATAGATCATCACTGGAGAAGGCCACGAGAATCACACTGCCAATGACGCCTAGAAGGCTCCTCTACCCCCGCCTATCAGGTAGAGCGGCATCTCATCACATTCCATGAAGAGGGGGGGCCTGATAGAAACTTTAAGTTACTGGAATACGCATACAAATTCTCTATACAACCACTTGTACCCCTGATTCCTTAACTAGCCAGCCCACCCATTCGGCTTCCCTTATAACCACCCTACGTGACGTTGCTGTTGACATTCCGTCTCGGTGCCGCCTCGTTATAATCTGCTATCTTGTATCTAACTCTCAGCTGTTTGCTCTTAAATAGGAAGTATTCCTTCCATAGGTCAGGTGTTCTACCTGAACTGAGATTTACCTTAGATTCAATACATCACAAAAACCGCTATGCATGTGTAAGCAATACATGAAGGTGCTGTTAGCAATGTTATTGGCAGCATTTTCCAAACAGAGGGCTTCATGACCTCATGTAGGATTACGATGTTGTTATGACATGAACTAGGGCTAGCCGAAATCTAAACTATGTATAAGAGACACGTGATTAGTGTAGACGCAGTTATCGTTGCATGGCTGAGTAAGCATTATAAACTGCGGGTCACCGCTTTGGTGTGTGTTGTCGGACAAACTGTACTTTCATCCTTTCAATAATTCCAACTACAATTACGACCTGCCGCGGAAGAAGCTGGAAGATCTGCGATCGAGAAAGTTCCTCAAATTCAATACCAGTTGCTCCAGGAACTTTGACATACAGTCTGGATGCCAGATTTCAAAATCTCGGCCGCTTTAGAGGGCCACACCGATGATGTAAATGTTCACCAAGTAAATGGAATATAGTTACCAATTCCATTGAATCACCCCAATGCCTACGAAGAAGATTTTCAGAGACTAATATTGTGTGTACAGGTTCGCGCTGTGGCTTTTCCGAACTCCAGAGCTGTATTGTCTGCTTCCCGAGATGCGACAGTTCGTGTTTGGAAGCTCACCTCTACTACTTCGACTCCAGTCTATGACTATACAATATCCTCCCACGGCTCCGCTTTCATAAACTCCCTGGCTTATTATCCTCCAACCTCAGATTACCCTGAAGGCCTGATATTTTCTGGTGGCCAAGATACCATTATCGAGGCCCGTCAGCCTGGGAAACCGGCCGATGCAAATGCAGATGCAATGCTTCTTGGTCACACACAAAACGTATGCTCGATAGACGTCTGTCCTGAAGGCCAGTGGGTGGTGAGTGGAAGCTGGGATGCCTCAGCAAAGCTCTGGCGAATTGGGAAGTGGGAATGCGAAGTCACTCTCCAAGGCCACCAAGGTAGCGTCTGGGCAGTGTTGTTTTACGACAAATCTACAATAGTAACAGGTAAGGGATTCCAGGAGAGTTGTAATTTTTGAAGTATTTGATGGATAAGCGCTGACTATTCCTCAGGATGTGCTGACCAAATGATCCGCATTTATAACCTAACTGGAAAACTATTGCGAAGCTTTAAAGCTGGTGATGTCGTCCGTGCTCTCTGCAAACTTCCTCCAAACCATCCGTCAGGTGGGCAGATAGCGTCTGCGAGTAATGATGGCGTAATACGATTCTGGACGCTTGAAGGTCGACAAGTTTCGGAACTCTGTGGTCATGAAAGTTTCATCTATTCATTAGCCACCCTACCTACGGGAGAAATAGTTAGCTCCGGTGAGGATCGGACCGTGAGAATATGGAGTGGTGATCGCTGCATACAAACCATTACGCATCCCGCGATATCTGTCTGGAGCGTTGCAGCATGTCAGGAAAATGGTGATATTGTTAGCGGGGCAAGTGATGGGATAGCTCGAATTTTCAGCAGAGTTAAGGAGCGCCAGGCTGATGAAGCAGTGGCTGCGAAATTTGAAAATTCCGTAAGGGAATCGTCTATCCCGCAGCAACAGGTTGGATCTATCAACAAAGAGAAACTTCCTGGTCCAGATTTCTTGAAGCAGAAACTTGGGACCAAGGAAGGTCAAGTTCAAATGATTCGTCAAGAAGATGGAAATGTTACCGCCCATTTTTGGTCAACTGCCACGAGCGAATGGATATCCGTTGGTACTGTGGTTGATTCGGCGGCAAGTAGCGGTAAAACAGTGGAACATCTTGGGCAAGACTATGATTATGTTTTCGATGTCGACATTGAAGATGGGAAACCGCCCCTGAAACTTCCGTATAACCTGTCTCAAAATCCATATGAAGCTGCTACAAAATTTATACAAGACAATGAGCTACCCATGGGGTATCTGGACCAAGTTGCTAATTTCATAACCACAAATACACAGGGGGCTTTCAAAGGTCCTGCGGCACAAAGTCAAGGTCCTCCGCCTCCTGGCACTGATCCATGGGGCGAAGAAAAGAGATATCGACCAGGGGATGGACCTTCCAATAACTCCCCATCTTTTCCAACATCTCGTCCAAAGGTTCTACCCCAAACTTCATATCTATCTATCAAAACCGCAAACATCAAGACAATAAAAAAAAAAGTCCAAGAACTGAACTCCCAACTCGTCAGTGCTGGATCGAAGGACATTTCGCTAAGCCCATCTGAATTAGACACAGTCATGGCTCTTTGTGATGAGTTAGATCAGACATCGCCGTTAAAGGAATCACCGCAGGTCGAATTTGGACTTCCACTAGTTGCCAAAATAGCAACCGCATGGCCCGCTGCTAATCGTCTTCCTGGTCTTGATCTGCTTCGTCTACTCGCTGCTGCAACCCCCGTAACAGCATCCACGGACTATGGTAGTGATAACTTGATTTCCATACTCATAAAAAGTGGTGTATTCGAGTCCCCGCTGAACCTGAATAATGCCATGTTAACAGTGCGGACTTTTGCGAATTTATTCAACACTGAGTCTGGGCGAAATCTGGCAATTAGCAACCTCAGCGACATAATGGTGAAGGTTGCGTCTGTAGCGGCGAGTGGTGGGGGGACGCCAAATTGCAACTTAACCATCGCCATCGCTACCCTATTCATTAACTTTTCCGTCTTTATAACAGTCGACGGAAGAGCTTCAAGTCCCGAATCCTCAGAAAAGGCTCTCTCGCTGCTCGATGAATCGACTAAACTTCTGTCGAGGGAGAAGAATTCTGAAGCTATATACCGCACTCTTGTTGCGATAGGTACTTTGGTTACCGGCCTGGGCGAAGAAGTGAAAACTGCCGCGAGGGATATATACGATATAAATAAATTGCTATCGAAAGTATCCAGTGCGGGAATTGGAAGGGAACCGAGAGTTAAGAGCGTTATTGATGAGATTAGAAGTGCGCTTGGATAAACGAAAGAAGCATAAATGCTGTTCCCTTTTCAGATCTTATCGTCATATTAGACAAGCGTGCATTGTATCTTTCTGTGTTTTGTTTTATGAGGAACACTGCCATACCACACTGATGTTCCTGTTGCTAGAAACGGGTATTAAAAGAGATACGATATCTTTCCAACTTTACTTCAATTAGTATGCAACCTCTCTGGTGTATGCTCTACATGTCTGTTCCCTATCCGACTTTAAAGATGTGATAGCAACACTCCTGCCCAAGTAAGACTAGAAGCCCAAGCCTCTTCACAACCTACCAGTCCCGTTTACATCCATCTCCACAATCTGATCTATCCCAGGATACTCCGGAATATCCAAACCGTATTTCTCCACAATACCCTTCGTCAAAAACCTCCCGCCCAAAAAATGTCTCCCAGTAAACCATTTAACCAACGGCTTCGCAGCTGTCAAGCTGATCAGCGTCTGCGGCATAAATTTTGCACCGGGACCTTCCTTTGGCGGGCCAGTCTCTATTTCCCATGAACTAGGGGCGTCTACACTCAGCACGGGTACTTTGGTTTCCTCTAGAAGGGATATTACGCTGGGAAATGGATCGCGAAGAGGCCCGGAGAAAGAGAAGCCGAAGATTGCGTCGATTACGAAATCGCTGTTTTGAAGGGTTCCTGGGAAGTCGGCTGTAAAGGGGACGGAGAGGTTGTGGAGTTGGGTTTTTAGGCGCTGTTTGTCTATCCTGTTAGATATCTGGGGACTTGAGGGTGGATAATACGATAGACTGTTTTATCGTGCGTTGTGTCGCTTGAACTCGAGGGACAGAAGTCACAAGTAATACAAACCTCATATAACTCGTTTTTCCCTTGTTTCGGGTAGTATATTGTTGGTTTATACCCGTAGTGAGCAAGATGACGAGCGGCGACGAGCCCGTCACCACCTGCACGAGTTACCTTGCTTGTTAGTTTAACAGTGTTGGAAGGAGAATGAAGGAACTATCCGCAACCAGCTGAATCCACATCCGTACCATTATTTCCAGGACCGCATGCTACGAGAACATTTCGTCCTTTAGACGGGGGATGAACTCGATAAACTTCGCCAAATAGCACAGGCAGTTAGCCCCCCAAACGCACGATTAAAAAGAGAGCGGTAGCAGCTGGGTAGCTGTAGAATAATACCAGCTTGCGAAACAGAAAGTCCCGCAAGTTCCATTAGCTGGTCGAGAGAGAATCCCCCGTCTTCCATGAGGTCCTTGTCAAGAGAGGCTGCATCTTTAGCGCTGATGGTCTGATTGACTATATTAGATTAATTTCTCTGCAAATTGGAATGGAAAGAACAGAGACGAACTTTGAGCGCCATAGTTGTAAGTTTCCGATATTGACGAAGATGGGTCAATAAGGCATTTGCTTGTCGCTGGACGCCGTACATGTATAAACAGTACCCCGGCTTGTGCAGAAAGAGTTCAAGCACTATTGTTGCAGGATTAAATCAGAAATCCTAGAATAAAGCCAATTACGCATGTTTTGCTTGCAATGGGAATGGATGTTTGCCTCCGGAGGTGTAGTTTCGGATGACGTCGTTGAGCGGAACATTCTTGCTGACTGTAATTAGTTGAGGTAAGCGAGCATGGTCTAACGTAATCAATAAGCGAGTCGGCCACATAAGCAAGTCGGCCACTTCTCACCCCACAGTACGATGAGAATGCATCTATGCCTCAATCATAAAGAAAAAGAGAAAGAATTATATTATCAATTATTTTCTATATGCCTAGAGCATGTACGAGCATTATGCCCAGTAATCCCACATACACTACACTGGTGCTGCCCGTTTTTGTGGTCGGGACTCAGCAGCCTTAATCACCCCTCTTTTCCATTCATTGATGCTTTGTACGCGATCCAAGCCTTCTTCAACCCCTAAAGCACCCTCTTGAGCTACATATGTATGGCCTCTTTCCCACTTCTTCTTTTGTTTGGCATTTGCAGCTTTTAACTCTCTGTTTTCAGCTGCTAGAAATAGCAGCACTGTGCATTGCCATTTGACACTCCTTGACCAGCTGACTCAGGGCTCGATTGCTTGGACTGGGTGGACTCTGTGTACAGCACTTGATATATTTTTTGACCTTCTCAGTCTGCTGCTCCAATTGACGTACATTATGTGGTGTGGCGGTGGCCCAGGAGGCCTGGGAGCTGTGGGAGGTCCCAGGGGGGGTGGGGGTATGCATTGTTGTATTAAGGCGTGAGAGAACCTGCTCAGGGTCATACGGAACCAATCCAGCTGCCCTGAAGCCACTCTTGATGTTGTTCTCAGTCAGGGCCTGCATCTGAGCTGCAGGATATAGGGCCAGAAACTCCTCCTTGTCAATATGATTGATCCCAAGCCGCATCTGATTCTCCACCTGTCATCCATATGCTGTTTTCAGAGGGGAGAAGCAGCCAACATCCAATGGCTGGAGAAGATGAGAGGAATGAGGTGGCATATAGAGAGCAATGATCTGATTCTCAGAGCAGAGTTGATCAAATTCAGCAGAGGCATGGCTTCTATGCCAGTCCAGAATCAACAGTCGGTGTGTACCCTTCATACAGGGTAGGGTCTCCTTGTTGAACACCTCTTTCAGCCAGTACAAGCCCAGCTGGTCATTTGTCCAGCCATTCTCACTGACTCCAATCACCCAATCCCTGGGCAGTCCCTCAGTCTCATACCAACAGGACTGATGCATCTTTCCCTTGAGAATAATCATTGTACGCAGAGCCCAGCCAGAGACATTGACTCCAGCAATGACAGTCACCCATTCCCGATCTCCAGGCTGTACAAGCTTGGGATTCCTGGCTCTTTCAGACCCAGTAACCACTCTGGCAGTCCCAATAACCCTCATCTGAAATCCAGTCTCATCAAAGTTGTAGATATCATCTTCCAGAATCCCATACTTTGCAATGATGTTTTGTACAAGCCTAAACCACCCATGGATAATCTCAGGATCCTCACATAGTGCACATTGATGGTCATACTTGCGGGAGAACTTGGATTTCAGCTCTTCATGGCATTTGACAAAGTTTCATACCCAGCATTTCACCCACTGTGGGTGGGGGGTTGAACCCCTGACTGGTAAGAAGGAGATTGGCCATTTCTCATACAGCTGCAACCTGGGGTGGCAGACCTCACTCATCCATGGCCAGAATCCATTGAACAAGAGATTCTTCCTCTGTAAGACTAAGTTTCTAGTTCTTTGGGGGAGTGTTAATGCGTGCTGTATGACCATGTACCCAATCACCTAAGATGGAATGTGGAACATCATACAGCTTTGCTGCAGCTCATACACTTGAAATTTGACCATTTTTAAATGCTTGAATGGCTAAAAGAAGCCTTCCTTCCTGAGTAAAGGCTTTATTTCTTTGCATGGTTGGCATTTTTGATGATAAAGATGTTGTTCTGAGATGAGATGAAAAGTGGCTGACTTGCTTATGTGGCCGACTCGCTTATTGATTACGTTATGTCCGCCTGTATTGGCACACATTTAAAGTGTGCTGCGGGTGCTTTTTAAGTAAAAACTGATTTGAATTCTTCACTTGTTGAACAGATTGAGTCCTAGCTAATCCTTTCTCTGCTCTCAGGATATATCCTTCTGCGCTATATAAGCCTGTTCTCATTCTTATTTGTGTTTTTGCTTCTCATTTGCAGCTTATAGGATTTTGTTTTCTTGTGTCGAAATAGCAGATAGCTTGCTTATACTTTTAAATTAAATTAATTAATTTAAAGCTTAATTGATTAAAGTAAAAGCCTTTACATACAATGCTTAATATTTTACTTGATTTTGTTGAACTAATATTTTAAAATTATAAAAATTTTAAACTTATAAAATATTTATTAAAAAGACTAAAATAATTATAAAAAAATTATATTTTTAATATTAAATTTTATATTAATTAAATTATTAATAAAATAAATTTTTAATATAATAATATAATTTATATTTAATATTAATTTAATATATATTATTAAATTAATTATATTATATTATAAACTATTATATATTTTATAATAATAAAAATTTTATATTTTTTTATTCTTATTTATTTATATTTTATATTATATTATTAATTTTTATCTATTTTAATTATTTAAAAATTTTAATTAATATATATAATATAATATAATATAAAAATAGTTTAAAAATTAAAAAATTATATACTATTTTTAAAAAAAAATAAAAAATAAATTTAATAATTATAATAGATAATATAATTATTTTTATATATTTAATATAAAGTATTTAATAAATAAAAATATTTATTCTCTCTAAGTCTTAAGTTTTCAATTCTTTGAAGTTTTAATATATGCTAACTATATAATTATAAATATAATAAGGAAGAGTAAAATAAAAAAATATTATATAACTTTGCTGAAGCTCATTTATTTGAAATCTTATCTTTATCAAATGCTTGAATTGCTAAAAGACTTCCATCTTGAAAGAAACCTTGATGACTTTTCATTGTTAATATTTTTAATTGCTTAAGTCAAGAGAACGCGTAGATGCTTAAGAAGTGGCTTGCTTGCCTGTGGCTCACGCTTAGTTATAGATTAAACGTTAGATAGTTATTTGAACCGCAAACTATATATCTCACATTTCTGCATCCTATACAGTGCTGTATACCCTAGTGCCTTTGTGCTGGGTAGGGAGATAGTCTATCTTCGATATATTCACTTCGGAAATGTCAAAAATGAGATGATGGCGCATAGATCATGAATTCATTCCCATCGATATTCCGACCACAGTTATATATCACGTGACTAAATACTAGTCATGTGACAGCTTGTTTTCCCCGTCGAAATATTCAGAACCTCGACCAACAAGTTTTGTGGATAGCATCCATAGGCACTTAGTGCTGGATTGCGCTTCCAATTGATTACCAGAGTTTTTTTTATTGCAGATTATTACACCTAACAATGGTTGTAAAGATTCGTCTTTCTCGGTTCGGGAACCGCCACCAGCCTTTTTACAACATTGTCGTGGCACAAGCGAGGTACGTCTACTCAGGAGCTTCAAGATATGCAAGCTTACAACCTCTCTTTCCATTTCAATTTCACTCAATTTTTACTCTCTATGAAGAGGAGATGGAGACGGGAAATGATATGTCTCAAACTGGGATATTAAGCCACTTTGCTGACTGGCTTTTCCTTTCTGCCATATACAGGTCAGCCCGCGATTCTAAACCTCTCGAAGTCATTGGAACCTACTGCCCCATACCGAAAATACCAACTGGCCTCTCCGATGAAGAAGCCAAAGTGGCTAAGCCTTTTAAAGATATAATCCTTGACAGGTCGCGGACGAAATACTGGCTAGGTGTTGGTGCGCAACCGAGTAAACCTGTCTGGAGGTTGCTAAGTTTGGTAGGTTTCTTCTTGCTTTTCAGTGGAGGTTGCTATTATCAGTGTTTTGCAGAATCATTTCCTTATCCATTTTTCAAATGCCGTGCGTTAGGATGGGAAATATGCCGTAGATATGGCGAATTTGTCGGCCTTGGAGTTCGGGATGACACTTTTCAATTACGGGTTAAAATCAAAATTCTAACTCATTATTTCGTATAGATCGGGCTGGTAGAGCCTAAACTCGGAAAGGTGTGAAGAGAAAAAGGCTTCAGAGAAAGCTACACAATGACATGAACTACTCTATAATTGTCGCAGTACTTGAAACAAGATAGCCGTCTCTTTGGGCTGCGAACACCATTTACTTGGTATGCTTTAAAAGCGCAATTTGGCAATATTTTCGGCGTCAGGATTCTAATTTCCTTGGTTTCATACGGTTGCCGCGTCTTTATTATCCTGTATATACATATGTATGAATAGATGAGCGTGTTTGGATCCCATTGTCAGATGGCCATTTGGACCTAGTAACATAATATCCGGGATACAGATCTTTTATCCTACATGTGAAATACATTGCAGCAACTGAAAGAAAATCATGGTTCCTTATTTAAATAGGGGTATTATTAAATATATAAGTAAATGTATGTACGAGTAGAAGTTTATCGCTTCATGTGGCTCAAAGGCAGATCTATAAAACATCAGGAAGCAAGGAGGGTAAAAATAGTAAATACAAAGAAGAATTCAAAGGATGGCAAGAGGAGCTTAGTGTTAGTATCTTATAAAATGTCAATGACTCTAAAGGAATTTGTTTCCTCGAGAAGAGTGAATCGTAGACTGCCTAGGGGTCAAGAACGTGATATACTCAAATAGCAAGGAAAGTGAAAACGCGGTGCGACAGGGATGTGAAGGTCAGGAAGTGATTGAGAAAAGTGGGGTATGGTTGAAACTCCTCAAGGGTTAGTCAGAAGTATTAAGCGTTTGTCGTTCCTTGGTGGGACCCATCTGAATGACCTTCGGCACGTCTAACAAGAGTGGTATCTCTAAATTTGATTCCTTGTATTATTTGCATTGTAGCCGGAGCTGTGTGCATGGTACGATCTCGCTGGTATGGACATTTCAGTTTAATGGAAGGATATTTAGGATTGCTTCGTTGACCTGTCAAGCCTGATTTATCGCACTAAAACCCAGCGTGTTGATAAGTTGCTTTTTGCAAAGATATGCTGACGAAAAGAGGCACTTACGAGTTGTAGGGGATATATGCATGTGGTTGACCCAGTGAAGTTATCCCAGGGCTAGGCGGTGGCATACGATCCCCCATATTTCCATCCTTGAGCAATGGGGTTTCCATATGCGAAGCCGTTGTATTCTCTAATTTTCCCATACTGACTGGATCAGTTGGCCTGGGAATGGGACCATCGACGGCAACTTTCTTAAATCCAACAGCCTTATTCCATATTTTCGCGGGGGCCTGAGGATCAACTTGGTTGGGATAAACAAAAGCGGCCATAATGCGACCCGCAGAGGTGTTGAAGATATGCTTTCGCATCCTGGATGGCCTTGCACGACCAAATAAGCACAAAAGACAAGTCGTCGATCCTATCATCAGAGTGAAAAGAACGGCAATGAAGGCTGGTATAGCGAATCTCAAATTGTACTTAATCCGGCTTTGGAAAACGAACACCGGAACTTCACGCAAATCTCCTTTTGCCGGCTGAGGGGAGGCATTGTCATCACTCGCTCGTTTCGCTAGAGTTTGACGTGAAATCCAGCCTTTGGTTCCCACGACAGCATTAGCAGTAACGTCAGTCCACACAAGATTGATAATCTTTGCTGTTGTGCCTGCTTTCTCTGACCATCCCTGCCATTTTGAATACATGGCAATATTAGTTTCTCCAGAATAGTCGCTCACCCCGCTTGGAGGTGATGAGCTTATATCGTACGCCGTTTGAAACCCACCAGTATGGAAGTACATCCCTGGTAAATTAGAATAGCCTACTGGCGAAGTACCGAAACGGCCTGTGAATCCAGGTAGCCATAACCACTCTTTTCGAAGGACAGATATATCCTTTTTCCCCTTATATTCGTCAGACACTAAACCCCACAGAGGCAAAACATCGTTCAAACTCTTTTCGGTATGCTCAACACCCCAGAGCGGTTTTTCCTCGTCGCGGGTGTAGGTTTTGTCCCGGATATCGCGAATTGAAAGACTTTTCAGTCCATCAGTACCATTGAACCGGAAGTCAACAGTTTTAATTAGCGCACGGCTTGCTGAAGCACAGCTATATAAAGGTACAGTCCAAGCTGTCCCTGGTTCGAAAACAAGTGAACGAGATCCATCACCGCGTCGGGCGGCTCCAAAGACCATCCCACATGCAACGCCAATATTCGTAATGTTTGCATAGTCAGAATTACCAGCACCTTGGCAAATAGTTGCTTTTGAATGGTCAGATTTATTACCATGCATTAAGAAGAGTTATGATGACTTACATATGGTGGTGAAATTGTCTGTCGTCAGATCGAATGGATTTGCGTAATCATCACCCGAGCCCGTACGGTTGTAAGTTGAGTTAGAGAGGCGAGAACGAAGATTCAGGAATTTACCCCATGTTTGAGTCGTTAGGAGTTTGTCGTAATCTATCACCAGATTACCGTCCATAGGGAATGTTTTGCCCATTTCCGATTTGAGGTAGGAGTAGGGTTTAAGATCTTCGGTCCTCGGATTGGTAACGTTGAGATAGACCATTGTCAACACATTGTTGAGAAACGCAGCTTTGTATGCTCTCCCGAAAAGATCGGGGTTTGCCTGGGTATCATTTCGGTCGTATTGAGGGTAAGTGGTGTTGAGATTGACGAATCCGCCACGATCAGTTAGGACTAGGTCCTCGAGTGGGCTGCCCGGACTAAGACTAATCTTGAAGTCCATGGTTATATTGGTATCGACGCACTCTGTATAAGGTTCAACAAAAAGCAAATCCTCGGACCATTCACTACCATGAGGAAGGGGAGAGGGTGTGGTGTGGTTACGGAATCCAATACCACCCTCTTTTGCATCAACAACTAGACCTTCCACAATATTATACGCGTCACTCAGCGCTAGAATTCCCGCTTGACGGTAGGCCCCCACCAAATATTTCGAACCGTTGTTGACCTTCTCGTCAAATTGGATTCCATACGACCTCCACTCAATATCAAAAATACTGGACACTGTAGGTGGTAATGATTTTAGCCCACTTTGAAATGTTTCCATCACGCGGGGCGGGATTCGGGCGTCGTATCCATTTGGGAGGCGTTGTGTCCCGTTTTTGTTGGGTTCAACCACGACATCTGAACCAGGACAAGCGATATATCCCCTGGCCCCACAGAACCGATTAAATCCAAGGGCGCTCCTAGGGGGTGTTCCAAAACCAAATGGAGAGGTGTCTTGGCTGTACTGAAACGGTTGAAGAGTTGTGGACTCCGCGGGGACAATAGTATCATAAAGACCCAGAGGGGTGACAATCGCCGCAATGGCAACAATACCAAGTGTCAAAGGTCTTATTAGAGCTTCAAGCTGAACAATTCTGCTGATAGGACCACTGGTTGCAGACTCAGCACCGACAAAGATTGGCCAATATGTCGAGTGTAAGGCACGACCAACTTGGGTCCTATTGCAATAGGTGAGCAATGGTCGTGAAATAAGTCAAGTGACAGAGGGCTTACCATGTTGCTGCTGTATTTTCATCTCTGAGGAGGGCAGTTAAGATGAGAGAAGTTGCTGTTGGAATAAAATGCTGGACTATATACAGTTCAGTTTGCAGAACTTCAAGAAGAATAGAAAAACTCATGTCGAACTTCAAAAACTTGAAATTAGTCAAAACTACCTACGCAGAAAAATTCCAGCTGCTATGATACCAGACACATAACCGATCGTCAGCGCAACCATTTTGCTGAGGGTTGTGGAGATCAGAGAGAATTAGGGGATCAAATGGAGAGATCAGCATCCAGACGGAGTTGACCACAATGTGCAAATAAAAAAGAAGGACTGAGTGAGCGGATAGTGAACCATTTATGAGCAGAAGAGGGCTGTACAACTTAAAATACCAATGCTCGCATCCCCACCACCCACACACCAAAGGGGAAAGAAATATTGAAGATACATGCCGCGTCCGCGCTGGCAAGATTTGCAGGTTGCCCAGGACTCCTCTCTCTCTCTTGAGGTTCAAAACGCATCTTATGAGTGAGCCCCTGAAATCGGCCCTTGGCACGGTTTGACGAGCCAACGATGATAGCGCATTCCTGCTAGCTCAACAGTAGTCAGGCGCGAAGATCCATGGATGAGAAAACAGTTAGTTCTAGTTGCTTTTCTCATTTACCTAGTCCGTCAAGCGAAATCCAGGATGCTGAAGACGCTTCTCGTATTGAAGAAAGAGTCTTTTTTTGACGAATAATAATGGTGATGATGGGAAAATCCATTTCATCCTATTGCTTCAGATTCAATCAAAAAAGAAAGAGAATCCCCCGTGAGGTTTTAGCAGTTCATAGATAGCAATTATGCGACTGAACTTTCCGCATGTTAAATTTCAAACAAGATTTAGGAACCTAAAGGTATTTTGACCATCGTAGTATTGTTAGGGGAATCTCCGTTTGGCAGTTGAATGCTGAGTAACTCTGAGAGAGTTAATAGTAATTACTCGTGTTGATAAACGCGCTAAAGGGAGAAAACCAAGATTAAAACGAAGCAAAATTGAAGGCTATTTCAGGCTGCTATGGCGGGAATGAAGCCAATGTCAATTGTTGATTGGTCAGTCCATCTCGTCTGCAATTTTGACAGCCTGTGAGTAACCACGGAAAGCTGTTCGCTTTATAACCTAGGAGGGATGCGTCTTTCAGCTGGAGCCTGGGGGGTGCCCTCCATTTCTTCATTTCAATCGTCAATGTCGGCTAGCATATCCTAAAGACGCTGTCTTCACACATTGCAGGAATCAAGTAAGACTATTGACAATGACAACCTTGCGGGTACGTTTAAAATCCTCTTCAAAAGAGGACCATGCAGCAGCACACCACACCATGTGCTTTATTTTATTTTATTTTATTTTATTTTATTTTTTGAGTTGGATGATCAGCATTGTGGCACCAGAACGAAGGCGGAAGGCGGCTCTGCGAGAGACATTGAAACTTGTTGGACCTCTTCTCCGAATGCGGAATAGTGTGAATTGCAGGCTACAACACCTTAAAAGTTGGGCTCCGCCGAACTGGTCATCATCAATCTTCAGATCGCTTGTCTCGTTGTTCGTTGCATAGTGCAGAGTTGGAGTCGGGATTCCCCTTGCATGATATCGCAAACATAACACAACCTCGAAACATCAACATTATTATTATTATTATTATTATTATTATTATTATTATTATTATTATTATTATTATTATTATTATTATTATTATTATTATTATTATTATTATTATTATTATTATTATTATTATTATTATTATTATTATTTATTACAGATTTTCAACCCTAAACGGAATTAATGCGCACAAGGGACGAAGGGAACACCGTGGTTTAATCGTTCCAAACCGGATGGGTTGAGTTTTTGTTTCATCTGATACTCACCAGTATCTTTCTCTTTAACTCATCACCAACACCCTTGTTTTACAAGAAGCTCCTTCTTGGATTGTAGTGTGAAGGAATGAATGCGTGTATCACTGGGGTTACAGTTGAACGTGGTTTAAAAGTGGGGCCCGCTTTTCTTTAACAAAATACCATGGGTCACCCCATATTACTAATACGTCTCTATTTATCCTCACCGCCCTCAGCGCCACCTGAGAAAAGCGATAAATTCACTACCATCCAAGGGCATAATAAAGATGTGTATAATGACTAGTGTATATGTACGGAGTAGTTTTAATGGGGAAGTGTTCACGGCCAAGATTTTAAGGAAGTTCAGACTGAACGCCCCCCGTATAAGGCAGAAGCCATCTGTGGAAACAGCCGCGCTTAAATAAAACTCAGCTACAATCAATACCTTTGCTCGCCAATCTTGGCATACGTATCTTGATAATGCTTTCGAGTTCCACCCCGCCATCACATCCACATAGTAAGTCAAATGGACGTGCTTGAAGATTGCAGAAAACAAAACTTGCACCTTTCAGCTTTACCCCAGACTTCTTTCACTCTTTGCATAGATCTATATTTTTGGTACAGATGACATTGTGTGGATCCCAGTAAGCTCAATTCAAGCCTTGAGAAATTTAATCAGAAAAGCAAGCCATGAGTCAGACTTCTTTTTCTGATCTATATATGGAGTCAGCATCTTTAAAGTAAACGTTGGCTGATGTCCAAACATTATAGTTAATTTAGATAACTCTTCCTACTTATGAAACAGGTTCAACTTTCGCTTTTTGCCCTCACGATTTAGACACCTCCGTCTCCCAGACTATATTTTCAGTATCTTGTTTAGTTTCATTCTCTTATGAGAGATAGTAAATATATTTTTATGTCAAAATAATACTCAAATTTAGAGTTTTGCTGAGAAAAAAACAGTTTAAGGTGATTTTCAGTCATAGAGTGGGATGAAGAAATGATAGCATTTTAAGCCCTAAAGAAGGGTGAAACCTTTCGTCGTCAGCGATTAGCGGGCGGTTCCGCTCGACCCTACTTCACTCACAAACGTGCTTACAGAATCACATATACGGATATGCCCCAGGCTCCGCTTTTCCATAGCAATCATAAAGACAGGTTAGTCGATAGTCATTCTGCACCGTTTAAACAGTGCGATTGGACAGAGAAGCGTGACAAAAAGGGAAAGGAACAAATGAAAGGAAAAAAGAAAAGGAAAACCAGAACGTCCCACCAATAAATAAAAGCGATGGATTATCTCAATAACTAGAAAACTGCCTGCTTTTTTCTGCTGCCCTTTACACAACACATAACAGCCTGCCGCGGAGAAGGAAGAAAAGAAACTGGACGGACAGTATATAAGGAAGAAGGAAAACGCGTCAAAACTCCCTCCTTTCCATGACTGCCAGACAACTTGAGTTTAAACCCCAGCCCCTTCTCAAGCCGCATGCATAAGCTCTGTATCGAGTATCCACTGAATGGCACCAACGTTCCTTGCTAGGTGAAATTTCTCTGCAGGAAAACACGATCACGAGGGCAACACCAGGATCAGACTGGCCAGTGCTAGCTAGGCCAGACAACCATTGGCTAATCTCCGGTCCAGCAACCCCGGCACATTGGATTCTGGGTTGATATGGTACGCGAGAGATTATCTCCCCCCTGTATCTCTTCATTGGCCAATTGTGGCTGGGATTGTGGATTGATCGGATTCATGCTTCCAACGTCTTGCTTGCTCTGGGCCCTTTAATGACAGCTGATTTGATAACTGGACCTGGCAAATCATACGACGACTTCCATCAAAAGAAAGAACTGATAAAAACTATTTCAAAAAATCGAAAAATCCAATTAATGGCACGGGTCTCTTCCACTCCACAGCAAACAAGGGGAAATAGCAATAAAATATGTCGATGAATGTATGTTCCTTTGGTGAAGACCAGGGCTGTTTGATGGTTCCGTCCATGGGTCATTTTAACCCAACCCCCCCCTCTCCCCGCCCCCGGCCCCAGCCGCGCCCGGGTCCCCACTGCAGATTAAACTAGCGGGGCGTAGGAGGGGGTGACTAAGGTGGGTTTTGCAGCTTTGATCACAAAGTTTCCTTTTTTTCCGTTCTTCCATTTTTTTTCTGTGCCTTTTGACTTTTCCCGAAACTTTTTTGTTGTTTGATTAGACTTTCCCTCTCTTGGCAAAGTTCTTGTAAGGCACCAGAGAGAAGATTTTTTTTTACTTTATTGGGTTTCGGCCCCCGTTTGATATAAAGAGAAGGATTATATGATGGCGAAGTTACCGGTTAGTCCGGTTAGTCTGTGCTTTGCAGCCTATCAACGACATCCTCATCACACAGTGGATGACATTGGGGTAACTATGCCGAATCTCTCGATGAATAGTAATAAATAATGCCAAGTATTGCTGTGAATGCACGGATGGGCTATTAGAAGATTTTATCTGTACCAGGGAACACGGCCATATAACATTTGCCTTTGGGATCAATCCAGTTTGGTGTACACCCCAATATTTACAGCATCGCCAGATCTATGTCTTGGCCAGAACGGTTAAGAGCTGGGATTGTGTCGAAATTAAATATAAAAAGACCGCACCAACGACCGACCTTCAACAGGGTCAGGGGCTGGAAACACGTCTATTCCACTCAAAGGGGTTGTTGTTTAAAATCCAGAGCCGTCTACTCCGTACATCCCGAGAACTCTCGGCTTTCGAATCGCAAAATAGGTCTGTGGAGCTTGCATCACTGAGTGAGGCCTCTTTCCCCTCCCTAATTCGAGAGGTGAATACTCCGTGAATCGAGATTAGTTGGTAGATGGATTGACGTCAAATATGATTATTTTGAAGTTGAACAGGCATGCATATCACAAATCATAGAGTAAATTCTGTGAAAGATCCCCCCCTCTCTTCTCTCCAGACTAAGTCCGAGAAATCCACTCAGAAGAGTACCTACCTTTGCACCTAGTAGATAGTTATGTGCATCTCTTTCTGTACCCGCCAACCGTGGACTGAGGACGAATCCCCGCCCCAGAAAAAAATATGGGTCTGGGAGATTGGACTTGATAAAGGGAAGAAAAGAGACGAAAGCGGGGCCCAATAAAATAGAGGAGGACGCCCTGACGTTGACAGACGGAAAGCAGACTCCACGCCCAAGAGGATAAAAGCGGTCAAGGGTATCTTTATATTTTTCTCTCTTTTTTTCACTGGTCAATCAGATGAAACGGTGAGTTTTGATCGCCGCCGTTGGGCAATACATCATACGTAGAAGTTACATCATACTTCGATTGATCGATCCATAGAACGGTAGTGGAGCTTCCCGTCACATTCCAAAGTATTCTAATATGGTTCTTATCTTATGTTATTTTAACACCAGCGCCCGCATAAGTACTTGGAGAAGTAAAATTATACATGAATATAAGAGTACGTGAAGCAGGGCGTGACATGTGAGGTACCTTAGCAAACTCAGATTTTCGTTTGAATGCTTCCAACGGTTCCAGGTTAACTAACTTACTTATAGAGTTCGTTATCTAATAATCCCACTTCCTAACTTGATAGACTTAGGGTTAACCAGAAGTTCGAACCTGTGAAAATTCTGCAGAGCAAAATTTGGGACAAAGTTGCCTGCTCCTGGGCACAAGGTGCGGGTAGCCAACTTACCCGCTCCCCAAGAAAAGAGAGTATATGCACTAAGTAGGCGCATTTTTCCACATATATCTTGCGTCTAGTAAGGATTAGAATATAGACAGTGTGTCCGTCGCCAGTTTTTTCCCACGTTGTGCATGCTGTAATATAAATAACTATGGGCGGCATCGATAAGTCACCGTAACCAACGGCGTCCCCAAGGCTTAAGTTAAGCTGTCTCCCCAGGGCGCGGACTCCAGGTGTTAACCCCCCTAAAGCAGCCTTCCCCACTGAGTTTAACGCGCTCTCGCCACTAACTAACAGCCACTAATATCCCCGTTCCTGCCTCCATTTCCCATCATTCCACCACAACATCTTTTTCATCCTCGCCTCGACTTCATCTTTCATCTCACCTCATCTCTCATCGCCTCCCCTCATCTCTCAGTTGCTTCGCGTCTCCATCTCCATCTCATCATCTCCATCACCCTCGCTTCCACCATTCGCTTGTCCCATCAATTTTTGTCTCTTCACATTCCCGCGCAAGGTGGAAGGCCGATCGCGGTGACTTGGCCAGCCAACCACATCTGCTCCCCGTGCTGCCAACCCTGCAGTCTTAGCGGACGCAGAAGACTGGTATCTGCACCCACAGACACACTTCCAATCACACTAGCTCTTCTTAGCAGTTCCCAGCAGAGCATCACTGCAACCAAGCAAGCAGCTGGCAACCTGTCCTGTCCTGTGCTGTCCTCTCCTGGCTTCTTGCTCTGCCCTGTGTGGCTTGCTCGACTCTGCTCTGCTCTGTTGCTCCGTCCGTACCTGTCTCCGATATTTTCGATCTCGACTCCCCCCCTAAAGCCTCGAATCTCGTCCAACTCCAGCAAATAAATCGCCCAAATAGACGAATGCCCGTCGTGTAAAGAAAAAAAATATAAATAAAATAAAATAAAAATAAAAATAAAAACTTCCGACCAACCTTCACACGCTATTTTGCCATCCATCCCATTTATTAACTCTACCAATAACACCCGCACCGGTTTCCTTGTCCTCCACAATCCACCCGCTGGCGCATCATATTTCGACAACTCGAGATCCAGCTCAACCTTACTCATTGTGTTGTGGCTTTGGGTCGACCTGGTTAGTAATGATTCCTTTTAATTCTTTTTCCCATCCTTGACCTGCTTTTCTTGCATTGTTCATTGTTTATTGCGACTATCTATCTACCGGTCTTCAACCTTTAGTCTCCCCTTCATCGTCTCACTGGCCCTCCTTAACCGCTCCATTTCTCAATCATCATTTTTTCATTCCATTTCACCTCCAATCACCTTATCATTTCACTCTCATGAGAAACAGGGGGAAAAAAAGGGGGAGCCAAAAAGGACGAGAAAACCCCACCTATACACAGACTTTTCCACTCAAGTCCTATCACTCTATCTTGTCTCCTCCACTTTGTGTGGATTTCAAGGCCCTGGAGCGCTGCATCTACACATTCTTCCTTTCCGTCTGTCCTGTTGCTGCAGTTTTCCTTCGTTTCCCCTCAACCTTTTCGCTTCTGTGTGCTCGCTCACTCCCTGTCACCCCAAACGCCTTTCCTCGTATCCTCAACCCACCCTCTCCTTAACCGGGTTACTTCATTCAGTCCATCGTCCTGATCAATAACTGCCTATTATCTGCCGTGTTTTGGTATTAACAGTTTGCGAAATTAGTTACTTTCCCCAGCTCAGTGCGTTTGGCGAGAAATGCCTATATAGATTCCTGGATTATTTGTCACACCACTTACTCCCACACTGACCAGCTTCTCTCATCGCTTTGTTCGCCTCCACTGCCTTCAACTGTCCTCGACCTCGAAAACATCAAAATTTCTAAACTGAATACCCTCTTCTCGCGATTGTTACAATCGCTACCACTTGGCGACTGAATTTGGATCTACCAGCTTTACGCGACCCGCGACATTTTCGCGAGGATCGTGCGAAAAAGGAAAAAGGAGAAAAGGGAATAAAAGAGGCTGATCAACTTCCCTTCCAGGCTAATACACACCCGGTTTGCCATTCCTCCACTGGTCATGAGCAACGGTCCGTCGAACCAACCCGGCGCAATGTTTACATTAAAGCGCAACGGGTCGAGTTCCGCTGTCTCTTCCCACCTTCCTGGTTCTACATCCAACGGCACATCTACTATGCACAACGCGAACATATCGGAGCCGTTCTCTCCTGTGTCATGTCAAGCTCCATCGTCCTCTTCCACTGCCTTCAAATCGATACTCCCACCTATTGGTCAGCCTCCGATGCACCCAACAGATGTGGATTTAAGTAGTAATGGCTTGTCAAGCGTAAACGGTACCAACGGTTCATACAACCCCCAAGGAATTAACGGAGGCATTGTTGCTGTTCTGTTGCGACGACTGGCGCCAACATACAGCAACGAGTTGCTGCACGGTTTACTCACATTCTCCCAACACTTAATGGATTACTCCTTTGTCCCCAACGAATACCCTGAAGATGGCCAATGTCGCTCCGCTATTGCGCGTTTTGAAACAAGGGCTGCGGCTGAGGAAGTCTGCAATGCACTCCATGGAAAACTGAACAGCACAGGGGAGACCAATCTGATCGTCGAAATTCTCAACACGCCGTCAACCTCGGCATTGCTCGGACGCCGGAATACTATTGATCATGCCTCAAACCGTGCCGCACCAAATTCAGCATCTCAACCCGTTGCTCCTTCAGCGTTGATACGCCAAACATCGCTTTTTAATGGCGCATTTCAGGCTTTCGAAAGAGCGGGAAATAGTGAACTCCCTGCACCAGAAGAAAATTCTCAACTCACATCCATCTTCTCCCCCCAGTCACCCATCGAAAATTCAATCAGTGACCGCTCATATGGCTCGGGTAAGATGATGATTAAACAAGATCCGGACGAAGATACCGGTGAATTGCTGAATGATCCTGTTGGATATGCCCGGAATGGCCCCTCCAGTGCTGCAGCCATGCCACGCCGTTCAACAAATCCCCCTGTGGCTTTATCACGCTTTAGCAATCTCTTATTATCCACCAATGTTGGGAGCTCCATGCCACAACTAGGTGGTACGCGATCGTCTACGAATCTCGGGACTCCTAGTACAATGCCGCCAGGCCTTTCATCCACCATTGTTCCCAATTCTGGATACATGCATTCTCCACAGTTCCATCGGGTAAACTATCCCCCAGTCAACCCCGCTGACCAAAACCCACCCTGCAACACGTTGTATGTGGGTAATCTCCCGCACGATACCTCTGAAGACGAGTTGAAGTCCCTCTTCACCAAGCAACGCGGTTACAAGCGCCTCTGTTTCCGCAATAAACAGAACGGTCCTATGTGTTTTGTGGAGTTTGAGGATATTTCCTTTGCAACAAAGGCTCTCCACGAATTATACGGATATCAACTCTCCAACAGTGTTAAAGGGGGCATTCGTCTCAGCTTCTCCAAAAATCCCCTTGGCGTCCGACCCGGCCCACCACCAGGGATGAACGCAGCGTCCTCCATTGCTAATGCCGGGAAGGCTGCAAATGGCAATGGGATGCCCCTTTTTGCAACCGCTAACACTTTCCCACCAGGACTGGGTATCCCTCCGGGCTTTGGGGGCGTGAACAGCGCACACTCCCCTCTAAGCCTAGGATTGAACTGCAACAATGGCAGCAACGGCAACGGCAATGGCAACAAGAACACCTTCCACAGCCACTCTACACCTGGACTCGGAATCATCCCTGGCGCTATTGGCACGTCTCGTTCACATACTCTCAACGGTGGTGGTGGGCCAAGTATGGCAAACATGAATGTCACTGCATATGGTGATTATTTGGGTCGATAGAGAGAGATAAACAGAAACTGCATCTATAAATAAATAATGTTTGCATGTGTGACGAGTACTGGAGCATCTGGCGTTTTACGGATACAATGATGCACTCTGGACTGGACTCTACATTTGTTAGAAATCATCATGCGGGGGCTGCTGCGGTGTCCATATAACGTCGATTTTTTTTTCTTCCTTTCTCTTTCATGTTTTGTGCCTGTCTTCTTTCCGTTGGCCCCCCGTCTTCGTTTTTGGCACAACACTTCCCCCTTCATCATTTGCAGGCTTGTTCCTTTTGGGCTATTATTGGTCACACACACGCGCACAGCATGGAATTTAAAGGGAGAAGCGGCTATTTCTTTGTTGATGTTCGGGATTAGCGAGCAAGTGCATACATATATCTCTAGCGTTATGGGGTTTTTTTTCCTGTCTTATGCGCATTCTCGGCTCTAGTTGGAATTCGGCATGGGCTCCGTTTACTCCGACCCAGCAAAGACAAGAATGGTGAGGAAATGGGAGTTCCAGCTGAGCCTTCGTTTTGCACGTTGCTGATTGGTTCCGGTTTATTTCCGTATACTTTATCTCATATTTTCTTCTTCCCTCATAGTTCGCGTCTGTGTCGCGTTTCCAACATACTTAAGTGTTGTCGATTTCCCTCTCCACCCTCTCCACCCATTCCACCCATTACACGCATTACATCTCCTTCACCCTTTGTTACCCCATCCCTTTTTCAAATCTTTTTTCTTTTTGGTGTTTATCCGGTATTTTGTATGTCATATTTTGCTTCCTTCTATTTTCCTCTTGCGTGTTTTTTTTATATTCTCCTTCCACGTAACCTCGGCTTGCGTAGCCATCATCAAAAGGGCGATGTGTTTTCCATTGGAGATGCCCCCTCCCTCACAACCCCCTATTTTTTTATTTGCGCCTGTACGTCTGACTGCTTGCATACATATATTTTGCTGTGTTCCCTCCCATCCGTTCCCCAAAAACACCCCTTTCAATCGATTCCCCTTTTGCAAAGCGACCACGATAATGGCGTCCATATGAAACGATTATGTTTTGTTTTTCTGTCGGTTTCTTCTGCTTGCTTGGGAAAAATATATATGGCCTCTGCAGGATACCTCTCTGTTATTGAAGGATGGGTTTGCTGGGGTTCTCTTCATTTTTCGTGCTGGATGCATGGGTATTGGTTTTTTTTTTTTTTTTCAACTTGTCCCTTTCCCACCTTTCGTTTTCCCTGCGCCCCCAACATGTGTTCTACAAGGCACCCATTTTTCTTGCAATGGTACGGTGTTTCATCTCACTTGGTGCTATTTCCTTTCTGCTATATCTGTCTTTATCAGTTGATTTGTATTCCCCCTCAGGCGTCGTTTTTACTTCGCTACTTGTCTCCATCTTGTTTGGCCATCTATCCAGCCTCGTTCATAGTACTTAAGCCTTTGTTTGTCCCCTTTAAAATCATAACGTCGCCTAACAAACTCTTACACATTTCTCTATCTCCTCCACTACCAAATTTTTTATCTCTGCACTAATGGCGCACCCCCCCCCCCCCAAAAAAAAAATGTTTACATTCATGCCTTTCTGCTGTTTTTAAACCTTTTTTTGCTGCAGCTTCTATTCACGGAGTGAAGCACTCGCTAATAACACAGTCGCTCATTTTGTCCCTTCTCCCACAAGCGAAAGCCTTCTGGTTTGTTGAAAGCACTTCTTCCAAATTATTCCCACACCTGCTGTATGTTGATAAATTATGGATTCAGAATATTTTTTATACCATCCGCATAGCTGGGATTTGATTTTTATTTCAGAGATATACACAGATAAGGAACATAGGCATTTTACAGCTGTTTATTTCCACCTTTTTGCTCTACGCAGTACCTCTTTTCATTTTTCCATCAGGTTGAACCAAATGCCTACAAGTAGTTTTTGTGACCTTAAGAATAAACCTGGAGGAGGTCTTGGCACCTAAGAAAAATCGCTAGTCCATTTTTGCTTAGTACTCACATGACTTTCCAACCTCCCGACGAAAAATTGCTTCGGCCATTTTTTTTTTCATCCACTTCAACGTATCTCAACATCACTCAATTCCACCTTTCTGCCCACCAATTCATGTAGCCATTGAGTCTTCAGCATTTGAAAGAGTGTAATAATCATGCTGAATACCATCAATTGGCTGTTTTAGTTTCTATATCTCTGTTTCATAGTTTTTCTGCTTGCTTCCTTGTGATAATTCTATCATCTTGCAGCCCACCATCTATCCAACAACCACTGCTGTAACAAACTTCTCTCGCATGAACTTATTCACAATGCCTCCCCGGCTGGGAAGCCTACGGCGTCTTTCCTGCACTCTCTCATCCACATCCACATCCACATCTACCCCTTCACACTTTCAATCTTCATCCCCACTATCAGTCCCCTTCAGACCACTTCCATACACTCCAACCCCATCCCAATGCCGACAACAATCCACTGATGCCACCCCCATAAAATCCCAGACCAATGGCAAAGAAGAAGAAAAGCGACGAAAAGTGCATATGTGGCTAAGGGGGCCTGGTGCCGTTTTTAAAAATCTGAGACCAGGCAGCACAAACTATGTCAGCGCTTATGACAATCAGGGCATGCTCATACGTGCCAAGGCAGGCAAGGAAACTGATGCGGAGACCCTGGAAGATCTAAGACCGTTCCCGCTAAATCCGACATTCGTGAGTGAGTCAGTGCTCAGTGAGGAGTTACGGAATGATATTCATAGGCAGGTTGTTGAGTATGGGAAGTCACTGAGGGAGGTTAGTTTTATGCATGGTGTGGATTTGAGGAGGGTGGCGGCTGTGGTGAGGTTGGTAGAGTTGGAGAAAAAGTGGGTTAAAGAGGTATGAGTGAATGTTTCCCCTTGATATGAACCCCTCTTCGTGGCTTTCACCTCTTGTCATGATGAACAAATTCGATTAGTCTTGAAGACTCCTAAATTCCCATACTGGAGGATGCTTACTTCAATTTTAAATTACAACTCTCTGAGACCAACTTTGGTTGGATATATCTTTGTGTATTGTTACGATGTGCTGGTTACTGCAGTCAGTCCAATTGATATAGCTAAAACGCTGCTAACAACCAGCGCAAAAGAACAAACCTCGAGCAATCCCTTACGCTCGGGCTGTACACCAGATGCTCCCAACCACGCCATTAAAAAAATACCCAGAACGACCCATACCCCACGAATCTATAAACGACCTCCCAGTCCACCGCCTCACCGAGCCCCAAATATTCTACCCTGTCTCTGAATCACGACAATTCAACCGTGTCGATGCCGGACGCGTCTTCTCCGCCGCCCCCGCCCTCCCTTACGACACCTCCAACACACCACACAACGCCCCCCAAGCCATTGAACAGGTGACTCACAACCCACACAATATCGAAAAGGTCGGCAAACCTGACGCGGAGGAAGAAGTCCTGCAACCTGCAGACTACCGCATTCCCCATCCGCATCTTGTCGCCTTCGCACATGACCGGTTCCATCGACCCGGTGAGTTCCGCGAGCATAAAAAACGGTTTATGGAACGGATGGAGCTGGAGACGGCTTTGCTTAAGAAGCGGCAGGAGAGGGCAAAGGCGAGGGAAGAGGCGAAGACAACCCGGGTCCAGCCTGAGGGTAGTCGGTTTGAGTTCCGCTTCAGAGATGCTGTTGTATCCCGTGACACAACTGGTAAGAATGGTCGTGGTACCAGCGCTCCTGGCCGCCGGTATGGTGTGCCTAGTTACGAGAGGAAGAGAGGCGTTATAAAGATACCCACTAAAGTAGAGGTTTAGAGGTGGCTCTTTTTTGAAAGTAAACTTAGGGGAGCCAGACATGTTTTTCTATGTATACCTTTATATGTGTAGTGAGCCACCATGTATAGTTGCACTGTACAATAGCATTTTCTCTATTATCTATATCTACAAGACATCATTATTTTTCTGAGCTTACCAGCAGAGGATTGATCTGCTTTTGAGAGAAACAATTGAAATACTATGTACTTAACTGCTATTCTATTTGTATATACATAGATATCTGCATCTAATCAGAGGAATAAATTTCTGATAAATTCTACTAGCTTTACTAGAAAAGAGCTTTATTGCAGACTTGTTGTTCATATGAATAGTAAGAGTGAGAGAGTTAGCTGAAGATGGTAAAGTCTGATCAGCAGTATTTATATTATTAAGCTGAAAAAGTAGAAATTCAGCATCTATAAGAAGCTCTCAGAGATTGAACTTAACTTATAAATAGTCTTTGAGAATGAGATATATTTAGACTATGTAAAGAATTTAAAAATGTATATTTACTTATAACTTTTAAAATCACTGATTATATAGATAATATAATTTAGTGATGAAGTAGAATTTTTCTCTGTTTACTTAATTAGAATTAATATATAAGTTACAGACTATATATTAAAATCTTTAAAGTAGATGATACTGATATTAGATATATTTTAAAAATAGTAAAAAATATATTTAAAGACTGCTTAATGTTTTGAAATTAAATAAAAATTTACTAATAAAGTTAATGTAAAGGGTTAAGCTCTAAGAACTAGAGGCTAGTCCTCCTATATAACAAGGACGAATTGCTTGAGAAAGGGAAGAAAAGAATGAGATGAGAACTCGAGCTTAAGCAAGCTCGCGTAGCATGATCACGTGCGCACGTGCAAACGATGGCTAGGCTGAGTCAGCCAGCCAGAGCGAATCTAGGGGTTCAACCCCTTATAGTTAATATAAAAATATAAATTTTTATAATTAAAATAAAAAAATATAATTTATATAATATTTATAATAATAATTATTAATTTATTATTTATATTATAAAATTATTTATAAAATAATTTATTATAAAGTAAATTATATTATAATTAATATAATAATTAATAATATTATTTTATATATTTAAATTATTATTATTATATTTAGTAAAATATATTTATAATAATAAATTATTAAATATAATAAAAATTTTATTAAAAATTATCTATTAATTATATATATTGATATTAATACTATTATATAATTAAAGCTTTATATTTTTATTATTTTAAATATATTAAATTATTTATTAACTTAATTATAAAATATATTATCTATAAAAAAGTTTAATAAAAAGAGATAGTTATTTAATATTTTAATAATTTTATTTTTAATATCTTCAAAAGACTATATATATAGCTATAAATATAGTTTTTTTATCAAAAAATTTTTATAAATATAAAATAAGTAAAAAATAAAAAATATAAAAATTTATAATTATATTTAATAATTTAATATATAGATTGAAACTTAAATTAAAGTTATATTTTATAAATAAACTTAATTATACTATAATAATTATAAAATTATTAAAATTATTAAATATATTTATTATAATTATATAATTATTTTAATATAATCAATCATCTAGTGAGACAGATCATCTATCAAGACAGATCTTCACTATACAATGCATTTAACTACTTAATTGATCAAATGTCAAAATGTCAGCAATTAAAGATGATAATTCTTTATACAAGTAAGGAAGACTTACTCTAGCTATTGAAGTAGTTAAAAAAGATCAAATTTCTAATTCTAGAGCTGCTGTCAGATTGTACAACATCTCTCATTTCACTCTTTATCATAAACTTCACAGCTGTACAATGTGAGAGAACTCTCAGTTAAGAAATCAAAAACTATTCTCTATTGAGAAATTATCTCTTGTTCAGTAGATAATCTTCATAGATGAACATGATCAGCTTCTCTGAGTGAGCATTGTATGAGAAACAGTCAATCTTCTTCTTGTTAATCAAGATAACTCTTCTAACTCAAAAACTGTTGATAAAAGCTGAATTAAATGATTTATTAACTGTTATTCTGAGTTAAAAATCCAGTTCTCTTAATTATATGATCATCAATGAGCTCTATGTGAAGATTCTAAGATTATTCAAGAATAGTTTGAGCTTATACAGAGTACTATCTAGAAATATTAAATGGTATAGAAGGATATATACAACTTTGATGAGACTGAGTTTCAGATGAGAGTTATTGAAACAGTCAAGATGATTACTGAGTTAGAGAAGACTCTCTGTCTGAAGTTTGTACAGTCTGAAAATACAGAATGAGTTATCATTATTGAAAGAGTCAATTTAACAGACTGGTCATTATCTTCAATGATCATTCTCAAAGGGAAGTTACATCAGACTTTTTGATTTGAGAATGGGTTACCATACAACTAGAGGATTGAAACCAGTGAAAATAAATGAACAACTGGTAAGCTGGGTTTGATCTGACTTAAAGAGATATTCAATAAACATACTTAAGCCCATACAATCAGCCAATATCGACTCTTGATTCTTGATAGATATAGCAGTTATAATGATCCTGAGTTTAATCAGTTTTACACTCAAAATTTGATAATTTCTCTTTATATGCCAGCTCATTCCTCTCATCTCTAATAGTCTTTAGATGTTGCTTGTTTTTCCTCATTGAAGCAAGCATATAGAAAAGAGGTTGAGAAGAGAATGAGACTTGACATTAATCATATTGATAAGAATGAGATTTTAACTATCTATTCTTCAGTTTATACAGCATCTCTAAGTAAAAAGAATATTCAGAGTAGATTTAAAGCTACACAACTAGCTCTATATAATTCAGAGCAGGTTCTTTCCCAGCTCAATACTCAGATACACACATCAACCTCTTCAAGGACCTCACATAGCTCCCACGCCTCCTAGGCCATTGTCACACTTTATAATATATGACAACTAGAGCTTCAAAGTGAGAAGATTAAGAAATATCTCAAGCACTGTACATAGAGTCCACTCAGTCCAATCAATCAAGCTCTGGAAAAGCTAGTCAAAGAATGTTAGATAACTATACATAGTGCTGTTATTTTGACAAGAGAAAACAAAAAGCTGAAGGCTGTAAATGCAAAGTAAAAGAGAAAGTGAGAAAGATGTCATACATATATAAGCCAGAGAGAGGGCTTGACTGTTCAAGAAGAGGTGAATTATGTACAAAAAGACATTACAGAGAAAAAAGAGATAATAGAGCAGTCTGATAAACAATCACAAAAGTGAGTAGCACCATAGTGCAGTGAATGTGATATTATAGAACATGCTATTCATACATACTTCCAGTATACAGGGAATAATTTATAATGTAATTAGTCAGTTTTACTATCTAGTTGTAATAATATTCAATTAGAAAGATATTGAATGATGAAGATCTGTCTCAGTAGATGATCTGTCTCATTAAATAATTGATTATATTAATAAATAACTAAATATTAAATTATTAAATAATCTTAATAAATTAATAAATTAATATTTTTTACTTTATAAAATTTATATAGAATTTATTAAAGAAAAAAAAATTTTTTATTATATAATAATAATAATATATATATATATATATTTATTAAGTTAAATTTTTAATATAAAATATATAAATTATTTGTTTTTAAAAAATTAAACTTTAAATAAAAAGTTTAATTAAAAAATTTAATATAAATATATTTTTAATTTTTTATAATTATAATTTAATATTAAATGTTTATTAAATTTAAATTTATAAAAAATCTTCAAGTTATATAATTAAAAATATATATTAATATATTTAACTCATTATTATTTTTAATATTTTTATTAAATTAATTAAAATACTTTATCAATATAATTACTTAAAATATAAAAATTACACTAAAGTTTAATATTATTCTCGGAATTTCAAACTATGTTATAAGTTATAAAAATATTGATAATAATATTATTATAGTTATTATTGTCTGAAGTTTTACAATTGAAGCTTCAGTTTTAGAGCTTCATATATCTTTCTCTTATTTGCCAGTTCCAGCTTCATTCTACTAAGAGAATGGTGGATAAAATCATTATCATCAGATTCTTGCTTAGCTGAAGAATCAAATAATCAATGTAACTAAGAGAGTCTAACAGTGAATGAATTTATAAGAAGACTGAAATTATTAAAGTTCAAATCTAAGATCTTAGAGGTATTCTGAACAGTTGAGGCCTCTAATGATTCAGAAGAAAGGGATTGGTTTGAGGTATTTAATTCAACAGAATTGACTCTTATTTGAAATCACAAGTGCATAATAAGAGGTGATCTCACTGAATCAACCATTCTTGTTGTTAGATTGAATGATCAAGAGATCAAAATACATATATAAGAGCGCTTTTAGGAGGAATTCTCTACTCTAGAGGAGGATCTCATTGAAACATGCGTTTTCTCAGAGTGGCTCGTAAGCTGGAATAATTTTCGTCTTCTTCACACGTCGCCAACTGATTCAGGAACGCGTCAAGGACTCTGCCAAATAGAAAGCGTAGGTCCTTTATTTCAAGGAACATAATATAGAGATCAAATGAAGCAAGCAGTCTACTGATTTCGACAAGATAACTGCCGAATTGGCCGCGATTGGACGCAAAACGGGTCTCATAACCTGACAGAATGGCAAGCTTCATCAATTGCAAAGGTTGCTAACTACGAGAAATATATGGTGGAAAAATATGTCACGTGACGAAAGGGGGTCCGACGGAATATTCAAAGACCTTAATTCGTCTGAAGTGAGCTTCTGTTTGAATAACTAATAAAGAACAACGCATACTCCACAGCAGAACCCAGCCCGCTCTTTTAAAACAGCATGAGACGGCGGACCATGGGAAGCGCTACCTGGATAATCGATGTCTTGCTAAATAAATTGACACCCTTTTCCCCTTTGATCAGGCAGTGCCCGATTTATTGGAGGTAGTTGGGAGAGACGAGCACAGTCAAGTTCTTCTGTTGGTAACCCGTGCGTTAGGTTAGGATTCTTAAACGGGGGAAGAGGGGTTAGGAAAGTGTTATTCAGTCTTTGCAGGCTTCCAAGCGTCAGTTTATGTCTCTGATGTGAGTTCGTCTAACCCATGCTTCTTTTCCCAATATGACAAACAGTGAACTCCTTCAAGGTTGCATCTTCATCCTAGCTGTTAAGCCCCCAAACCACGACCTGACGGATTGGCAATGGTACATGCACTGTATCTACGAGGGAATTTATCCCTCTGTAGCTAGCACAAGACAAAACAGGTAAAGTGTTTATGTATGTAGATAGTTCTTCAGCTAGCTATAAGGATAGCGGAATATATAGAAGCAGAGTTAGGATAATGACAAGCATAATATATATTATAGTAGTTTAGCCAATGAAAACAAAACAAATGGTATGCGATGCGGTGGTATGTGAGTGACGATGCGTAAACTGAGTCAATAAATACAAGGTAGGTGGGATGGATACTTTATGGACAAGAAGGCATAATAAGAAAAAGAAAACAGCGACATATAGACAGCAAGCTTATAAATCAAAACGCTTTCCACACCATTAACTTGAAGTAGGGCGAATAGGATACCGTTGCCTTGTCTCTGCTGTACGGTAAATTCTTTCGGTATCGTTACCCTTTGATTGCCTGGAGAATTTGACAAGAAAAAAAGCTGCAAATTTCCGACTGTATGGATAGCAATGATGAACGAAGGAGGAAATGGGTAGAAGATAAATAAAATACCACCATAAATAAGGAACAGGAGAAAGGAACTCGTAAAGAAAATACCAACCAAGAATGCATGCACGCTGGGATTGACAAGAGAGGGGAATGAAAGGAGAATTCCCCTGAGATGAAACTAAAGTATGGGGAATACTCCAAAGCCAACATCACTCGAATTGAAATTGAAATTGAGTGGTGAATGAGAAAGAAGAAGAAAAACAGTTAAATCTTTCTTCCAGCCACAGCCACACAAACAAACACGGATATCATTTATCCCATTACCCCTTAAATATTCGGAGATCTAGGCGTTGACCTCGCCCTACTCCGATTCCCCTTTTTGGCATCAGTTGATGCCGACACATTCGAAGAGCCAGACGCACTCCTTGCGCTTGGGCTTCCACTTGCTTCCAGCAGCGAAGAACCGTTGGGGGCAATCATGGACGAAGAGCCTTCAAGGCTGCTATTGCAACCAATCTCCTTCCCGGGAGCGGGCACGGATTTGGAACTGACCAGGCTCCCACCTCCATCTCGGGCTATACCTGCGACAACATTGCTATTGCCGTTACCATTGCCGTTGCCGTTGCTGTTGTTACTAGTGCTAGGGCTGGCGATGACCTTCCCGTTCCCGCTCGTGGCGATATTTGGCTGTGATTTCCTTTGTTGGACGGCGGTTTCCGGCTTCCCGGCATTGGCGAGTTCAGGTGTTGTGGTTGTTGTTGATATTGTCGTTGTTGCCACGGGATCATGATGTGGATTCTGTTGCTCGTCAAACTTTCGCCATTTGCGCCATCCTTCAAAGTCGATGAGGGCCTGCATGCATCCCCATTCGGTAACTTTTTGTTCTAGCCAGACGATATTGACGGGCTGGATTTCCATTTTTGGGTTATTATGGACACTTTCTAAACTGGACATTTGGGAGGGGAAATATAAAAAAACATTGGAATGTAGTTTTAACGACGAGGGGACAAGGAGAGAAGTAAGCACTCACCTTTGTTAGGAAATCATTGCAGCCCGCAGCTAGAGCTTCATTTCGATCACTCTGCAAACTGCTAGCCGTCAGCGCAACGATGATAACAGGACTCTTAAACGCTTCTGGATTTTCCAATTTATCCTCCGGTCTCAGGGGTTCGAGGAGATGATTATTATTTCCAGCTTTGCCAGATAAGTTCCGCCCCGATACCGATGAGCCCTTCAACGACTGGCCAGAAACGGTCCTCGAGAAAACTCCAATGTTGTTAAGCCGTTCATATCTCCTGATTTCCTTCGTAGCTTCAAGACCACCCATTATGGGCAATTGAATATCCATCAGGACCAAATGGAATCCCCCGGCGCGCCATTTGTTAACTGCCTCACGCCCGTTCATTGCGGTTGCCCACCGCACCTTGAGTCGTTTCATGAATGCTTCCAGGAGTTTGAGGTTGATAATGTTATCTTCCACAATTAGAACGTTAATGGGAGGTACTGTGCCATCTAACAGAGTCGTATGGAAAGAGGAGTTGATGGTTTTTTTAGGTTTCCGCAATTTTTGGATTGGGTGTGGGGAAGCAGTACGGGGTGGAGATGGATTTGCTTTTTTGAGGTTGTTCAGGTGAAGGGGAAGGGGCAGGGGCAGGAGCAGGGGC